ACAAGATCGTGCCGACCTTCGACGCGGCCCTGCGCTACAATGTCACCTGGTACGTGTCCTCCAGCCCCTGCGTGGCTTGCGCTGACCGCATCGTCAAAACCCTTAGCAAGACCAAGAACCTGCGCCTGCTCATCCTGGTGGGGCGCCTCTTCATGTGGGAGGAGCCCGAGATCCAGGCTGCTCTGAAGAAGCTGAAGGAGGCTGGCTGCAGGCTGCGCATCATGAAGCCGCAGGACTTCGAGTACATTTGGCAGAATTTCGTGGAGCAGGAAGAGGGCGAATCCAAGACCTTTGAGCCCTGGGAGGACATTCAGGAGAACTTCCTGTACTACGAGGAAAAGTTGGCCGACATCCTGAAGTAGGCGCTGCGCTCAGCCTCACGTGAGTCATGGCACCATTACCCCATTAACTGGGCAGGAGGCTGGAGGGCAGGTGGAACCAGTGGCTTTAGATTTTCCTTGGGAAAGAGTTTTCTGTTTTGGGTTGACTGTAAAAACATTTTAGAAGCTCCTACCTCCTTTTATTTCCTCTAAATTCCTCTCCCTAAATCCTTTTCCCTCCTACTCTTTTATATTAGACTGACGTTCCCTTATAACAGGGAATCATAGGGGTGAGAGGATCTGAAAGGGTTCCTGAGACATGGCTTTCTGTAGCAAGGGTTAGATGGTGTGAGAGCCCACTACTGGAAAACAGCCTAGAATATCTTTCAGCCCCCTACATTGTCGCCATCAAAGTATATCCAGAATTAGTCATGTAGATGCTTTGCTCCTACCTCCATTTGCAATCCTACCATTCCATTTTTTCCTCTAAAGCACGTGTTTTATTCTATTGGGAATAATTTTTTTTTCATTTTTTATACCTTTGAAATTTTTGACCAGAGCAGCTTTCATGTTTTCAAACAAATGACTCTGCTTTGAGGGAGACCATTACTTGCTGTGTGAAAGTATAATGCAAGAACATTTTTCCAATGTTGAAAAGCCCTCAGCAGAACTCAGAAAAAATGCTGAATGCAAGGATGGGGATAATATAGCAACATGTTCTTCCGTGCAGGAATGTTTAAAGGGTTAAAAAGATGTTTGTAAATTAGGCAGCTGCTCAGAAATAGCTTCCTACAGATATCAAGATGTGATAGGAGAACTGGAGGTAAAAATTAGCCATTTAAGCAAATAATTAGGACACAATTAAGGCCGATTTGGCTTCTTGCTGAGGGTAAATTACTCTTACAGAAACAGGACAATTACCCTCAGGAAAGAGGGTAAATAATTCTTTACTACCTTTTTTTTTTTAATTCGGTCAATTCTACATTGCTCCCACAGCAAAGCTATGTATGACTACGTCCTAGGCCTGACTTACTGATCAAAGTCCTCCAGTAACAGGGAATGTTAAATATTGAAGCCTAGTATATGCTTGCTACTTCGTAAAAGTACTATTTGAACACAGATTTTCAACCACCCTCTTTAAGCAACCTTATTATTAAAACACAAAAGAAGCATGCTTCCATGAAGTTATTCATTTTTGGTGTCTCTGTTCATATACTTAAGATGTACCTCATAAACATGCTTTGAAAATATCAATTTCTGGAGGTTGATGTTGGCAGGTGTTTGCTATCAGACATGCACTCAGGGTGCCTGGTCATTCTCCAGACCAGCGGTCACCATCCCACAGTCTGTGAGGTCCAAAAAGTTGGTGACCGCTGCTCCAGATGGGCATTCGCCAACCCATAAAGACAATTTTCAGCCATTTCTTACAAAATGAATTGAATTCAGTGAGACCATGGTCAGGTAATGTCACATGGGTACTCTTCCCATATAAGACACCACTTTCAGTAGTAATACAATCAGAATTATAAGGATGACCTCTGAAGATACAAAATTAGCTTTTAAATTCCTTGAAGATTTTATTAGGGTAATTATAAACCCTACACAGATTCTACAGAAAGACTAGTAGCTTAACTTTTAACCCTAGTATACTTCTTAAACATCTTTCAGAGTCATGGGCCACTTCTTCCAGCTGCCTAACTAGCAAGTCCTCAGGGATTTGTGTATGTTGTCAGTGTGTTTCCCCCATTAAGTCAAATGAGACAGCTAAGTCTGCTATAAAATTTAAGCATTTCAGGGAGGATTAAAGAGAACTATTAATTTTAGATAATTGAGGGTTGTACCTTATGCTAATCTAAACAGAAAGTAGATAAATCAGTTTGGTGGAAAAAGTTCATTCCTAAGTCAAATTCTTCTTATTAAAATATTAGACATTTTTCACATTATAAGCCTCTTTCCATTAGTTGACATACCTATTTTATCTGGACCCATTATTAACATGCTGTACTCTACTTGAGTTGCTCATGTTCCTGAAGGAAAGGGTTAAAATGTACTAAGTTGTGTTTTTTTTTAATGACATGAAATAGAATTATCTAAAAGACCAAAATAACAACTCTGCTTAACTATAATACTCCCAAGAAATAGGCATTTGCTAAAGAAAAATTTCCTCATATTTCTTATCCCATCTTTTTAAAAAATGGTTGAGTAGGATTTAGCCATGTATTCAACTCAAAAGAACAGCGTTAGAGCAGATCTTTTCTGGGGTTTTTCTGTGTGAACCATATCAAACATGAATGGAACAAATCCAATCCTGGGTAAACCAGAAGTCACAGGACACAATGGAGAAATTCCGGGACATGGGGAAGGCACACAGAAAATGTAATTAAAAAAGAAAATTCTTCATTGCTTGGGGCCAGCACGGCTCTCAGTAACATGTTTTCTGTTTTCTCAAGGTTTGACTGCGTTGACATGTATGGCCATCCAGGACATGCCTGACTTCCTAATACCACTTGGACCTGGACAACATTTAACACCAACCAATCCCACTGCACAAGGCCCTCTAAGAACTCAAAATATACTTCTCTTGCTATCAATCATTTTAGCTGTGCCTCTCTCTAAGGCTGCTCTTGGGAAAGAAGAGAGTTGCAAGGAGAAATAGCACCAGGCATCATGGGTCTGAGGATCCTATTAATTCCCCCAAATGGGCTGCTTAAGGCAAAGAGCCTCAGACCCAAGATCTGTGCAGATTTCTTAAATATGTCCAGAAATGCATTCATGCTGTTGTTCTTTTTTTAAAAAGGAAAAAAAAAAAAGTAGCATTAATAAAAGTGGTGTGATTTTTCTGTGACCAGGTTTTTAAAGAAATTTGGACATTTAGTAGTTAACTATGGACAGTGATGAAGTCCCAGGAATAGGGATTTCCCAGGCTACATTTTCAGTGGGAAGAAAGCTTAAACCAGGATTTGTCTAGGCAATACAGGATACTAACTCTCCCATGTAGACTTCTCATTCTGGTCTTGACCTTCATAAAATATTTCTTCTCAAGATCCCTTAGTATAGGGTGAAACAAAAGGCATGGGAAATACTTACAAAATATCTATATTTTGTCCCAATAGCCAATAAGTAACTAGCCTCTTAATTAGAGGAGAGTAGGATTTTAATGTTCAGATACACAATGTGAGGAGTCAACATGTAGTACTTGATGGTGATGGCAGGATGATGTCAAAGTCTCACTTCTTTAAAGAGTTGAGTCCTATGTAGAAGTAAAATTTGACATGTGAATTGCTGGGTAATTGCCAAACTCTAACTAGTATTCCAGGAATAACGTGCTCATTCTGATTATCAGGCAATGCCTTTCTCCAGGCTTTGAGTGTGATAAGTCATTGGAATTTGACCCCAACACTATCTACAAATAACAAAACGTTTTATCACAACCCTGCTGAGTCCAGGAATTCCACTTACTGCCAGTTCTCCACAAAACTGAGCTTTGTTAAAAGAATCATGAAGGTTCCTAATCCATGAGAAAAAATTGCCCTATGTAGCAGCAGCAATGTTTTGACCCAAGTGTTAAGATTTATGTGTATAGTTAGCAAAATATTTTAATTCTAAGTTTCCTCTTATCACCCATTCTCATTTTCAGCTTTGTGCATTGAGACATTCCTTCCCTTCTTTCCCCCTCAATTTTAATACTAATAATGAACAGAAGCAAAGCTTCTTTAAGAAAAGCCTTAGTCTAAAAGTTTGATCTTGAACTTGCTCCTGCACTACCCCACCCCAACTACATGGAGAACTTCGTCTGTTCCACAAAGAGGTACAAAAGATGTGAAATACTTTTTTAAACTGCTGTTTCATATCAGGCTGCAATGTGATAAGAACACAAGTCTAAAGTACAAAGGTTATATTTAACCAGTGCTCTCCTGCTGTTTCAACAAGCACATTTTAAAATCCACTTCTTGTACACTTGAGAAAGCAAGTCCTATGAAGGCCCAGAATTTACTCAAGGGAGAAAAATCAATATTAGATCTGGCTGTTTTAACTCGTAACACCATACTGGGGGGACGGGGTGTGTGTGGGTGTGTGGGTGTGTGTGTGTGTGTGTGTGTGTGTGTGAAGAACAATAGATGAAAACTCCAATAGTTTTCCCAATACCTCTGATAGTGAACTACTGGCTATACTCATGAACTTTCTTCTCCCACACAAAAACAGGAATAGACAAAGTGTTGCTTTCTTAGCTTAAGAAGAGGATTAATATTTACTGCTCTCCATCCCAGCTGGTTATACCTTACTGTGCTCTGAAGCTTAAAAAAAAAGAAACCTGGCCATCTTCCCTAGCCCCCCTAGTACCAAAACAGAAGTTTTTTTTGGAAGTGAGTCTATTTTTGAAGAAGATTCATATTTTGTTGAGAACAATGAGTCATCTCAATAAGCACTTTGCCAAGCGTTTACCATATATTTTCATAACTGAATTCAGAAAGGTTCAGTCACAAACTATATAGTGAACAGAAGAGTTCACCATGAGTGGATTCTAAACTCCTGCCTTTCCAGTAAGCTGACCCTTAGATGGTATCCATTCTGTTTCACCTTGCTGCCTTCCCACTGGACCCCTCTGATTTTTCCAAATTAAGTTGTAGGTGAATCCTCCATTATCCAAGTCCAGAATAACACAAACATGTGTACAGAACCTCACTGTAGCCTAAGATATTTATTTTCCCACTTTCCCCCACAAATTCTTTGTTAACAATGTAAAAACCCATTTTTGTAATTTAAATAACTAAAGAAACACACCTCAAAATTCTTTCCTAGGATGAATTTGAGGACATAAGGATAATACAAAGTAAATGCACAAATTACAAAAGATGCAAAATTAACTGAATTGTTCATTCTTCCTAAAATTTCTCTTAAACATCAGAGAAGTAGAATCAATGCTGCCACCTAGTGGCAAGCCAAACAAATTTGGTAGCATCCTGGGGCAAAAAAGGATCATAGGGCCCAACACCTGGTTCCCTGCCTAATATTATCAGGCTATAACCTACCTTCCTGAAAAAAAAAATTAAAAAATCACAGCATCATTTCCCAAGCAATCTCTCCTTCAGAGTCCCAGCCCAATCATGGGAATACAGAGACCCAAGCATGGCCTGTTGACACAGAAAATTTCACATGAAACTTCCCTCTGATCATTTTTAAAGTCAGTTTGCCCAGTCCTATGGCCCAGTAGGAATGACACCGGAAAACATGGACACATCCAAAATGCTCATCTGTTCAGAGTGTGTACACAGTAATTCTGATGTCTGTTCCCTCAAACACCTCCTCAATTATTGTGGATACGTTTTCCCATTGCAGACGATCAAGACCACACCCAATCCTGAAAAAGATAAAACATCTCCATTGGTTTGATGAAGGTATCGAGGAAATCAGTCCTTCTCTCTTCCTTTAGGCTGCATTCACCCAGAGCATAAGAACAAATAACCTGACCTCACACTATAGGCATCCATGGTGGAAGCTTGGAATTCCTTTTGAGAATCCCCCAAGGCTGTTCCTGACAGCACCAACATCCCACAGCTGTCATTCTCTTTTACCTACATGTTACCACTTCCCCATTGTTTCAAGAAACATTTAGCAATGTATAACTGCTGTGACATGGGACAAACACTATCCATCTATGTCTACTGATGAAAACTAGCTGTGGGAGGATGGGGAAAGACTGGCATTTTAAAAATACACTTGGGATCATGGAAAGTTAAGCAAGATAAAATAAAAAGAAGACAAAGGATAGGATCTCTGCAAAAAAAAGAAAGAAAGAAATTAAGATGGAATGCTGAGAAATGTCAAGCTGACTGCAGTTCAGTTCTTTGTAACAACCTGGTGAAAAATCTTTACTGTCCCACAAAACTCTATTACCTAGCACCTTTCTTCTAAGATGTTACTTTATTGATCCTCAACATCTCTGGGGGAGGAAAGAAAGGCTTTAAAATGCTAATCTCATGTAATGTGATGATTACGCCCCTGACAAATACTGTGATTTTAAAAAGTTTATGATACATAAGTTTAAGTTTATTTAAGACCACTGTAAGATGAGGGACCCAATAGTCACTTAAGTGACTTAGAGCTTGAAATAAACATGCATGTATAGTCAGAACTAGACTGACAGAAAGAGAGGTGAACCCAAGCTTATTTCCTAAAAAGGACACAAAGGGCCTACTGAAAGTAAAATAAAAAACGATGTCATTCCTTAAGGTCCCAATAGGTAGTGTCTAAAATGTTACATCAGGGTTATGTCCTCTGGCTACTGCCCAAGGTGACCAGCAACAAGCAGGCAGTTTAAAAGTTAGAGACCCTTTACAGCTTTTTTTGCACAGGATTAACAGGTCTGGGACACCTGAAGTGGCCCAGAGGAAAATCACAATTGTTCTGTCTTGGTTCTTATACTGCTTCAGGAATAGAAGCTAAGATTCAGGCAGAGGATTCTAGAAAATTAACTAATGTGACTGAACAATGGTTCCTCCCTACTATATAGGTTGAGGCAGGTGTGGGTTTTAATGACCAGCTCCAAGTCATTCAACCCAAGCTAAGAAATGGGTGTGTTTTGGTCTAAGGTCTGACAACTGGTTCAAAGGTGATATTTTCAAAGTTCTGACATATGTCCACCTTTAAATTAAGTTAGCATTTGGGATTAAGCTTTTAAGTCATTTGTCTATCTTCTCCTTCCCCTGCTCGCCCCCCGCGGCCCCCACCCCTCCTTTCCCCCCATCAAATCTTCACTTAGGGCCCTGGATTTCCTTGCCTGGGCATGGAGAGGTCTGTCACTCCATTCTTCAGACAATGGGACTTCATGGCCTCTAAACTCTTCTGTAAGTTTTCGTAAGTTGGCTTGTGTGAAGCCCTTTTCTTTGTAATCTGAGTACAAAGATAGAATTCAAACTTCTATTAGTCCAAAATGATAGCCAAAGAGAAGCCATCACATCTCCCAACATCCTGATAATTAAAACAAAAAGTATATTTTTATAGAACAGTCTAAAGCAGGGATGGCAAATGTCATACTGTCCCTTGCAGTTATGGGAGGCCTTCAGGAAAATCAACTAAATAGGGCCTGAGAAATTCAGACACTGCCAGGTAATAATCTTTCCTTCTCTCAAGCCAAGGAGGTTAACAGGCTGGGCCTACTGTGTATTGATTTTAAGCAAAGTAAGTGAAAAGTCTTTGTGCCACTTTCAAGAGATAAGCTGCATATCTGTTACAAGAACCCATACCACCCAAAAATGTCCTAAGTCTATTTACTTAGAAACTATGTTTGCTTGCTTTTTGTGGCTCCATAAAAGAACAGAGACAAACAGGTAGTACTCCAAATAACACTGAAGTCCCAGCAGCCTTAAAGACAGCATTCAAAGACTTCACTTAAGTGTGCTGTGCAAACCAAGCTCTCAGTGGGCTGGCTCTAAGTCACCCAGCACCATCACCAAGAACCCACTCTCCTGGGGCTGAAGACCATGAGGATAGGGAAGACACCCACAGAGGCAGCAGGCAGGAAAGCAGCTGAGTGCATTTGATAGGGAAGAATGAAAAACTGCTTGAGCAATCTGTTTCAAGACATTGTCGTTTTTATATCTCACTATGAGGAGGAAGGAATTCAAGTATGAGAGGCATCCCTAACTTTTCCAAGTCTTAAACACAGGCCTTTGGAAGATGTCACAGTATTCCTTCCCATGGAGCTAAGATGCTTCTTTTCTAACCCGAAGCTCCACACAGCTTCACCTCTGGAGCTGAGCTGGCATGAGATCAGAAGCTTTTTGACATCTTTAGTTGTCTAGAATGAACTATCATGATCAATACAAATTCAGTGCAGCCTATCTGATCACCAGTCCTTAGAACATATTGAGAATAGGCCCCATCTTACCAAGTAATATATGTATCGCCCATCTCTCTTCAGAACAGCCACTTCTCCAGATTTCTTTTCTAAGAAAAAGTTATTTAATAGTAGAAAGAAAAATGAAAATCAATACTGATCTCCATTCTTAGATTTAAAAAAAAACTTAAGATTGGTTTACCTAAACCTATTGTCTCCTATGAACACTTTGCTTATCAGCCTTCCTAAATATTGTATTCCTGAGCATCCAACTTTCTTAATCATGTTTTCTCAACCATTTTCCTCACACCCATCTCCTGTCCTGCTCCTATTTTCAAGTACACCCTTACTGCTCACTTAAAAATTTTGTCTGCCTAGAAATGTTTTAGTATATACAGCATTCTTCCTTTGCCAAATGTGTTCATTTTTACATAAAAGAGCTAATGTTTAAGCATTATGGGGAACGTGTAAGTGTATAAAAAAGTTTCTAATTATAAGCTTTCCATCAAGAAAAAGTGTCATGTTCATATATAACTACAATACAAAACAGCAAGAAATTGCTTTTTTGAAGGCTGGGATCAGAATCACTGGTGGAGAAGATGATTGAATAAGCCTAGACTGTGGTCTGAGCAACTGCTTCAGAAGCTCCACGTGACTCTAATACACACTTCTGGTTTTAAATCTCTGGCAGGAAATGAAAGGAGGGGTATGGAAGGAGGATTCTAAACTCCTAAATACAGTATGTGTAAACAGAGGCTCTTGAATGCCAAAATAATAACTGGGTTTTGCTAAGCACTTCAAAATAATTAAGGTTTCCAGAGAAGTGGAGCATTATCAATAGAGTTTTATGGTAGGTGAAAAAAAAAAATAAAAACTTTTATAAGAATTCAAGCTTGGCATAATAAGGACCCAAACTAGAGACTATTTTTGTGGAGGAAAAACTTAATCTGATGAGTACAATAAAAGTACTCAGTGTTTAGGAACCTCCTCCTTACTTGTATATCTTGCTCAATGAGTGTAACAGGTCAAAAGACGTTCCAGCCAGGGTATAAGGGTTAAACTGTTTTCAAAACTCACGTTGAGCCCTACCCGGTTTGGCTCAGTGGATAGAGCATCAGTCTGTGGACTAAAGGGTCCCAGGTTCGATTCCTGTCAATGGCACATGCCCGGGTTGCAGGCTGGATCCCCAAAGGGGTTGTGCAGGAGACAGCCAATCAATGACTCTCTCTCATCATTGATGTTTCTGTCTCTCCCTCTTCCTTCCTCTCTGAAATCAATAAAAATATTTAAAAAAACAAACAAAAAAAACTCACGTTGATTTAACAGTTCCTGCACCCCTCCAAATTTCTTCTTGAAGAGAACAGCTATGCCAGCACCCATCCGACAATCCTCACTGATACAGTGGGCTAGAGAGTCTGTTTTGGGGCATGCAAAAAGGTCTCCTTTCACATAGGTGATCTAAAACGTGCAAATGGAGAAAATGTTTTGTTAGATGCAAAAAAATACTTGTTTTTCTTTACAGTATCCACCACCCCTACCCACCTTCTTGATTAAAAGCCAAATCCTTAGAATGTAAGCAGTTAACCACTCGAATTAAAGCATTATGTCAAAGGAAAGTGATGGCTGATCTCTGTCTAGGTTCTTCTATTAGCCTTTCTATAATAAATCAGCTAGCGAAAAAGGAAAGACAACTCCATTACTGGTTTCATTAAAAAGTGTTTATGTTTTTTGACCTCAATTATTCTGAATTTCAGTTCATCGTAAGTTAATGGTTATTACGCACTCTGCTTCCTTCTGCATCTTCATTAGGGCTGCCGGCCATGATACCGAGTTGCTATCTCCAGAATTTAAATATTCCTTCAGCTATGAGGAGGGGAAAGTAAAGAAAAATGCTTAGGCAGCCTGACTATATTACATTCAGATCGCCCTGACCACCCATTATACTTCCCCCCCCCCCCCCCCAACTTATATCACTGAATGTTACCCACGTTCAGCCCGTAGGAAATAAATACAAGACTCCTGGGGCTGGGGAGAGGGAAACCCCTTAGGCTACCCGCAGCTGTGCCCCGCTCGCATTTCGCGCTTTCCCGGGGCGCCCGCCCCGCCCCCCAAGAAAAGGCGGCCCTAAGCCACGCCTCCGCCTCCCCCGGCGCCCGGCGGCCCTAGGACGGCCCCGAAACTCGGTGGGTTTGGCCTAAGGAAAAAGGAGGGACTTCGCGCCACAGCCAGGGAGTGTCCGCGCAGGGGGAGTGGACTGCTCCGCGCAGGAAGGAGAGGGGAGGCGGCCTCTCCGGGCAGGAGCCGGGAGAAGCCTCCCTCCATCTGTCTCCTACCCTGCAGCGGGTCAGCGGGGGAGCACAGTCTGTCCTTGGGTCCCTGGGGAAGGGGCGAGGAGGCTCTGCTCTGAGCTTCCACGTACCGGGGGTACCCTTCACCTGAAGCCGGCCGCTAGGAGGTCCCGCCCCGAGGGGAAGGGCTCCAGACCCGGCCCCGGTAGGTTGGGAACAGCCGACGAGACCACACGCGGAACCAATCCCGCCACAGCCCTTGAGAGTACGCACCTAAAATGGCCGCCCACTCCCGCCCCCCACCTGGGAGCGACGCGGGAACGAGCCCCTCTAGCTAGCTAGCCCTACCAGCACTCTTTGGTGGTGGCCGCCCAACTTCCGGCGGCAAATACCGTGCGGTCTCCCGCCGCCACCCGAGCATGCGTAACGTGGCCGCCGGCCCGAGCGGGAAGGGACGGCGCCTGCGCATTAGCCCAGGGATGTGCCTCTCGCGGCCGCAGAGAAAGGGGTGGGAAGTTGGCAAATGAGCTAGTTAGCGCCTGCGCAGTAATACGTCCAGGGCTGTGTACTGGCGCGTCTAAAAGACGCCGGGGTATTTTTCCCGTAGGGAGGGGGAGCGGTTCCGGAAAGTGGGCGTGGCTTCAGAGACGCCTGCGCAGTGCTCCTTCAGCCAGGGGTGGGGCGCGCCCGGAGCCAGGTGTTAGGGGGCGTGGCTTCAGAAGCGCCTGCGCGGAGGCGGTTGGAGGGAGGCCCGATTCCCCTTTGTTCAGATTCGCCATTTTGCGAGGCAGCGGCAGTGGCGGCGGCAGCGGTGGCTGGAGCCTCTGATTGGGTTTCGGAGTCCGGTAGTGGAGCCAATCAGCGCGGGCAGCGAACCGGGGGAGCGAGGCACGGTTAGTACAAGGAGCCAATATCCAGCGGCCCAGAGCCGGCCCCAGCGCCCGGATTGGCGGGTCTCGCTGACCACTCAGGAATGGCCCAGGCTCCCGTCGAGCCCGGGGAGTCGAGCTGAGCCTAGCCGAGCGGGGGCCCCAGCTGGCGGCCCCGGCCTAGGCCCTGCGTGCGGCGCGGGGCCCTCCCGGCCGAGGCCTTCAGAGGGCTGGCCCGCGCCGGGATGGGGCCCCCGGGGGCAGGCACCTCCGGGTCCTGTCCCTCGCAGGGTGCCAGTGCCAGCTGGGGGTGCGTCCGGGTTCCCCTTAGGCCGGGGTTCTCGGCGCTCAGGCTCGGGAGGGACGGGCTTGCCTGTCCTGAATGTTTCTACACTCAGGTGCGCAAGCCTCGGTGGTTTCCTCCGGGTCGTCCTGGCCTCACCCTGAAGCCCGTCCTTGTACTCTCCGCGCTCCGGCCCTCGGGACGGGAACCTGCCCCCTCGGGGCTCGTAATCCGCCACCCTCCGGGGTCGGCAGGGGGGGCTGGGGGAGACTCGCGTCGCCGCCACCGGGCCCCGACGAGTGGCGGGAAGAGGGGGCCGCCCCCGCCGTTTCCCGGGGCTGGGGAGACGGTGAGTGCGCCCACTCAACCAGCTCTGCCGGGCCCCTCCTTTCATCGGGCCCGGCTCGGGGACCCGGGCTGGCGCCGTTACCACCCCCTTTTGGCTCGTCATTTCCTCTCCCCGCCGCGCTCGCCGGGGCAGCACCGCACACCTCAGTCTTGGAGCCCGACCAAGCGGGCTCCCCTTTCTTGCCCGTGCGCTAAGGCCAGCCCACTTGGTGCCTGGAATCCCACTCTACGAAGATTGCTAGCCCTTCGCATTTTTTTTTCCTCCGGAAGCTGCACAACTTGCTTTTCCTACTGTTAGTCCTACCTGGAGAACTCTTCCTCCTTTGACAATGTTACATTCGCTTTTTCTTTCAGCTTTCTGTGTCACTTTGAACTTGTCAGGCTTGGCTCCTTAGCTCCAACCCACAGCTACTCTTGGTTTATTTTTTTCTAATATGCTTTCCAATTCCATGTGTTTTTTTCCAACATATTGTTGGGTTTTAGGGTAAGAAAAAATCTCTGTTGACTAACCAAGTATGAAACAATAGTATGTGCCAGGCATCAGTATATTTGATGGGGAAGGAGAGGGTAGATGTAAATAAGAATCTTCCCTGCCTAGTGGAGATTGACAGGTGAACAACTAATTAGTACATAATGGTTAGTGATGTAACAGGGCCAAGTGTCTTTTTGTGAAGTACAGTACTAATGTGTGAGCTACCAACAGCCTTCTGGAAAGCTTAATATAGCCACCCTTTTGCTTGGCCTGGAGGATGATCGGATTTCTTCTGACAAGATAGAAGAGCATGGGCAGAGACACCAAATTGTGCTGTCTGAAAGGGGTGAGGAGACAGAATAGGACAGTAGGCAGTAGTGGTGAGAATTTAAGATTGGGAAAACAAGTTTCTGACTTGTGGGGTTCTGGCCCATAACAGTGACTTCTTTGGGGGAAGAAAGGGAGATTTCCCTAGGACTTTAAGAAAACTTTTGACTTATGTGAAGCACCTAGTGCAGTCCTTATCATGCAGAGTAGGCCTTCATATGATGCCTGTTTTTCTAATCACGTGTACTAAAGTCATACAACAGATAGGTTCCAGAAAACAACTAATCCACTGTTCTTTAATTCTTATCCACATTAATGGATGTGCAGTATATCTTAGATGTTTTTTTAAAACATCACTTTTTAAAAATATGTTTTTATTAACTTCAGAGAGAGGAAGGAGGAGAAAGAGAGAAATATCAGTGATGAGAATCATCCATTGGCTGCCTCCTGCACACCCCCTTCTGGGGATGGAGCCCAAAACCCAGGCTTATGCCCTCATCAGCTGGCTTATCTGGTCACTTTAAAACCACCAAACACTTGCTAGACTTTCTAAAACAGCGGTTGTCAACCTTTCAGACCTCTTGGACCACCCGCTGTTCTAAAAGACAGTTATTGTCAGGTTATTCTTTTGTTAGACACTTGGAACTCCCACCTGTCTACAGAAGAACTTGGAATTTTGAGAGACAGTAGTCTGGCCTCTATCTTTCACGTGAGGTATGGGGCCTTTTAGTCCGCTGTTCGTATGCGGAAATTTCTGTGTCCTTGTTACTATGTTGGTTCTTTGGAGTACTCCACCCCTTCTCACATCATCACATATAAATAAGTCTTTCTTGAATTTAACACCAGGTCATATGCCACGTTTTCTTAAAGTCTTCCTTGATTTGTCTATCCCCAGTAGAAGAAATCTCCAGATTGCCTTATTACTTTGCGTCTTTAGATTCTAGTACAGATTTTTACTCCTTTACTAAATTTAAAGAATCTTTGAAGTTAGAATCTTTGTCAGAGCTTCTTTTTTCAAAAACCTATAGGACATTGTCTGGGGCATGATACATCATTAGTGGAGAAAAGGAACAATTGGAAATTCTAATCCAGAAACCATGAAGTAAGGAAGCTGGACAGCTCTTAGTTCTAGTCTTTTATCAAAGAACCAGGACCCAATTGTTGAGTTATAAAATCAATTTAGTGGGCTAATGCTGGTAATTTTTATAATAAAATAGAAAAAAACAAAGTGTATATTTTATGTGATAAAAGGTAAGGATTCATCACCTGACCAGCATGGCTTAGTGACTGAGCATCTTTGACCTATGAATCAGGAGGTCACAATTCAATTCCTGGTCAGGGCACATGCCTGGATTGCTCAGGTTCCCAGTGGGCATGCAGGAGGCAGCCAATCATTGATTCTTTCTCATCATTGATGTTTCTATCTCTCCCTCTCACTTCCTCTCTGGGAAGGGGGATGTATATATATATACTAATAAAATATAAATATGACCATACCTCAGCAACACCCACCAGCCAATCAGGAGTGCGTATGCAGATTAATACAACAAAGCTGGTGGGTTAATTTGCATATGCAGATATGGAGCCAAGGCTGAAGGCTTGGCTCTGCTGTGGCCTGGGTCCCAAAGGGAAACCTGTGCCAGCAGCCAGGGGAAGGAAGTCCTATTGCATGAATCTTTGTACAACCGGCCTCAACTATACACACACACACACACACACACACACACACACACACACATATATACACACATACATACGTATACACATATATATGTATGATAAGTATTCATGAAACTTTTATTTCAGTTACTTTTTTAATGTTTGATAGGAAATGGTCTTTCTTACTGTGAATTGTGGTCAGAGAAGTTTGAAAGCTTCTATTTTAGACTTTACCTGGTAGTGATTGTCAAATATGGTAATTTTGAGAGCTTTTACATGCTTATAGTTGACTCTCTGGAAGTTGAAGCTTTAAAAAATATGTGTGCCCCTAACCAGTTTGGCTCAGTGGATAGAGCATCAGCCTGCAGACTGAAAGATCCCAGGTTCATTTCCAGTCAAGGGCATGCACTTTGGTTGCGGGCACATCCCCAGTAGGAGCTATGCAGGAGGCAGCTGATCAATGTTTCTAACTCAATATTTCTCTCCCTTCCTCTCTGTAAAAAAATCAATAAAATATTAAAAACATTTCAGGTTCTGTGCCTTGAAGTGGAAAGAAGAATTTTCATGCTAGCCAGAATAAACACATACTCTCTTTGAAGAAAAAAAGAGAAATCTATTGGTGAAATCCTTTGCTTTCTCTTGCCTGCCTGATCTATCACCAATGGATTTTATATAACAATCATTTGAAACTTTGAGTTAGAAACAAGAACTAGAAGACTAAATCTGGCTGACTTAATTTTGTCAGAATCTTGGGCAGAGTAGCATTTGAGGAAAGACAATGTCAGGTTTTATTACAGTTCTGTTTTGGCGAGAGGACTAGATCTTAGTTCTTGTCTTCTTGAAGGAAACATTTCCATCAAGAGACAAAGTGCAACAAAGCAAGCAAAAACACACTTAGGACAGTGAATCAAGGAAGGGCATAGAAGTAACAAGAGTCTAGGCTGCACTGCTTTGGCTCACTGAGAAGTCGGAGAAAAGGAGGCCCTAGAGACAGGTTTGGGGGCTTAGTCTGGGACAAGCTGCTGCTGCTCATTGCATGTCTCACTGGGTCCCTTACAAGGAAGAAGAGGGGAAGGGAATGGCAATGACTGGGATGTGCTGCCCCAAGGCAAGCAGGCACTGGATCCTTGCGTTGAGGGTATTTATCTCTTGCAGGTGGGAATTTCAAGGGAGGGTCTCAACAGAATACTCATCTGTTTTCCACTTGTGCTCTTTCATGGTCCTGATCTCCACTGATTGACAGCACCAAGGCAGGAGATCATTAGTCAGTGCAGCTGGTCCTGAGGCTGCCATGGCATGCTTGTCTGGTTTTGCGGCTTTTCTTGGCCTGGAGCTGAAACACATACAACAGAGGCCTAGATGCTATCTTTAGGGAGGAAAAGGCCAGGAGTCTAAACCACATGACTAGAAGTATGAAAAGTCAGGGAAGGAAAGGTTACCCTGGGGGTGAGATTCTTTGTTTTCCTAGTTTTGCCCCTTGCTAGGCATCCAGGGCTTTCTGCCCTCTGGAGTTTCTGTACTGGCCCATTGTTCTTGCTCTACGCATGTCTGTCTAACTGCCTGGATCAGTTCTGCTAACTGAAGCTCCCAGCAGTAGACCATATGGTTTCACCGAAGCTAGTTGTGTTATTGAATTCACTATTAGCAATCTCAATACCATGTTCCAGACTGAATCACTTTCACATTAATATGAGAGGATTGCTATTAGATTTGAAACTGCTCTCTTTTTTTACCCTTCAGAGTAGAATGGATTTAAATGTTTTTAATTTGGAGCAATTGTGTTATGGGATAAATTAGTTAAGAAAATCTGCATGACCTGTTTATTAGTTACTCATAAGCTATATAAGATGCAAATTTCTGGAAATTAGTGGTCAAGAAAAGAATCTCATACAATAAGGAGATTGTGGGGTAGGGGAAGTGTGGAAATATAGAGAACATTTCTTCATTATACTGTGGACGAAAAGGAGTCACATGCTATCCTGACCAGCTCAGTGAAAGCCTTGCAAACCCAGAGAAATAAAGTAACCACAAAGGATGGCCTGAGATTAAAACTTTTTTTAACTAATAGCAGTTTATGGTGGGTAGTCATGTCCTAGGCCAGTATCTTCCCTGAAAAAGGTCAATCTTTACCTTAATATTATTGGTTTTTGGCATCTAGGATAACATATCTTTGAATGTTAAAGCAATTTTCCCTTTTCCGGACCCCTCAGCACAGGCACCGCTCTGCAGAGACCACACGTCCCCTCAGTGTCACTGAGTTAACTGCTGACTGTTAACTATCCCGCACCCACCGATGTAAAAGAAGTGTGTGTCTATGGTTTTCCTCTATCCCTGCCCCAGAGGTTTCCCCGCTCTGCTTTCTCCCGCCTCCCTAACCTATCATCAGTGGATTTCATGTAACCCACATAAGTCTCCTCTTTTGATTGTGGTGTATAAAACAAGGTGCAAAGCTGCCATTCCCTGGAGCATTCTCTCAGTCCCTTGAGATTCTGCTTCCCTGCAGTTGTTGACAGTTTGGGCTTAAATAAACTCAAAAATAATCTTCACAGCTTTAAGTGCTTCTGACATTAAATCAACTTTATTAAGTTTGAGATAAACAGTTTAGATACAAAGGGTAATTATTTTAAATTTATGTTTGGATGAATTTTGACAAATTTATACACCTATGTAACCACCACCACAGTGAGGATATAAAACATTTTTATCATACCCTGGATTATAAGCTCAGTGGTTAGAACACATGTGTCAAACACAAGGCCCGAGGGCCAAATCTGTCCCGCCAGGCCTTGCAATGTGGCCCACACCGCGCTGTCATCACTGCACTCCGCTGCGTTTCCATCACAATGACAGTTTATGACTGTTCAGTAAACCATTTGGCCCGCGATTAAGGCTGGATTTTAGATTTTGGCCCCTTCTCTGAGTTCGACACCCCTAGGTTAGAATGTCAGCCTTGGACCAAAGGGTCATGGATTCAGTTCCTGATCATGGGCACATATCTGAATTGCAGGTTCGATCCCTAGCCTCTGGTCATGGTGCATGCAGCAGGTAACCAATTGGTGTGTCTCTTACATCTCCCTCCCTTGCGTTCTCTCTAAAAATCAATGGAAAAAAAATATCCTCGAGTGAGGTTTGACAACAACCAAAAACACTTTCATCACTCCAGGAAGGTCCAGGTGCTCTATCCCATTCAATCTCCCACTTTCCCCTTCCTCTCCCCTACTTTCATCATCTCCTCCAGTCCCAGGGAACCACTGATCTACTTTCTGTCTCTAGATTACTATTGTCCTTTCACGGTTTTAACTGAAATCACATGTATGCTTTTGTATGATGACTCAATTCTTTAGTCCCATTGTGTGCACTGCAGTTAGAAACAAGATAGCGTTTAAGGAGATTGTTTACTTCCCTGGCAGAGCCATTTAGCCTGGTTGAAAACCTGATTTTTCTATACTGTTCCAGTGTCCTTTGGACCTGACTCAGTCAGCCAATTCAGAAGAGACAGATGTAAAGAAAGATCAGAGTGCCATTTTGTCAGTGGGTATTGAGAAAATAGCTATCAAGTTTATTTGTGTTGTTAATTATATATATCCCTTATTGGCTAATCTATATATACCTAAATCCAAATTAAAACTGCATATTTGCTTGGTGAGTATTTCATTAGACCAATGGTAGTGAGTTGGAGAACTGTATGACCTGGTGCATGATACTGTGATGACACAGTCATCCTGTCATTTATGACTCTTATATACTACACACCATTTTGGTTATGAGTGATAAGCTTAATTAATTTTTGTTAGGCTTTTTTCTTTCAACAGTTCTGTATAAAAATGTTCAAACTCACAGTAAAGTTAAAAGAACTTTACAGTAAAAACCTATGTACCCATCACCTAGAATCTACCATTAACATTTTACCGTACTTGTCTTATTAGATATCTTTACACCCATTCATCCATCAGTCTTACTTTTTAATGCATTTCAAAGTAAATTTTTTCCATCGGTACACTTTTTCCTAAATATTTAGATATGCACTTGAGTATATTTTTATTTCTTTCACACAATATTGAGACACGTTGCAAGTGACTAATCTCATCCATTATGTGAGAATTAATAGAGATTGGTGCCTTGCTTTGCTGCTATAATGTGCAGTTTAGTTCTCTCACATAATCTTACTCACTTTTAGGATTTATGAAGGCCTAGAGAAAAATTGAGGAAAAATAATTATCTGCATTTTGTTTATATACCTGTGCCTCCCTCGTATTTCCAAGGAGAATAACCCTTAAATTTTTGAATCAAGTCTTTATTCACGGTTCTCAAATATCACTTCAATTTACCTAATTGTATCCTTATTTCAACTGTTAAAGTGTATGAGAATGGTAAATTTGGACATGGACTAGCTATTTGATGATATTACAGACTTATTTATTTTTTAATATTTGAATAATATAGTAGAGACAATATCATTGTTATAAATTGATAAACAGAAAAGAGTCTTCTCTTTAGAGATAGATGCTAAAGTATTAATGAATTTGTGGAATAATATGGTGTCTGGGATTTGCTTCAAAATAATCCAGGGGACGGTGCAAAGTGATTGAGATATATGTGAAACAAGATTGACTATGAGTTGAGAATTGTTGAAGTTAGATTATGGCAATGGGGGTTCATTATGATGTTCTCACTATTTTTGTGTATATTTGAAAATTGCCATAATAAGTTAAAATGATACGATAAAGGATAGCATGTTATTAGGCATTCAAATTCAAGACTAGAAAAATTTTAAGGTCTTTTTAGAGAAAATCATAGCCATTTAAAATTTTTCCTTATATTTAATCTGTAAAGAATTATTTTTGCCATTAGTATAATTACTTTTTATTTCTTGCTCTGGATTAAAATGCAAACTCCTAAATCTTTGCTATGGCTTTCTTACTTGGTGCCACTTAGTGGAGATTTTGATAAGCAAAATAAATGTTTGACTTCGGGTCTGGATAATTTACTTAACTAAATAATAAACCCTGAAGTTCTAAATATGTAGGGAACTAGAGTTACATGTTTGGCTTGCAACACCTGTTATAAATTAAAGAAACTGTTTCTTCTCTAAAGTACATATGCAGACTTCAAAATCAGTGTTAAATAAGCCTGTAACAAAGTGATATTATAATTCATGAGTATTTCTAAGATACAGGTATTGCTTTTTTATTATTGAAAGGTAAGCTTGCCAGTGAAATGACTAAAAGCATTTTTAAAACATGAAATAGAGTTGATATTGTTGTCATGATTGTACCATGTAATCCTAGTTAAAATGACACTGTATAAGCATTTTCTACTTTTTTAGGCTGATTTCTTACAAATAAAATAACAGTGATAAGTCTCAAAGTTAATCATCTGGCATAGCCTTATTGACAATCTCTACTCTTGTTTTTCCCCCCAACATTTCTAATAGGAGTGCATCTCACAGTCTTCTATAATCTCCGGAGGGAAATTCCCTGTGTTCAGGATTCTAACTTGGAGGGACCATGGAGCAGTATACAGCGAACAGCAATAGTTCAACAGAGCAGATTGTTGTGCAGGCTGGTCCGATTCAGCAGCAGGTATGGAAGTAAAACTGCTTTAAATGTCACAGCAGTAGATTGATAACAGCACTACTCAATTGGGGAATTATTTCAGAGATACCAGATCTTATAAAGAATGGGTGTAATGGCTTGTGCTAACAATGAAGTGCTTTTTGAAGATTAAACTTGTGATTTCTCTGCTGTTTTCTGTGTTCAGAACCTATATCCAGGCCGTGACTACTGAGAATTTGCTCTTCCTGGGAGCCTGGTTTAATGTTTTTATTTTAGAGTGAAGAATGGAGAGGGTTAGAGAGATAGAGACATTGATTTGTTGCCTCCAACAGGACCCCCACCACCTAGGAATCAAACTGGTTACTTCCTGGTTCATGGGTTGAAGCTCAAACACTGAGTCACACTTTTTATTTTATTAAAAGTCAAAACACATCATCTGTTTTCAGATGGAAATTTGGAGTTCTTTTTTATTTTATTTTTTTTTAATATATTTTATTGATTTTATACAGAGAGGAAGGGAGAGAGATAGAGAGTTAGAAACATCGATGAGAGAGAGTCATCGATCAGCTGCCTCCTGCACACCCCCTACTGGGGATATGCCCGCAACCAAGGCACATGCCCTTGACCGGAATCGAACCCCGGTCCCTTCAGTCCCCAAGCCAACGCTCTATCCATTGAGCCAAACCGGTTTCGGCGGAAATTTGGAGTTTTTATTTTCTCAGGATTCAATTTGTTGTTTTTCTACTTGATTAAGCTAGTGTGTAATCTACTAAGGTATTGGCCACAATACACAAACCAAGATAGTCAGTGTCTAAGAAGTTTACTGTTCTTTGACTGAATCCACTAAAGTGCTTACTGTGAAAAGTTCTAGTTTACCATGAGGCTAATAGACAGCCATTCTAATGGATAAACAGCCATTCTAATGGATAAGCAATTCCCTACTTAATTGGGTTACTTTCTTGAATTTACACACAGCTTACATTTTCTGATGCTTTATATGTGGCTTTATTTTAGTGAAACTTCTCTTGTTTCTCTACATAGGAGAAATTGTCATGTATCAATTTAACTTTAGGACAAGATTAGGAATATTTTGTTTCTAAAATGCATCTTAGATAATATAGAAAAGTAGTTTGTAGGGAGGGCAAAGGAAAGTTTGATGGTGAGTTCTATCTAATGACCAAAGGAAAAGCACTCTTCATTACCAGAGTAGTTGTTTAACAGAATAGTTATTTAAACCTCTTTACTCGTCTTTCCTGCCATGTAGCTGCTGTGGCTCTGGCAGCTTCTTCTGTTTCTTTGTGAAAGGGATTCCACAGAGGGCCCTCGATGGGTGAATTTTCATTTGGTCAGAACTTGTCATTACAGAACATAAAAATTGGGTTGACATTTTCTAAGGTAGTCTATCTAATTGAGTAGAAGTAATTCTAGTGTGAGGACATGGGAACAGTAACCTCATGAAAATTATTTTGGTTCACAGTGATTTCCTTTCTGATGATTGCATTTAAGCCCCAGAAATTTTTCATTGTAGCTTCAAGGTTATTAAAATCTTTGTTCTTGTGAATTGGTTTGAGGAGATAAACAAACAACAATAAAACAGGCATTAAAATAACATTGTAGGCAAAAGGATCAATACCTATTTCTGGAGGGAAGGATTGCGTTAACAATTTATATATATATATATATATTTTATTGATTTTTTACAGAGAGGAAGAGAGAGGGATAGAGATTTAGAAACATCGATGAGAGAGAATCATCGATCAGCTGCCTCTTGCACATTCTGCAATGGGGATGTGCCCGCAACCAAGGTACATGCCCTTGACCGGAATTGAACCCCCGAACTTTCAGTCCACAGGCTGATGCTCTATCCACTGAGCCAAACCGGTTTTGGCAACAATTTTTGTTTTAATGATAACTGTTTTGACATTTTTGAGACATGGAAGTATGTTTTGAGTTTCACTCTGGGGACAAAGGGCTAATGTCTTCAGTCCTGTTACCTTCAACCAAACAGGTTCAGGCTAGGGAGTCTGTACAGTTTGAAAGTCCTGTGTAAGGTGGGGTTGTTAAGACTCTCTCACACCCCTATAAGAGGTAAGGTGATCTCATGCCTTGAACCATACATTTTCTTCCTGACACATTTCAAGCTCTTCCTGTTCCTGTTCTCAGCAGCAGGGTGGTGTCACTGCTGTCCAGTTGCAGACTGAGGCCCAGGTGGCATCCGCCTCAGGCCAGCAAGTCCAGACCCTCCAGGTAGTGGTGCCCTCTCTGATTCTCTGTAAGCACTGCATGAACTTCTCTTTTCCTCATGTCTGGTGCCATTTGTGGTAGGATCTCAAAGAGGAATGGCAAAGTCAGTTGCATGTTTTTGATGCTAACTTGTCTGAGACTTACACCATGCCAGTTCCCTAATGTTTCATGCCAAGTCATGTGACTCCATTGTGAATTTTCTGAAAACAGCATTTGGCTAGTACTTTTTTTTTGGGAATGCCTTGGAAAGAATTGTCATAAAGGATAGGAAAAAATTCTTACAGTGACATCAAAACCTATTTAGAGTTCAAGTTCTGTGTCAGATTGCAAGATAAAATTTCATGAATTTTACTATAATAGTAAGGAGAAAATCATGTGCATTAGCTAGGCTAGATTGTTTTTATTAAAAGGGTAAATCAGGTACAAAATAATCATTGTACTTGGAAAGTTTTATCTAATCACTAAATCTCTTGTTAATCTCTTTACTATTTTCTAGGAAAATAGTCATCTTTTTTTTTTTTTTTTTTTTTTTTAATCAGATCTGCAAAGATCATCCCATACCTCTAGATTGGATATAAGTGGGATAGATATGCTTTCTATAGGTCTTAGGTGGTATAGCCACTGTAAGAATTCTTACTTATTGTGGCTATAACAATTCAGTTCCCTAACATGTTGGCTAAGTTAAATATTCAAATTTGGCATGATATTTTGGCCAATTTCAGTATAAAATCAGGAGCAGGAGCATTAGTCTTTTCTGTGTCTGTAGGTTACTTTGACTAAAATAACTGTATTTTTTAGAAGCTGGTAAGACTTCGGTGCCCTATCTTTTTCATCCACTAAAATAGAAGTAGTTCAATGTAGGACCTAGAATGTAGAACCACTAAACATCCTGCAGTTAATTACCCATTATTGTAATCATTTTACTTTACGGTTTCAGCCCCACTCCCACACCTGCCACTCACAGTGTTTGATGATGCCAATTCTGAACAACAATTAGCCTGAAAGAACCTAATCTTGTAGGTTCTTCCAAACTATAAATCTCAGAGTTCAGCAGCTTGTAATTTATGTTTTCATGCTTGCTTCATCTTACTGATGTGTAAAATAATACTGTCATTAACCACTTTGGAATGGGAATGTAACATGCTCTTAACTGTATGGCTTTTTGTCTGATGCATGTATCCTTGCAATCATTCATATGTTGTAAATACAAGTGGGCTTCTTGGAGTCTCAAATGGTTTATTATGTGTGCTCACAGCATGTCAACAAGGGGAAAAGTTAAGATGACAGAGAGCTAAAAAATTATTATAGTTATGCCTTAAAACTTGTATTCTTACATATGTAGATTTTATTTAAAAGAAGTGGAGACAATTTATGGAAATAATAGAAACTATTCCTTAAAGTAGGGGTGTCGAACTCAATCAGAGAAGGGGCCAAAATCTAAAATCCAGCCTTAATCGTGGGCCAAATGGTTTACTGAACAGTCATAAACTGTCATTGTGATGGAAACGCAGTGGAGTGCAGTGATGACAGCGCGGTGTGGGCCACATTGCAAGGCCTGGCGGGACGGATTTGGCCCGCGGGCCTTGTGTTTGACACATGTGCCTTAAAGGTTTCATTACTTAGGAAAACTTTAAATACGTAGTTCTTTTAATTATTCATGCAATAAATGTTCTGAAAAAAATCTATCCTGCTGAAACATACGCAGACATTGGAGTGACGAGGGATTTGATTTGGGGGGGGGGGGGGGAGAAAGGGAAGGAAGAAGCAGTGGAATCAAATTGTAAAGTTCTTAATTTTAAACGAATTTCTAAATGAGCAGTTTCACAAAAGCTAGGATTTCGAATATTTCTAAAGGTTCTGGAACACTTGTGAGGGGGTGCTTAATATCTAATTTACTCCTATAGGTCTGATTGATAATTTTATTGGAACATTTTTTTTCCACTGGCATTAAGAATGACTGTTTTAGTCATGCAAATTTTTTTGTAATATTATAAGTAATTTCTCAAAGATAGAATCAGAAAATGAGTTTTTGATTTTTAGCTATTCTGTTGAACATTCACTCCATTTCACTTTTTAAATGGCTTATATTTTGGCTCTAGAAAGCATTCTATTATCTAGGTATTTTTTATTGGGACTCAAAATGTTACAACAGAGCATTTACAATGGCCTGGCTTTTAGAGTTTTCATGGGAGCTTCAAAGTTGGAAATTTTTTTATATGCTTGAGTGCTTTGTATAATTTCCATATTTGTCATTGCTTCTGTTAAAATTAAAATAACTGGAGGTGCTGCAGGACCCAGTGCAAGGAATTCCATCGCAGATACTACTAACTGATCAGAAAATATTTCTAGGCAGTTTTTACTAGTAGGCTCTTTTCAACAACAACCAGAATATAAGGTGAAGAGAGTAAAATATGTACATTTCATATATGCTTGAGGAAGGGTGTTCTGCATAAGATTCTAGAGTGGCTTGCTACCCAGTCTCCTGCATTGTATAGTTTGATTTACTCCCTTAGGTTGATTAGAACTTATATTTAACCATCATCACCACCACTAGCTACCCTTCTCATTGCCTCCTCTTCAGCCCTCACTAGAGTTCATTCCTGGATATTAGTCTAAAAAGGCAAATAGTCTTGACATTTGTTTAAACAGTTCTTATGGAGTAAGCCTATATTTGGTGACAAATGCCTTATATCTATTGAGACTTCCCAAAGACTGGATATACTTCATTATGTCTGACTTTAAAGTATTCCACTTGGCCTCTGGTTAAAAATACCATAGATGCTTGAAGAAGATAGGACTTTAGACTTACTATTGGGGGTGGGGTAGGAGGAGGCTCTCCTGCCTTTCCCCCCTCTAGCAAGGCAGCAAAATAGTTCCAGTAATTGTCGTTTAGTAAAAACCATTTTGTGTCTTGTGTTATTTCATTGTACTCATTTTATTTCATTCTAGGTCCAGGGGCAGCCATTAATGGTGCAGGTCAGTGGAGGCCAGTTAATCACATCAACTGGCCAACCCATCATGGTCCAGGCTGTTCCTGGTGGACAAGGTCAAACCATCATGCAAGTACCTGTATCTGGATCCCAGGGTTTGCAGCAGGTGAGTGGTATGGAAAAGTGTTTAGGCAGACTATCAGAGGTTTTTAAAAGAATAGTTATTATAAGCTGTTTGATAATTGATATTGTTGCACTTAATTGCTTCCTACCCTCTCTTTGCATTTAGTCAGTAGTCCATCTTTGTAGTACCAGTGGTAAAGCAGAACTAGACATAAATTGTACATCCCTGTAAGGACTAATTAGACATGATTTTTGAATCAATGTGAAAATATGAAAATCTAGTTTTATAAAAGTAATTCATTGGGTGAGCATTAAGGGAGGAAATTTATAATCTGCTTTTGGTATTCTTGTTTTTGCCAGAAGTGCTATCTTTTTCATTTCTTTAAGTCATCTAGCAACTAATGAAAAAAGGATATTTCAACCCATACCCATCACGCATACCATACACTATATTTGGAGCAAAACTTAATAGCCTTTTTTATAATTGAAAATAAGTTAATAATATTTATCACAGGAAGTTAGGAAAAGAACAAAATGAGCAAAAAGTAGGTTAAAATTATTAAAGAAGAAAACCAACAAAAATGTAGACAGTAAATAAAAACTGATTCTTTAAAGAGATCAATAAAATAGATAAATCCAATGGAAAGACTGATTCCAAAACAGAAAACAAAGGTAAAAAAGACAAAGCATGTAGAAGAGATTAACAGAAGTAGGTAAGATGTTACATGCAAATATTAAAAGTAGAGTGATTTCTATCAATTTGGCAAAATTTAAAAAAAAATTATTATATCCCGTTCTACAATGGGTGTGAAGGAAAGGAAACACTCATTCTGTAGGTAATTTCAAATTCTGATGTCATTTGGAAGGCATCTTACTCTTAAATACATAAACCTATCCCACTTCTGAGAAACCTATAGGATGAAAAGCATTGATATATAGGGAGAAATGTACAAGTACATTTATTGCAACATTGTGCTACCAAATAAAGCTGTATTGTAACTTGAATGCCTATTAAAAAGAATAAGTCATACGATATTCATATATGAAACAGAAGGTTGTTAAAAAGAATAAACTGTTGACATAGAATGGTGGTTAATACTAAAGTACTTTTGGCAAAAAATAATTTGCACGGAAACATATACTATGTGATATTATCTTTGTAATTAGTAGCCAAAGCCCTATGTAATACATGTGTTTGTTAGCATGGAAATGGAATGAGGAAGAACTATTAATTTTTTACTATATAGATTTTTTTTTAATAATTAAAGTGATCACATTGGTGTCTTAATATTTTTGGAGGAATTTAATACAAGTTGAAAAAAGCCGTGATCACACTGCTTAACAATTCAGACTTCTAATTTTTCCACATTTCTTTGTTTTGTTTTGTTTTCAAATCTTCACCTGAGGTTATTTTTTCCATTGATTTTTAGAGAGAGTAGAAGGGAATATGAGAGACAGACAGACAGACATTGATGTGAGAGAGACATCAATTGGCCAACCTCTGCCCTGCCTACTTTATTTTATTTTTGCTTATATAGCTAAGGTTACTATAAATTTATTTGAGCATGATAGTTTTATTTTCAGTTGAATTCTTAGGGTAGTTACTTTGGAGTGGGGAAATTGCTTGGCTAAGGAGTAGGAACATTTTTAAAGTTATTGGCACCCTAGCTGGTTTGGCTCAATGGATTGAGTGTCAGCCTGCAGTCTGAGGCATTTCGGCTTTGATTCTGGCCAAGGGCACATGCCTGGGTTACAGGCTTGATGCCCAGTGTGGGTATGCGGGAGGCAGCCAATCAATGGTTCTCTCTCATCACTGATGTTTCCCTCTCCCTCTTCCTTCCCTCTAAAAATCAATGAAATATATTTTTTAAAAATAAAACTATTGGCATATTTTTGCCTCAATAGAGTTGCAGTTAGAATTAAATATAGTTTTCACATTTCCCCATGAATAAATGTATGGGGCTTTAAATATATTTCCAGTATGTATACTTTAACTCTTTCACACTATATAATTTCTGTCCTATTGCCTTCTCTTCATCCCCTTGCCACACCTTCTTTTCCACTCCCGAATGGAGTCCTGTGATGTAGTGTTAGGAACAGTGTGCTGGGGATGTAGTGATCTGACTTCATTCCCAGGTCTGCCATTAAGCAGGTTTTCATTTGTCAGTTTTCTCATCTGAAAATGCAGTTTATATCAGGTGATTTTTAGGGTTCATTCCAGTTCTAAATTCTATAATTCTATGGTATGTATGTATGTACATATTGGCCCTTAAGAGTCTCTAGCAGGGTTATTTTATTCTCCTCCTTCCAGGACTGTTCATGTAACTCATCAAACCAGCTGGGTGGCCCCCCAATAGGCCTTGATCGCCAGCCAGGCCAAGGGACCCCACCCATGCACAAATTTGTGCACTGGGCCTCTAGTAGATATATAATAGAGAAGTACCTAAAGGGTATTATGTTAAGTGAAGTAAGTTGGACAGAGAAGGACAAATATATAATTTCAGTTATATGTGAAATCTAACAAACAGAAACAGACTCATAGATACAGAGAATAAGAGATGATTGTTAGAGGTGAGCGTGGCAGGAGAAGGAAGAAAAAGGTGAAGGATTGAGAGGTACAAATTTCTAGTTATAAAATAAGTCTTGGGAATGTAATGTATGACAGTGTGTGTGTGTGTGTGTGTGTGTGTGTGTGTGTGTGTGTGTAGAGAGAGAGAGATAATATTCAAAATGTCCAAGATGCCATAATGTCACAACTGCTCAGGAGGAGGCTGCACACACAGGTGGGTGAGAAGGAACTGCATGCACAGTGAGGCAAGCCACAGATGGTGCAGGCCCGGAGGGAAGAGGGCCTGTCAGCCGTGGCGTGCTGGCAGTCCTGCCTCTGCATGTGAGTTACAGAGGAAACACCTTTTCTGACTGCTCACTGGCTAAGCTCCGATATGTAACTCGCGGTGTTTTTGGTCACTTGAGTAATAAGAATCCAAGAAGGTGATCTAGGGTTTTTCCACCTCACTCCTGGAAGGGAAAAGGAAGGTCTGCTGCTGGAGGGGCTAAGAAATGTCATATCCTGCCCTAGCCAGTTTGGCTCAGTGGATAGAGCCTCAGCCTGTGGACCACAGGGTCTGGGTTTGATTTTGGTCAAGGACATGTACTTAGGTTGCAGGCTTGATCCCTTGCCTTGGTTGGGGCGTGTGTGGGAGGACACTAATCGATGTTTCTCCCCCTTCCTTCCACTCTAAAAAGTCAGTGGAAAAATAGCCTTTGGACGAGGATTAACAAACAAACAAAAAAAGCAGAGCAGGAGTTTGGTCTTGTTTTGTTTTGTTTTTCTTTTCACAGTACTTTTCACTTTGTAGAGGAATGTGGATAACTAATACTCCAGGACCAAATGATACAGTGTCAAAGGGGTACTAACCTTTCTTTGTATTGTCTTCCACAGATCCAGTTGGTCCCACCTGGACAGATCCAGATCCAGGGTGGGCAGGCTGTGCAAGTGCAGGGCCAGCAGGGCCAAACCCAGCAGATCATCATCCAGCAGCCCCAGACAGCTGTTACTGCTGGCCAGACCCAGGTAATTCCACTAGCTCTGAACACAGCACAGCTGATTGAGAAGGGTCAAATAGCTGAGCCATATATTTCACATGTAGTAGAAATGAGGGAGAAAACCATAAAAAAAATATATAGAAAGAGAACTAAGATAGCTACATAGGTAAACACCTGAACTTGCTGCTGCGCACAAATCATATCAAGACTACAACTAAAAGACAAAACGAATATCATCCAGAGCCATGGGAATGCTGGCTGAGTGGAAATTCTACAACTAGAAGGAAAGAAAAAAGCACATTAAGAGATCTGGCGGCGACGCATGCGAAAGGGGCTGGCAACTGGGTGCACTGTGTCTTTTTCTGTCAGGAGGGAGTTACAAGCTCCTGGCTGCTCTGACCTCCAATTCTGGATGAGACTCTGGGGGCTCAAGACTCATTAGGGGAGAAACTAACTGGACTGTCTGGCATCGGGGCCGGAACGCGAAGGCAGCTTACTCTCAGAGGTGCTTGTAGCACTTCAGGGCAAAGCTGATGGTAGCCATTTGCTGTTTGCTCCACCCTGGTGATTCCCTGAGACCCCACCCCATCCATTTTACAACCCCATCCAAGCTGTTTTCAGAGGCTTTTGCATATGAATGAACTGGCCTTTTGCAATCTAAAACCTAACCAACTGCCACTGGGTCAGAGAGCACCAGAGCTTCCAAAAGAAGGCCCAACAGCTTGCATTGTTTTACAACTGGACCTCATCTGGGCACCTCCAAACCCCAAAGGAAGAGAAGGAATCTGCAGACCTCTCTGTAGCTCTTGCTGGATGGCCTCAGGCAGTGGCTGACTTTGCTACTCCTTGGAGATCCAAGAGCCAGTGTACCCAATGGTCATAGTGAGACTATACAGATTACATCTCTTCATATCCATAATAGACACACTCAGGGTGGGCAGACTCAGTGAGCACCAAAGCCCCACTGAAGCAACTCCTGCTCCATAAAGGTGTCTCCAGCACAGATGTTCTCCCATTATAGACACAAATGCTCCTCACAGCCAATTGGCCTAGAGGTCAATTTCTCCCAGTGATACCAACAGCAATCAAGGCTTAATTACCACATGACTGCACACAGCCTACAAAGGGGTACACCAAGAGTATCCACCTCAAGTAATTAAGGAGGCTGAGCCACTGGGCCCTATAGGACACCTAGCACACAAAGCCACTCTATCAACACAGGGAAGCAGCCAAAATGTGGAGACATACGGGTTACAAATGAAAGAAATGGAGAAAAGCAAACTACTGGTCAAAACCATGGTTATAAGGTTACTCTAAAATCACCTAAAAACCTCCAAGAAATATAGTGAGACCCTCAAGGATATCAAAAAGAACCAATCAGAAATAAAGCAAACACTGACTGAAAGAATAATATTCAGCCCTGACCAGTTTGTTCAGTGGGTAGAGCATCAGCCTGCAGACTGAAGGGTCCCAGGTTCGATTCCAGTCAAGAGCATGTACCTTGGTTGATGGCACATTCCTAGTAGGAGGCATGCAAGAGGCAGCTGATTGATGTTTCTCTCAGCAATGTTTCTAACTATTCCTCTCCCTTCCTCTCTGTAAAAAATCAATAAGAAATATTTTTAAAAAAAAGAATATTCAGAGATCCAGCAGCAGACTAGAGGATCCCAAGAATCAAGTCAAAGATTTGAAATAGGAAGAAGCAAAAAAACACCCAACTGAAAATGAAAAAAGAATCTAAAAATATGAAGATAGTGCAAGAAGCCTCTGGGACAACTTCAAGTGTACCAACATCCGAATTATAGGGTTGCCAGAAGAAGAGAGAAAGATACTAAAAACCTATTTGAAGAAATAATAATAGAAAACTTCCCCTACCCAGTGAAAGAAATAGACCTTCAAGTCCAGGAAGCGCAGAGAACCTCAAACAAAAGAAATCCAAAGAGGACCATACAAAGACACATAATTAAAATGCCTAGGACAAAAGACAAAGAATATTAAAAGCAGCAATAAAAAAATAATAAATAAAATAAAAGCACCAATAGAAAAACGGTTACCTACAAGGGAGTACCCATACAATTGTCATCAATTTCTCAACAGAAACTATGCAGGTTAAAAGGGAGTGGCAAGAAATACTCAAACTGATGAATACCAAGAACCTACAACCAAGATTACTCTACCCAGCAAAGCTATTGTATCATTCAGAATTGAAGATCAGATAAAGAGCTTCAAGCTAAAGGAGTTAATTACCTTCAAACCAGTATTATATGAAATGCTGAGGGTATTCTTTACAAAGAGGAAGAAGAAGGAAAAGGTAAAGTTAAAAATTATGGACAACAAATATCTATCAACAAGTGAATAAAAAGCTGATGAACAGAATAAACTGGTGAATATAATAGAATTGGGCATAGAAAGGGAGTGGACCAACAATTCTTGGGGGGCAGTGTGGGGGGGTGTGGGAAGAGACTGGATAAAATTGTACGCCTATGATGAGGACAGTGGGGGCGGAAAGGGGTTGGGTGGGAACCATGTGGAGTGGAGCTATGGGGTGAAAAAGGAACAACTAATAATCTGAACAATAAAGATTTATTTTTTAAAAATAATAAAATTTAAAAAAATAAAAGGGCGCAAAGGATTTAAATCACTGTTTCTTTGTAGTCTGAGGCAATAGAGACTGGGAGGAATAAAATTCTAAAATCTACACAGAGAAAATGTGTGTGTATGTATTTAAAAAAAAAAAAAAAAAAAGACCAGCCCTGGCCAGGTGGCTCCATTGGTTGGAGCACTGTCCTGTACACCAAAAGGTTGCAGGTTAATTTCTGATCAGAGCACATGCCTGCATTTCGAGTTCGATCCCAGCTAGAATGCATACAGGAGGTAACCAACCGATTGATGTTTCTCTTGCATCAGTGTTTCTCTCTCCCTTTCTCTAAATCAATCAAGTTACATCCTGGGATGAGGATTTTTAAAAAGAAAAAGACTACACGGCCTTTTGTGATATTTTAGAGTCTCTTAAAATGTGTTACAATTTTTCCAATAGACACAGCAGCAAATTGCTGTCCAGGGGCAGCAAGTGGCACAGACTGCTGAAGGGCAGACCATTGTTTATCAGCCAGTTAATGCAGACGGTACCATTCTCCAGCAAGGTAAGTATGCCCATTCATTTCTGTCTACTTTTGGGGGATTCATCTTTATCTCTTGAGCAAATTATGCTTCAGGAATTTTGTGATCTCTACATGATATATTTTTGAACAAAAAAGATTTTCTCTTAAGTCTTCATTGATTGTTATTAGGTCCTTGTCACTAATACATGATCAATGTTCATTCCATTTGGAGGAATCCCTAAGTAGTGGTTATAAGATTGAGCCTAATGAGGATGTAAAATACAGCATAGGCAATATAATCAGTGATATCCTAATAACTATGTATGGTGTCAGATAGGATCGAGGTTTATGGGGATGATCACTTAGTAAGTTATGTAATGTCTAATTACTTGGGTGTACACCTGAATAATAATGTATGTCAACTGTAGTTGAAAAATAATTTCTAAAAAAAGGACTGCTCATAAGGATTATATAAGCTTTAATCTTCTACTTAACACTTTCTAAATAGAAGATTGGAAATAGAAGTTGTTGCTTAGGTGTATTTTTATCAGGGCCACTTTTTTGTTAATTTATTCCAAAAATACTTATTATGTGCCTATTATGTATGTATGTAGAACTTTGCTAAGAAAGAAGAGCTTCTCAAAGAAACTCTAGTCTAATAAGAGAGACATACATGTGAACAAAAAAATGTAGTGCAGAATCCTTATGGAGGTATGTTCTAGGAATAAATCATGCACACAGAAGGGAGGGATGAAATATGGCTTGAGAGGAGAATGTATTTCAAAGAGGAGGAGATGGCTCAAACTGAACTGAAGAGCTTTTGGAAGCATTTGTCAGATAAGTCTAAAGAGAATATCTGATTCCATGACTAAAGGTTTGACTTATGATTAAGACTTACCAGTATGTGCCGAGACCAGTTTGGCTTAATGGATAGAGCGTCAGCTTGGGGACTAAAGGGACCCGGGTTCGATTCTGGTCAAGGGCATGTACCTTGGTTGCGGGCATATCCCCAGTAGGGGGTGTGCAAGAGGCAGCTGATCGATGACTCTCTATCTCTCTCCCTTCCTCTCTGTACAAAATCAATAAAATATATTTTAACAAAAAAAAAAAGACTTACCAGTATGTAAAATCCAGTGGATGCAGTAACTGTGCTTTTGTTATGACTCAGGAGAGGGCCTGAACTGGATTGAGCCCTGGCAAGAACTCAGAAAATGGTAAACACATTCTCCTCGGTGCTGCTGTTGATAGTTTGGGGACTAGGAATGCTTGGTTTAAGCTTTAGGCCTGCAACTGGCTGATTCCTTGTCAATTTAGGATGAACAATTTATACGCTTATAAAATTTCTATCGTGAAACAGATTATCCATATGTTCAAAAACTGGGGATAGCTATAGTCAGACTGACCCATAGAAGTGGAAGACTCCAAACTGTCTCGCCACCTGTTGAAAACTATTATTGTAATGCCAAGGAAAGTATCCATTTCAAGGATAGATTTATTCAAAGCTAGAACCAAGAAAATTAATTGGGTTTCAAAGATTGTGATTACATGGGTTTTATATAGTGAACCAGGCAGAGAGGGAGAGTGCTTTCCCCCCCTTATGCAGTTTAGTTTTTCCAAGGTGATTGAGTGTGTGCCAGATAGAAGAGGAACTAACTGTGTTCCCTTCTTTCTGTGTACCTGTTTTTTGTTTTATGTTTTATTTTCTTAAAGTTACAGTCCCTGTTTCAGGCATGATCACCATCCCAGCGGCGAGTTTGGCGGGAGCACAGATTGTTCAGACAGGAGCCAACACCAATACAACCAGCAGTGGACAAGGGACTGTCACTGTGACACTGCCAGTGGCAGGCAATGTGGTCAATTCAGGAGGGATGGTCATGGTAAGAATATTAATTCTTCAGCTCACTGTTCTCATCTGTAATTTCTTTTCCTACATATCGGTCTTTGCAAAATTCTTAAACTTGCAATTTTATGTCTCTCATAAAGCTTGTTAATAATGTTGACCTCTTGGCATTGAACTTGATCCTTAAGACACTTGCAGAGATCTATTTTTATAATAAACACTAGAGGCCCGGTGCATGAAATTTGTGCACAGGAGGTTGGGGGGGGGGGATATCTCTCAGCCTGATCTACACCCTTTCCAATCTGGGATCCCTCGTGGAATGTCCAACTGCCAGTTTAGGCCTGATCCCATTGGACATTCCTCTTGTAATCCAGGACTGCTGGCTCCTAACCAGTCACCTGACTGCCTGCCTGCTCATCCCTAACCGCTCTGCCTGCTGGCCTGATAACCCCCTAACTGCTCCCCTGCCAGCCTGATTGCCCCTAATTGCCTCTGCCTACCAGCCTGATTGCCCCCTAACTGCCATGTGCTGGCCTGATTGCACCTAGCTGCCCTCCACTGCCAGCCTGATCGCCCTTAACTGTCACTGCCTCAAGCTGCCCCCCCACCCCTCACCATGGCTTTCAGAAGATATCTGGTCTTAGTAGCATATTACTCTTTTATTAGTATAGATTACAGTGAACTATAATTCATTGTGAGGACCCATTAGTGCCAGGTACTATTCTTGGTGCTGGAGATATAGTAGTGATTAATCAGATTAAATGTGTGATATAAATACAGTGAGAAGATAGAGAAGGAAAGTTGGGTGGTATGTGAAAGCTAAATCCTCTTATGTCTAAATAGAATATCTGTAAATAGTATCTAAAATGGATAAATTAAGAATTGAGTAGCAGAAGCCTGCACAGAGAGGAGGAAACTACCAGAAGAAACAATACAGACATTCAAAGTTAACGTTGGGAAGGGAGTGTAGCTAAGGAGACTTGTCTCATACATTTAGTACAGTGTTTCATTTTTGTTTATTTAGAAAAATTAGTCTTAAATTATATAGTACCGTATTTTCTGGCGTATAAGACGACCCCCTAATTTTACAGTTAAAACATAGGTTTAGGCCTATATTCGCTGTATAAGACTACCTCCCACTTCAAAGAAAAGACTTACTTTGCCGTCAAGATCTGCAGGTAATTTTTGTGCAGTTTTGGTCTTTTGCCCCTGATTTTCGGTTGACTTTTTTTCATTTCAAAAGTCGTCTTATACGCCGGAAAATACGGTAAGTTAACTAAATTAGTTGTATAACTGTAGGCATTAAGTAGCACTTGGTAAATTTACCAATTTTTCATTGAACTGTTTTACCATATTGTCACACAATAGGCTTGGTGCACGAAATTAATGCACAGGTAGGCTCCATAGGCCTAGCCAGTGGTCAGGGCTGATTGGGGCCTGCTGGCTTTCAGCCTCCCTTCCCTGGCTGCTGTCTGGGGCCTTCCTTCATTTTCGCACTGTCCCTTGGTGGTCAGCACACGTCATAGCAAGTGGTAGAACTCCCAGTCTCCTACTCCAACTCCCAAGGGGACCCGTTGCATGTTAGCCTGTCATATATATAGATGATTACTGTCTGGATGACTAGATGGCAGCAGACATTCCTAGAGAATGGAGCCATGCATGGACAAGAATTTGGACCAGATTATGTTATTTCTAAGTGTGGCTTCTAGGCCCCCAATTGATAGATTTGTAATGTTTGTTTAAAATGCATTTAATGAAAGTGTTCTCCAGGAAGTGCATTTAACTGAATGCCCTGTAAAATAGATTACCACAGTTTAAGAAACTGTTTCCTATGTCTATACTTTATGTCACTATTTAATAAACTGGTTTTCTCTCAACACAGATGGTGCCTGGTGCTGGGTCTGTGCCTGCTATTCAAAGAATCCCTCTACCTGGGGCAGAGATGCTCGAAGAAGAGCCTCTCTATGTGAATGCCAAACAGTATCACCGCATACTTAAGAGGAGGCAAGCCCGAGCCAAACTAGAGGCAGAAGGGAAAATTCCAAAGGAAAGAAGGGTATGTTCTACTTTAGGAATAAGTTAAACCTTTTATATGGTTTGTTTCCTTGAGAACTTTCCAAACAACTGAAGATAGATAGCTGGTTTGCTTTTTTGTTTTTTAATATATTTTTATTGATTTCAGAGAGGAGGAGAGAGAGAAACATCAATGATGAGAGAGAATCACTGATCAGCTGCCTCCTGCACACCCCACACTGAGGATCCAGCACGCAACTTGGTCATGTGCTCTGACCAGGAATCAAACCATGACATTCTGGTTCATATAAGTCGATGCTCAACCACTGATCCACACCAGCCAAGCTCATTGGCCAAAATGTAATTACATGGCCATTTACCTGCAAATAAGGCAAAGAAATGCAGTGTTTTTACTAAGCAGCCATTTGCCCAACAAAAATTTAGCCTGTTATTAAAACAAAGGAGAGGATATTTTTTTATTTTTTTATTTTTTTTTCAGGTATTATTATTTTACTGATTTTCTTTTTTTTTTTTTCTTTTACATTTTTTTATTAAATTATTATTTGAGTACATATTTTAACATTCCCCCCCAACCCCGAGGATATATATATTAAGAGATAGTTATCTATGGGATATCTTTGGGGAGTCTTTTTTATTGTATTTATTTAGCATTTACTTCTTATGATAGTTATATATGGTTAGCTATCCAGTGTTTTCTCTAAAGCTTTCTCCATAATTCAAAGTCATAAGTGCCTCTGGTGGCTTTGATCATTGCTTTTTTAAACTATTCAAGATGGAATTAGGTAACTATGCTGGTTCTAGCTAGTAGTTAAGTAGTTTATTTCTGGTTTTAGAAATATCTGCATGAGTCTCGGCACCGTCATGCCATGGCACGGAAGCGTGGTGAAGGTGGGCGATTTTTCTCTCCGAAAGAAAAGGATAGTCCTCATATGCAGGTAAGAAGACTTGTTACTTAGTATTTTCTCAGGTGGAATCTTTTGCATTGTCTAAGCTTTTCCCCCCAACTGAATCTTGACAGCAACCTAAAGCTCCAGGAAATAAAAATCTTACAGTTGAATCAAAGGTTTAGACAGATTAAAGTTTGCCTAAGGTAAAATCTATATATAAAAGGCTAAGTGTCCGTCCAATCAGTAGCTATGATGTGCACTGGCCATTTAAAAATAAACAGCACAACGGACCTGGTGCCGATAAACCAACACTCGGCTTCCCCCAAGTGGGACACAAGCCCCAGCACCACCCTGGAGTGACACCCCACCAATCTCAGTCTATGGCTGCTAAGACTCTATAGTGGAAAATGCAGCCCATGGCCCAGCCCAGAAACTGTTGCTATGAGCGCCTTGTAATTATGTCGCGTAGCAAAGCCTAGCTTCCTCTCCCTAGCGACTAGCCTTGGAGTTTCCCAGCCAGGAACACAGCTTGCTTTATAGCCAAATGCAAACGTTTTACAGTTCAACCAAATATTTGTGAAGCATTTTCCCATGCTTCATCTCATCTTATCCTCAGAAGTCCTGGAGTAGGTACCGTGTTTCCCCGAAAATAAGACATCCTCCGAAAATAAGACCTAATGCATGGAAAGATAAGACATCCCCTGAAAATAAGACCTAGCGCAACTTTGGGAGAAAAAATTATAAGACATTGTCTTATTTTCGGGGAAACAGGGTAGATAGGAGACTTGGTAAACTATTTTCATTAGCTAGACACAAATAATTATATTAAAATATTTCTTCTAATTAATTTTTTTTCAATGTTCACGAATCCATGCACCAGGACACTAGTACTTTATAAAATGACACAACTGAAATTCAAACCCAGGCAGTGTAATTCCATAACTTATTCTGTAACTGGTTCTTACATCTAATTCTACTGATTTTATTGTATTGACATTTCTGAGTCAATGTATATTAAATAGAACTCTTGGTTTGTTTTTAATGCCTCAACCACTCATCTCAATATGTCCATCTACCAGTTACTAGAATTATCCAACTCTTCATTTTACCTCTAAAATATAATCTGAATCAGTTTACTTTTTTCCCTTCCAAATGTCAGCCTGGTCTAATCCTCTCTCTTTGGGTTCAGTTAATGTAATAGCTGCCTACTGGTCTCCCTTCTTTCATTCTTGCGCTGCTATAGTCCATTAGCCATATTTTAGTGTGATCTTTTTAAATGTATATCATATCACATCACCATCTTGCTTAAATTTCTTCTCCTGCCCTTTCGCATTTGCACTTAAGACTAAAATCTAAAGTGTGATCTTGGCTAACAAGGTCCTGAATGATCTAGCTCCTGCCTACCTCTGACTTCATTTCCGCCTACTCCTTAATTTTTATGCTCTTGCTATAGTGTTCATTTTTTGTTCTTCTGCCATTAAGACCTTTTGTTTTCAATATAACCAATTTGTAAAGCTTTTCACCCAAGTATCTCTTAATTCTGTGTTCTAACAATATGGCATCAGTCAAGTTACTTAGCCTCTTTTAGCCTCAGTTTTCTTCACCTGTAAAATGGGGAGCTATTGATACTTCACAAGAATGTGAGAATGTCATGCAGTAAGTCACATTAGGCACCTACTTAGCCTAGTGCATGTGAGAGCTCAGTAAATACTATTAGTATTCTCATTCATTAATGAAGTCCAAGCTCCAGGCCTACCTCCTTCAGAAATCTTTCAGCTTATCCTTGGATCATGCTAATTGAGACTTCAGTGCTGTGGTGTGAAAGAACTGAAGGTGGTTACTATGGAGTATTGCAGAAAGCTTCCACAGACAAATCCTTGTCTTAACGCTGTAGGTTGTGAGAAGCAGGAGGCAGAGTTTAGTGAAAAGAATATTAAATGGGTACCAAGAGATTTAGGAGTTAGTTCTTGCTGGGCTCCTGAGTAACTTATTGATTCTAGTCCAGGCAAATCACTTATACCCATCTGGGCATCTGGTTTATCTGTAACCTCTAGGTTACGCTGTAACCTTTTAACAAAGTGCGTCAAAGTAAATAAATCCCAATGTCACTTAGCTCTGCTAAGCGCTCAGCATTTAAATATAATGAGCAGAAAATAATGACCAAAAATATATCTATACAGTGAGTGGCCAGATTATTATGATCTCTGAACATATAGTAATCTAGCCACTCAGTATATATATATATTAGAGGCCCAGTGTATGAATTTGTGCATGGGTGGGGTCCAGCCAGCCTGGCCAGGGGGAGGGAACATGGGTAGTTGACTGGCCTGCCTGCTGGTTGAACTCCTGATCAAGGGGACAATTTGCCTATTAGCCTTTTATTATATAGGACATACACTGAGCGGCCAGATTATTATGTGTTCAAGGATCATAATAATCTGGCCACTCATTGTATATATACAGCATGTCCTACTGGCCTGGCTCAGTGGTTGAGCATCAACCTATGAAGCAGGAGGTAACGGTTCGATTCCCAGTCAGGTTACATGCTTGAGCTGTGGGCTCAATCCCCATTGCAGGATATGCAGGAGGCAGGCAATCAATGATTCTACTTCATCATTGATGTTTCTATCTTTCTCTGGAATCAATAAAAATATATTTAAAAAAATATATAGCATGACATGGCTTCTTTAGGTCTTTTTCTTAGCCACCTCTAAGGACCCTTAAACACCAAAGGTAGAGCACAACATAGGTATGCTATGAACTCTGGAATGTTCAGTAATGGAGTGCCAGGCCAGATCAGATGTTTAATCCTTTTAAGAATAAGGTTTATTGTCTTATTTCCAAATGGAGCTGCAATTAATCCATTTATGCAGACTTGCAAGCAGACCTTTGGTTTTCTTGGCAAAGTTGTATGTATTCCCTCGGTGATAAAGTAGTGAGAGCCATAATTCCTGTTGCTTTTGCAAAGTACTTTAATCATTATTATGCTTTCTTTGTCTCTAGGATCCAAGCCAAGCAGATGAAGAAGCAATGACACAGATCATCCGAGTGTCCTAACCCCAAGCCATGTGATGGAGATGATCAAGGTCATGTTCCTCACCACTGTTCCAGGAAATTGATCACTTCTTCCAATGGGACACTGATGATCACATTCTGCCCTTTTCTACAGGACAGAAACCCACTTAGTTTTTCAAAGTGGCTTGGTATTATAATTGCAGCAGTGTCTGGCAAATTGAAGTTGCAAGGCTTTGTCTCACCCTTTCAGTCCGGACCTATTTTAGACTGTTGATGACATTGACGTTTCATGGACTAGGATGATGCAAGGGACTCATGCCAGCCCAACAGTACCACACACAGCACTTAGATGTTGACTGGGGAAAGCCAGCCAGCCGTCTGAGCAAGGGAGAAAAACCTTCTCAAGCTAAACTACAACCCGGGAAGCTGCAGCCCACTCCTTCCCATGGAATCTAAACACCATCTCAGGCTAAGTGAATGGATACTGTATTCAGAGATGACTTCCTGGCATGGAAGTTCAATCTCATAATATGGAAATAATAAATTCTCTGAGATACATTCATCTAATCTGTGGTAATATAAGAATCTGTCTGCCAAGAGGATAGGTTGGTATTTTTGGACTCCCAAGCCAAGAAAAAGCTAATTCGGGGGATAGAATGATAAAAGAATCAAGCACTAAAAATAATTGCTGAATCTTTTTTTGTTTTGGCCAGTTGTGGTCTGCTTGTCAATTTGTTGACAGGTCATCTGGACCATAGTTCTTATTATGGCTGCTTATAAGACAATTTAGAAGGTATTGGACCTTGAAACTTCCTTTCCTAAGTAGAGAACAAAACAATACAACTATGCTGAAGTGCTGAGGACATTTGTAGTCACTCCTAAACAGAGAGACAAAATAGAGATTTTCAGTCATAAGCTTGGTGACAGCATTTGGAAAATAGAAGGGTTTGTGTGTGTTTCAGCCTAGAAGAAGAAGAGAGGTATATACATATATATGCCCATGTGTTGTCATATAGCATGATTTCTTCAGTTGATGGATGCCTGGTTTGGATCATTAAGATGAAGAGACTAATTTACATTATAATCTTTTTAACAACTGAAAGAGAAGTCTGAGATTTGGTCTTTGACACTTTCTGGAAAGCACTGTTCAATCAAGCTGTCCTGGATGTTCTCCAGGTTACCTCCTACACTTAAAAACATAGATGTTGGCTTCACTCGTGCAAGAGCTTTGTGCTGGCCCCAGAAAACAGACATTCTCATGTTTCCCATGGCAGCTGACTAGTTGGTGCCAGCTTCCATTTGCTTCCCCCTTTCTCCACATCCCTTGTACAGCAAGGTTTTCACATTGCATCTACATTTTGGGGACAAATTACAGACTGGAACTAGAGATGCCTATAGTGTAAGGAATTGGGCTACAGTTCCTAGAATGGGTTGTGTCTCATTTCTCTAATTGCATTAAGAGAGAAAAAATATTTCACTCTCTAAAGAAAACATCATAAGCATTGTAATGGTCTAAATAGAGGTACAGAGCTATGCAAAGAAAGCAGGAAGTGAAATATATTTCTAATTCCTGGAATCGAATCATCTCCTGGCTTCCAGATGTTAGAATGGAGGACTTATTCTTTGGTAGACTCACTAGAAACTTCCAGCTCATAACATGATTTTTACATGTTAACTTTATCCAGTAATCCCCAAATTTGTCAAATGACAGATTACTAAAAACAATGAGAAATTTATATCCCTAGGTTTGTTTAGGAATCTTTAAGGTGCAGAGTTCAGTTCAGACCTAATTTCTAGTACTTAAGCCAATATTTCAAAAATGCTATTTATTTATATCTGTAAGTTTGTACATAATAATTCCAGCCTCATTGTTTCAGAATTTTTTCATGCATTTGAGTTTTGCTTAAAATTAAATGCTTCAGTTGTCATTGCATTTCAGCTCATTCATGGCCCTTTTATTGTGGTCATTTTTAGCACACCATAATAACCCACAAAGTGGGGGTGGGGCGATTAAAGTTTGGATTTTTTATTTGTTGCTAGAAATCCTTTTATTCATTTTTCCTTTTGACTGTAGTGGTGACTTAGATATATTCAATAGAAAGAGTGAATGGATGAGTGAATAATTGGTTTAATACATAGTTAATTCATGAATGCTTTTTTTTTTTCTTTTTGAGGGTAATTGTATGTATTTTAATTGTATTGGTACATTGAACATGTCAGTGTGTATATCACTGGACCAACAACATTTTTGGCTATTGAGTGCCTGATAATAATGTCTTGATTTTCCTTGGGGACTCAATTATATATATTTTCTCCTCAGCGGTAGGGGGAGTACAGGTGATCTAATCATTGATGTCATTGCAATTGTTATTTTTAAAAATAAATTTATGAAAAAGTAATTTGAATTTTGAGAAGTCTACATATTCTTGGGTTCTAGGTTGTTTATAATGTTGAAATTGATCTCTATAGAAAAGACATATGCAGTGTCCAGGCCTCTTACCTATCTCCTTCCTTAAATCTCTTTTCCTTCCCTTTTGGCCTTCCCACCCTGCTGATAGGTATTTTCTGTCCTCTGTGGATTGATAATATATTTTGGTCTTAAAGGAAGTGTTATCAAAATGCAAAGAATTCCTTGAATAAAATTAGCCCACCAAAATGGCATTATTAGGTGTTGTAGAACTATAGTGAAAATAAAAATGTTTCGTTTTTATTTCTGCAGGAAAAACAAAAATACTTTTTCTCATTGTTAAAAATCCACAACGTACTCATAGTTGTATTGCTTTGTGTTCTCTTATGAATCTGAGCAACAGATTGGAAACTTAAGTACATCATTATCCTACAAGTCAGGAATTAAGAGAAAAACAGCCACAGGGAACCCTCCCAAGAGAGACCCAATTGGTCAACTCTGGCAGGCCACAGAAATATAAGAATCTCTCCCATAACAATTGAAATGGGCCAACAGTAAAATAGCCTTAACGTAATTTTAATTTAAAAGCCATCCTGAGTTTGCTTCAGCCAGATGCCTAAGGAACTTGTCCTTAGAAGTTCAGAGATGACCCGTTTCTACCCGTGATATGACTCAAAGTCCATCTACTAATCCTTATCCCAGATCTTTTTTGTTGTAAAAGCATCTTCACTATCATATTTCATGAAAAAACGAGGGCGTTGCATGTTTGAAAGCCCTGCTCTCAGCTGTCCCGGAAGCCAGGGCTAGGGCAGGCGGGTGGGCGGTACCGCTTTTGATTGGCGCTGCCACGGGGAAGCCCGCACTGATTGGTTGGTGGGCGGGGCCTCCAGGACCGCCATGCTAATTGGCTGCTACTCGGGGGGGAGGGGGCGCCTTGTTTCCGGTAGGTCGGCGGGCAACACCGCCCGCCGTCATGGCGACCGGCGACCGGGTGAGGGCGCCGCTTCGGTCGCCGGTGGAGGCCCGGTTGGCGGCGCTATTTCCAGACCTGCTGGTCTTCAGGAAGCCGCTGGCACCGGAGCCCAAGCTGGCTTCGGCCCAGGACGTCCTCCTGGGTGTCCACGTGACGGGTGAGGGCAGGGCCGGCGCGCCGCTCCCAGCCCGCCCCGGGCGGCGGACGTTGGGCCTCAATCCCAGAGCCGCCTTCACCGCCAGCCGCCCAGGGAACCGCCGTTTCAGAGCAGGAGGACCCCGTTAGGGATGATCTGGCTTAGCCCAGGGGTTCTCTTCACAAAGGAGGAAATTGAGACTCAAAGGGGAAAGCACTTGTCCGGGGCCACACGGCCGACTTTGAGACCCAGATCCTCCCAGTACCGAGCATTTTCCAATAAGTACTCTTCCTCGCCCACTTACTTTATTTGCTCAGTTCATTCTTTGGGTCTACAATTTGTGCCTACCATCGAGAACGAGCAGCTACATTGAGAGTCTGCCCAGTTAACGGGTGTTTAGGGAGTGTAGGTGTCATGGGTATGAAGATGATGGTTCCAAGAGTTCAAAATAAGAGTTCTCCAGAGAGCAGGAGTGTGTTCCCTTTGTGCTGCCTGTCTCACGTGGGGAGAAATCCTGTGGGTCCCTTGGCCAGGGGGCCATAGAGATTGGTGGGAGGGGAAGCTGGCCAGGGGGCCATAGAGATTGGTGGGAGGGGAAGCTGGCTGCCGATGAAAGGGGCTTTCGGGTGGCTTCACCATCTGCAGCTCCTGGAGCAGTGGCCCCGGACTTCCCCAGAGGCAGCAGCCCTCTGCCTGCCCACCACCTTAAAGGATGACGGAATTGCTAAAGCCCAAGACATCCGGTTCCTTCACCCTGGTCTGATATGTAGAGGAATAAAAGTTTAGGGTCTTCAGCTAACTTAATAAATTCTGCTTTGTTGGTTAGGGTTTACAGCATTAATGGACAGGTTCAGCCTGACCTGCAAGCCGAAAGATGACCTGGACAAACTGGCCCACATTTTCAGTTATTACATTAGTGACATCATAGAGCGTGAGTGACCATTGTAGGGAAGCAAGGCGGAGTGGTCTGGGCTTCTGAGGGTTTGTGATAGAAGGGGTCCTGGGATACCTTAAGAGGGACACTAAAGGATCATTCTTTCAGTGTCACTCAGACTAGTTCTGACAAGCTAGGTCTTGGTCAGTAGCTGCCATTCTGTCCAGTCTCACATCCTGTTGACTCAATGTTCAGAAACAGAAAAACAGCTCATTTTAACTTTGCATGTTTGTATTTTATTTCAAAATAAAGTATTTCTCAGGTTGTCTCTTCTAACAATGTAAAGGGCCTCACGTGTGCATATCAAATATAATTTAGAAAACACCTTCCCATGCCAGTAATGCATTTTGGTCCTGTGAGGTAGGAATGAGTGTTTATTTCCTGCCATGTATTAAACTCGTGCTTATTTGCCTAATTTGAAAAAGAAACTTTTGTTCATTAAACATGTTTTTGAGTACCTACTCTGACACGCACTATAATAGGTGCAGAGGGTGCAAAAACCAATTCTTCACCTTTCAGTCCAGTTAGGCCTACCCAACAGAAATTGCTCTGGCCCTATACCATTTAGTACTTACATAACATTCCTGTTCTTAAATGACAGTGCCCCATGCACTTATGTCCATCATTCTGAGATTCATCAGAATACTAACTTTGTGCCACCTCCTTTAGAAATGATTATTTGACTCACCTCTAACCTCTGAGGAGCAAGTAGTAAAGGTTTTCCACTTTTTCTCACCAAGTGTAGATGAAAGGAGGAGATAGAAGTTATGAATTAGGTAGAAGTTGTAATGTCAGGAACGTCTGGGTACCAGAAATACAGGTAAATAAGACATAGTAGCTGTCCTTCTGGAATTTCCATGTTAATGGGATAGACAAATGAACAATTATAGATTACACATTCTACAAAGGAAATAAATGGGTTTAATGGTTTAAAAAAGAAGAATTATAGGGTGAGAGTTTCTATATTAGGGTAGTCCAGTGGTTGGCAAACTCATTAGTCAACAGAGCAGCAAACCTCAGATGTAGCTCACGAGAAGCAATTTGCTGACCATTCGGGTAGTCAGAGGTGGTATTTAGGCTGAGGTAAATGATGAGAGGAACACCTTGTGAGGAGCCAAGTGTGAAGCATTTCAGACAGAAGAATGCCAAGTACAAAGTTTCTGAGATGGGAGAAAACTTGGCATATTCTGGGAAGTAAGGCCAGTGTGGCTAGAGCCAGGGTGGGGAACATCTGGCCTATCGGCCATATAATGCCCACGAAATCATTTGATCTGGCCTGGCTAAGGCAGTAGGGGTGAATTAATTAAAGCAGGCTAATTTTGAAATGGATAATTCTGTACGGTCCACAAATGATGTTATAAATATCCAAATGGACCTTGGCAGAAAAAGGTCCCCCTGCCCTGGGCTAGAGCATAGCTAGTGGAAGAAAAGTGGCTTGAGGTGAGGTTGGAGGTCATCAAGCTGTATAGGCCATAGTAAGGAGTTTGGATTATACAATGTCAGTATAAAAGGAAACTGTGGAAACGTTCTAGCAAGGGAGTGTGATCTGATTTGCACTTTTTTTAAAGCTCATGTTAGCTGCCACAGGGAGATTGGGCTAGAGGGAGCTGAAGAAGGGTCGGTAGTAAGAATGGAGGCTGGAAGAGATAATTGGAACAGCTGTGAAAGATGATGGACATTTGGTCTAGGGTAGTGGTTCTCAACCTTGGCAGCACAGTAACCATTTGGGGAGTTGAAATTTTAAAAATTTTACAGGTAATTCCATTGTGCAGTCAAGGTTGAAAACATTGTTCTCAAGATGAGATATAGCAGTGGAATCGTATGGCAATGGGTTGATTTTATATATAGCATTTCCCCCCCAAAAAAATGTATACACATACTTTGAATAATTATAAAGATGGTATTTATTAAAATTAAAATACATTTCATTTTAAAAATTAAGCTACCAACTGTTAAAATGTGTATACTTTTTTTTTTGGGGGGGGGGGTGTCACCCTGTATATTTTTTAGGTTCAACAGACAGGATTAGCTGATGTATTTTTTTCTTTTTCTTTTTTAATACATTTCTATTGATTTCAGAGAGGTAGGGAAAGGGATAGAGATATCGAAACATCAGTGATGAGAGGGAATCATTATTTAGCTGCCTCCTGCACGACTCATACTGAGGACTGAGCTCACAACCCGGGAATGTGACTTGACTGGGAATCAAACTGTGACCTCCTGGTTCATAGGTCAATGCTCAACCACTGAGCCACACCAGCCGGGCTGATTATTTTTTTATAATACTGGGAAGTAGTGAGGAAAGGACTCTCGAGTTTTCAGCTTTCATAACTGAATTGATGGTGGCATCATTTAACCAAAATGCAAAAGTCTGAGCTTTGAGAAAGAAAATCAGGATTCTGTTTTGAATATAGTGACCTTGGAATGTCAATAAGTCATTCAAATAGAGAAATCAATGCATGAGTTGATGGGGAAAATATAAATAAAGAGAAAGAGCCTAAGACTGAAGCTTGAGGAACTCCAGGGGAGGATTATGATTAGGGAGAAAGAACTACAAGACAGTGAGGTGTAGGATATTGTGCTATTTATATAACCAAATGGGAAGTAATATCTCTAGAAAAAAAAAGGTGGTTGCTAGCTTGGTTGAAAATGAAAAGTGTCTAATACAGTGAGGTCAGAAAATACTGAATTTAGCAAGATGAATGCTGTTGATTATCTTGATAATTTTGGTGAAGTGACAGAGATGGAAGTCAGATTGGAATAAGCTGAGAAGAGAATAGTAGAGAGAAAAAATTGAATGAATAGATATGAGGAGAAAATTGTACTAGTCTATAGTCAACTCTTGAGAATATTTTTATTGGGTATGTAGCACAAAAATGGCCCTAATAGCTAGAGAAGAAGGTAAAGTCAAAAACAGGTTAACTTTGTTGTGTTTTGTTTTGTTTTTTAAAATATTTATGGGAACGATCCAATAGAAGATAAGGGAGGGAGGGAAGTTTTTGAGAGGGTAAGCCAGGCTAGGATCTAGAGGACAAATGAAGGGTAGCTTTGAAGAGAACAAAAGTATTTCTGACATTTTAGAGAAGGTGATATAAGTAAACGTAGCTCTTTTTTTAAAATATATTTTATTGATTTTGTACAGAGAGGAAGGGAGAGAGATAGAGAGCTAGAAACATTGATGAGAGAGAGTCATCGATCAGCTGCCTCTTGCACACCCCGTACTGGGGATATGCCCGCAACCAAGGTACATGCCCTTGATATGCCCGCAACCAAGGTACATGCCCTTGACCGGAATCGAACCCGGGTCCCTTCAGTCCCCAAGCCAAAGCTCTATCCATTGAGCCAAACCGGTTTCGGCAAGTAAATGTAGCTTTGAGGGGAAGCTAAAAGGGAGGAAGAAGGAACCCAAACCTTGAAATAAACATAAAGACCTGAAAAGATATAAAGAAAAACTCAGTAGGTCATTCTTTTTATCATATATGATTCTCCTATGATCTGGTATAGCTCTGATTTTGATTTATTTTCCTCTCTCTCTTTCTCAATTTTAGATGTATTCTGTTTTGGAGGAGATATCCTAAATATCACAGGTATTTTTCAGTTTTTCTGAATATTCTAAGGACTAAGGAAGGAAGACTACACTGAGTGGCCAGATTATTATGATCTCTAAATGCATAATAATCTAACAACTCAGAATATATATCTATATATCTATATATCTATATATCTATATATCTATACATCTATATATCTATATATCTATATATCTATATATCTACATATCTATATATCTATATATCTATATATCTATCTATCTATCTATCTATCTATCTATATATATTAGAAGTCCAGTGCATGAATTCATGCATGGGTGGGGTCTGGCCAACCTGGCCAGAGGGAGAGGACATGGACAGTTGGCTGGCCTGCCTGCTGGTTGAACTCTTGGAAGAGGGGACAATTTGCATATTAACCTTTTATTATATAGGACATACACTGAGTGGCCAGATTATCTCTGAACGCATAATAATCTGGCCACTCAGTGTATATTTAGATGAAATTTGCCATATTTGTTTATTCAGTATTGTTTGGTTATTTAATATATGCTGGGCCTGGAGAAACAAGATAAGAAAGACACAATCTCTGGGGGTCTCCCAGTCTAATGGGAAAGCCTTGCCCATATTAAGCTCACATTACTTTACATTTTACTTAGGTTGAATGACAGAAAAACAAGTGCCTGTAGAGCATTCATGAGTAAACTAATGAGAAACTTGGTCATTAGTAGCAGAAACTAAATATAAGATAGGAGTAAAAAGTCTCCTATCTGGAGAACTCTTAGGATCATTAACGGCTTTATGCCACAGAGTTGAACCATCTTTTTATTTAAACTTAAACCAACCATAACATTATATTTGAATATGGACCTACATTTTATGAAATACCCCTCACCTTCTTTTGATAAACCGATGGAAGATTACCAAAACTATCATTAAAGGACCCTTAATCTATCTTTAAACCTTAGTAATGTTTCAGCTTCTACCTAATCATGTTTGTTTATATACTCAGTCAGTTTGAAGATCTAAAGCAATATTTTAAGCAAACATAATATATAGAGCCAAGAAACCTCGCCTGACACGTTATATGATACCTTCTGCATTACTGGGGTCTTTGTCCTGGTCAAAGTGAGTCCAGATATTTGACCTCTGTCAGCCTATCTTTTATCTCTGTAGGGAATGTCCTCCTGGCACTCTGGACAGTGGAACAGAATCAACTGAGTGACACCATTACCCTGGTGGCAAAATGCAGTCTGGAGATACAGGAGAAATTTGGGGTCTACCATACCAGAGAAGGCCAGGACCTGCAGCTAAAGATAGGTAATAGCTACTAAAAGATATCCAATTGGAAAACAGCAACCACAGCAAAAATAAATAAATAAATAAATAAATAAATAAATAAATAAATAAATAAATATAAAAATAAAAATTTCAAAAGATAAATGACAAATTGGGTAAAAATATTTGCAACTTATATCATGTAGACAAATAATGAACTGTTTTTTACATAGAACACAGAGAATTAAAAACACACACAGTCGAAACCGGTTTGGCTCAGTGGTAGAGCATCGGTCTGCGGACTGAAAGGTCCCAGGTTCGATTCCGGTCAGGGGCATGTACGTTGGTTGCGGGCACATCCCCGGTAGGAGGTGTGCAGGAGGCGGCTGGTCAATGTTTCTCTCTCATCAACGTTTCTAGCTCTCTCTCTCCCTTCCTCTCTATAAAAAATCAATTTAAAAAATATATTAAAAACACACACACATAGAAATAAAAAAACTAACATTCTAAGGGGAAAATGGACATGAATAAATACATAAGATGGTCAACTTCATAATAAGAAAAATACCAATTGAGATAATTGCTCATCTATAGATACATAAAAATTCAGATGCTAAACATTCTATTGAGGCTGTGAAGAGTAAGCCTTATATGGTACTGGTAGGAATCAACAATGATACAACTTCTATGGAAGATGATTCATTAATCTCTTATCAAGATTACAAATGCATTTATTCTTTTTTAAATATATATTTTTATTTATTTTAGAGAAATAGGAAGAGAGCAATACATCAATGAGAGAGAAACATTGATCAGCTGCCTCCTGCATGCCCCCTACTGGGATTGAACCCTCAAACCTGGCATGTTCCCTGACTGGGAATGGAACCAGCAACCTCTTGGTGCATGGGACAACACTCAACCAACACCAGCCAGGCAAATGTATTTATTCTTTATCCCAGCAATTCTACTTCTGAATTCTAGGAATATCTGAGGGTACATGAAATGTCATACGTATAAGATTATTGATTGCAATATGGTTTATAATAAAAGGTTGAAAACAATCCATCTATAGGAGACTGATAAAGCACTAAATATGTCTACTCAATGAGATTCTCTGCAACTTAAAAAAATGTTTTGATATAGCAATATCTCCAAAATATATATGAGAACAAGTAATATTTTGAATGGATTTACTACAACTTGTTTCTCCATTCAGTTTTTTTAAGTTATGGCTAAGAATAATTCAGAGCCAAGACTCAAACTACAATATAAGAGAAAGTTTATTTAGAAAGTCACAGAGGTAGAAGTGAGCTATAGAAGAAATGGGCTCAGGAAACAAGTTATAGCAAAAGAGCCCTTGGAGATTAAGGAGGAGAGAGATGGAAGAGGAAGAGGTTCTGCACACTCCAGCAGGGAAGAGAGATCCCTGGAGATGTAAGGGGATGGGGAAAGGTATGAGTGTGCTTCATAGAGCCACTATCTACTCACTTTTGATGGATAATTGCTCAATTTTGGGCTATTACAAATAAAGCTGTTATGAACATCTGTGTACAAGTCTTTGTGTCGAAATATATATTCATTTCTCTTGAGTAAATACCTAGAAGTAGAAAGCCTGAGTCATATGGTAGATGTATGTTTATCTTTTTAAGAAATTGCTAATCTTGTCCTAACTGGGTAGCTCAGTTGGTTAGAGTGTCTTCCAGACATGCCAAGGTTGCAGGTTCAATCCCAGGTCAGGGCACAATAAGAATCCAACTGTGAATGAATAAGTGAAACAACAAACTGCTCTCTCTCTCTTTCTCTCTCTCTCAAGTCAATCAATAAATAAAATGGAAATTGCTAATCTTTTTCTCAGAGTGATCATACTATTTTACTTTCCCTCTAGCAGTGAATGAAGTTTCCAATTTTTTCATGTCTTTGTCATTGTCTGTTTGAAGAACTTAAACATTTATCATAATATGAATTTTCTGGAGATGTATTTCCAGTGTTTGTATGTCTGGAAAAATCTTTATTTAAATCTTTTTAAAAGTTATTTTCAATGGTATAAATTTCTAGATTGACAGGGATATTTTTCTCTCTTACATTAGAGCTGTTGCTCTATCTTCTAGCTTGTGATGTTTCCAACAAGAAATCTGCCTTCATCATTATTTCTTTGTATATAATGTGTCTTTTTATTTTTTCTTCTGGCTTTTTTGTTTGTTTGTTTAATTCCATAAGGAAGGGAAAGGTGGGGAGGAGAGAAAGGGTGAGAGAAACAACGATGAGAGAGAATGATGGATCTGCTGCCTCCTGCAAGCCCCTTACCAGGTATCGAGCCCACAACCCTGGGCATGTACCTTGACTGGGAGTCTAACTGTGGCACCTAGGTTGATGCTCAACCATGAGTCATGACCAGTCAGGCTTTTCTGACAGCTTTTAAGATTTTTTCTTTATGATGTGCCTTGGTATTTTTTAGTGTTTTGTTTTTCCTTGTGCTTATGGTTCATTGAGGTTCTTTGATCTCTAGGATTTTAATTATCAAATTTAGAAAATGTTCTGCCTTTATTTCTTCAAATTTTTTCTATTTTCCTCTTCTGTCCAATTACAACAGCTATCCACTGCTTGAAATTGTCCCAAAGCTCACTAGTACTGTGTTCAGTTGTTGTTGTTTTCTCTGTCTTTCATTTTGGGTAGTTTCTATTGCTGTTTATTCAGATTTACAAATCTTTTTGCAATTACCTTTATTCCTTCCTTGTATACTTTTTATCTCAAACCTTGTAGTTTTTATCCTTGGAAGTTTGATTTAGGTCTTTTTTTTTATCTTCCGTGTCTCTATTTGTTCAACCTATTCTCTAGGTTCTTGAATATATAAGTAGTTATAGCTCTTTTTATATTCTTGTCTACTAATTTTCATTTGTGTTGTTCTGAGTTATGTTTGATTGATTGGTTTTTTTCTCACTGTGGATCATATTATCCAAAAAGTTGCATGTCTGGTAACTTTTAGTGTGTGCTGGCCATTGTGAATTATACCTTGTTGAGTGCTAGATCTATAAAATATTTCCATGATATTCTTGAACTTCATTCTGAGATGTGGGTCGCTTGATCCTTTCAGATTTCACTTTTAAACTTTGTTGGGTGGGACCATAATTGTGTTTAGTCTAGGGCTAGTTTTGCCCCATTCCTGAGGCAAGCCCCTTTAACGTCCAGGGAGTTACTACATCTGACACTCTGGCCAGTGGGAACAGGAACTATTCCCAGCCCTGTGTGATATAGGGGATTGTTCCTTCTAATCTTTTCAGGTGATTCTTTCCCAGGCCTCAGGTGGTTTCTTCACATTGATGCACTTACTAGTACTCAGCTGCAAGCTTGAGGAACCCTTACAGATTGCTGGAGTTCTTCATCAGTCGTCACAATGCCCTATTACCGTTAGCCACCTGGCCCTACTCAGACTCCGAGCTTTGTTTCCAACTCAGGGAGTCTTCTGGGCTGCACCTGGGTTTCCACTCCCTGCGATGTGTCCTGGAAACTTGACAGTAGTTGGGGTATCAGCGGGTTCATCTTGTTTTCCCATTTCTCAGGCATCATGGTTTTTCATTACCTGATATCCCAGTATCTTGAAAATTATATTGTGTATTTTTTCCAATTTATTAGTTCTAAACATTATGGTAAATTCACTACATGTTTTCTATCTTGGCCAAAAGCACATGTCTCTGCCATTTCCCCCTTGTTTTTAGTTGGATTAGATGACTTAGCCCATGTCTGTTAAAATATTGATTATTCATCAGCCCTGGTTACATGTGAGGAGGGACGGTATGGTCAGTGTGGCAGCAGTGTCTGAGCGTAACCATTAGGTCTCTGCCAGCAGGCCCTAGTTGTCCATTAGAAGAGCAATTAGAAATCTGGGATCTCTTGTTTCTACTCCTCTCACCCCCATACACCTCTGACTTGTTTAGTGTCTATCTCTATTTGTGTTTGAGACAGAAAGAAATCTGAGTCAAGGTATTATTATTATTCAAATTAAGCTCACCTAATATTTCTGCAACTATGGGCAATAACAAGATAGATATGATGCAGAGAGGAGTGTGAGGATTCCAGACCCCTCCTTTGTATATTCAATTGAGTTTGGCTATTCACCACTTCCTTTTTTCTGGATAGGTCTGTCTGCAGGTCAGATTTCCCAGGTTATTGTTGGAGACGAGCAACGACAGTACCTCTTGGTGATTGGGCGGGTTGTAGATGATGTCCAGGTAGCTCAGCGTTTGGCTCAGGCAAATGAGATTGTCTTGTCCTGGAATTGCTGGACACTCTGTGAGCAGTACATGTTTGAAGTGGAAATCATGAAGGAGGATGAAGCTGTGAAGGTAGGAGGATGATTCTGCAGAGGCCTTTCTACTGCACATGGCAAGCAGTGCTCTGGTGATGGTCACATATTGCCTAACCAAAACAACCACCATTGCAACTCTATTTTGGAGGGAGGTTGGGGATACTTCCCCAGAAAGATAGATGAAGCAGAACATTAAGGCTAAAAGGATAAATAATAAACAAAGGAGGTGGCATTCTCAGCTTCTATGCTAAGGAACCAAAGGTGATTCAATTGATGGGTGGGCCCAGAATTGAGCAGTTTTCTTTCCATAGTTAAGAGATATGCGGATCACTGACCCATTTGATTTTGATGAGCATTTTGACAAGTGCCTCAATTATCTGCCACGTTACCGGACAAGTGCTAGTAAGTTACTTTGTTCTATCTACCCAAGCCCAAAAATCTTAAACATTAATTTCCAACATGGCTGGAGACATTTCATTTGTTTTCCTTTTCTCAGATACTCTAAGAACTGCCCTGGAGTTGGATCCAGACTCTGCACTTGAGCAAACTCTGCAGAAGCACATAATGAAAAACCTTTTGAAGAAGGTTATTTTCTAGTTCTTGAGTCATTATGTAGATTGCCCATGTGTCTGTGTAGACAAGTGTACATTTATATTTGATGTCCTATTTGCACTGATTCAGTTGGTCTCCTGCACCAAGTACTGTGATGATCTATCTTATAATTTTAATTAGATTTCTCAATCCTAGAAAGTAAAAGCCATATTTATTTTTCAGTTTGTTCCTCAAGAAACTAATATACTGCATAGCAGGGTATAGAGTAAGTATATACTTGGTTAATTAATATGTGTTGGCTAAGTGTGTATATATAAATATATGTAATGACTAATGGAAGTGGAAATATCAAACTTAATCTTAAAAAATATAAAAGCTTAACAAGTTTCAGCAGTGAATTAGGTTTAAAGTCAAACTGTTTTCATTCCAAGTGTACTGGTTTGTATATCTTATATATCTCTCAAACCTGAATTTTCTTTTAAGATTTGGTCTTATACCCTTAACTTATTTTGTCCTACTCCCCACAGAATGTAGAATTAAAATTCCTAAACATGATACTGGCAGTTGACAATACAGTCAGGGTAACGTACTGTCTTTGTAGATTGATGAAGGCCAGCCTACCGAGTATATATCTGAATTTCGTACCGTGACTATGGTTTTGGTCAGCTTAGAATTTCACAAGACAGGATGGATGTTGCACTTGTGTCATCTTATCCAGGAGGCTGCATTATACATCTCCACAGTCATAGAGAAAGCGGGTGGCCAGCTGAGCCAGATCATTAATTTTGAAAAAGTAAGTACAAGGGAACCTGAGCCATAAGCATTAGAGATGAGTGAAAAAGTCTTATATGACCATTTTGCCTCTCACATAACACAGGCATAAGTCATATTCCCTGCTACTGATTTTGCAACAAGCTATTTTACATTAAAACTTCAACTAATAAGTCAAGGAATGGAATGTTCTAATTAATTGTCAGAGAAATCTAGGGTTACTCTCTATATCCTTTTTTATTCAGTTCTTGTTGAAAAATCCTTGTGAAATCATAAAGAATCTTCTGACTCTACTAGTAGAGTAAATGTAATCAGATCTTTCTTAGATAATTAAGGGGCTTGAAAGAGTTGTTTCAATACTTGACATTATATGAGAAGAAAATGGGAGCACATAGATTTAGCTCAAAGTATGCACTAGAGCAGTGGTCGGAAAATGCGGCTCTTTGACCCCTTGAGTGTGGCTCTTACACAAAATATCACCGCCTGGGTGAGTCTATTTTGAAGAAGTGGCGTTAGAAGAAGTTTAAGTTTAAAAAATTAGGCTATCAAAAGAAATTTTAATCGTTTTACTGTTGATACTTGGTTCCGTTGGCTAATGAATTTGCTAACCACTGGCCTAGAGCATTCACTTTAGAAATCTTATAGAATCCTATATTCCTAACAAAAGACCAGAAAAGACCTGGCTTTATTCAGGGAAGTTGGTTCATTTGTGGCAAGCCATATTCCTTCCCCAGTTAAACTCTCTTTTCTTTCTTGTTTTATCCCAGGGGTGCATGTTCCTCTGCGTATTTGGCCTTCCTGGGGATAAGAAGCCAGATGAGTGCGCACATGCCCTGGAAAGCTCTGTCAGCATCTTCAACTTCTGCTGGGAGAGTCTTACTGAGACCGGGTGAGGAGGAAGGCGGGCAGAGAGGGGCTCCTCGGGCCCAGGGGGCTCTTCGGGCATGGTAGGAGGCTGTGACAAGTAGCAGAGTTTGAGGACATCCAGAATCTTCCTAAAGGGGAGGGAACATGCTAAGGGAAGTCAGAAAACAAAATCTATTAAGAAATCACTAGTTACACCCAAAACTGGTTTGGCTCAGTGGATAGAGCATTGGCCTGCGGATTGAAGGGTCCCGGGTTCGATTCCGGTCAAGGGCATGTGCATTGGTTGAGGGGACATCCCTGGTAGGAGATATGCAGGAGGCAGCTGGTCGATGTTTCTCTCTCATCGATGTTTCTAGCTCTCTATCCCTCTCCTTTCCTCTCTGTAAAAAAATAAATAAAATATATTTTTTTAAAAAAATCACTAGTTATAGAACAGTGTCCTAGATACCCAGAGTAAATGAAGATACGTTTCCATCCTGCGGGGTGGGAGAGGGGAAGGAACAGAATGCACATAGCAAGATTGAAGAACACTGCAAAGGAACAAGCAAATGTGTACATTAATATAATACAAATAGTATATATGTATGTGGAGGGAATGCAGAACAAAGGTTGTCTGTCTACTACTAGGGAGGGGAAGGAACCACAGCTGGTTAATGCTCTCCTCCTGGTCTTTCCCAGACCCATTAAGTTTTCTGGAGTTCACACTGTTATGATCACCCTCCTCTACATTCATCTCACCTTCCCACCTTTTATAAACTCCTAGTCCTAATTAGTAGAAAATTCTATTTTCCCACTAGTTGCACTATGGCAAGGTTGGTTGGGATTTTTCAAATGACATCTTTTTCCCACCAGAAAACTATGGGGAAAGTATTTTGATGTCCTCAAAATACATGAATGAATTTGAAAAATAGTTATATCTAATGTTAGCATTGAGTCAAATATTGTTTGCTTGCCATACAATAAAATAAGTAAATAAATAAAATTATGTCACATATTTATATAATGCTTTAAATTTTATAGAATATTATAATATATGATACCAGTGTGAAATTTTTTCTCTGTCTTTATACATGAGGAAACTAAGACCACAGAAGAGAAATTATTAGCATATAGCAGAGCTGGTAATGAAACCCAAATCTTCTGTCCTCAAATTCTGTCATTTTCATTACCCCACAACTGCCTCTTATAAAATATAAATACTATCCAAAAAAGATAGCATATATTACTAATGTGATATAATTGTAGAGGCATACTCATAGAATGTTAGTACTGAAATTTACATTATCTAATCCAACTCCTTATTTTACAGATAAAAAAGATGCTGCAGTTGCTTCTTATATACTCAGATTCTTAGCCCATTACAGATATGTATTGGCACTTCTTTTAGGCATGGTGGTGTCTACAGATACTTCTATAGCCTATTAATATTTTCAAATCTTATTTCTACTATGGGTGTGCTGGGCCATCTCATCCATTGCTGGTCTGTTCTGCTCTTGAATTTTGCATTGACCTGTATATTTATATATTGAAGAAAGAATATATTCTTCATCAATGAAGAACATTTTTAACATATCTTCATTGATTTCATAGAGAAAGGAAGAGGGAGAGAGATATAGAAACATCAGTGATGAGAGAGAATCATTGATCTACTGCCTCCTGCACACCCCCTACTGAGAATCCAGCCTGAAACCTAACCATGTGCCCTTACCAGGAATTGAACCATGCCTTCCTGTTTCATAGATTGATGCTCAACCACTGAGCCACACGTGCAGAGCAAAAACATTTTTAAAAGAAGAAGGAACATGGACTGCCAGGAAGAACAAGGGGGATCGTAAAGTACAATAGAAAGAAATAAGAAGTAACAAAGGGAGAAAAGTGTTATTTGTTTAATTGTCGTTGTCTTGTTAATAGCTGAGTTTCTCACATGCATAACTATATTAATTCAACAAGCATTGGTTGAACATGACTATGAGTCATTCATTGTGCTAGGTTCGATGGACATAAAGATGAAATAAGACACTACCTCCTCAGCTAAGTAAACCACTCTATTTAATACAATGAAACTTAACTGCAGGATTAAATGCTGTAGGGGCTGCAACAAAGTGCTATGGAAAGAAATAGTTAATTCTCACCAGAGATTTCAGAGAAGTCATAACTATAGAAAGAAGTTTGAGCTAGATTTGGAATAAAAGGAGTTTAGTGTGTGGAAAAAGTGGAAAAAGGCATTTTAAACAAAAGAAGCATGAAGAGCCAAAACCTGTTTGGCTCAGTGGATAGAGCATCGGCTTGTGGACTGGAAGGTCCCAGGTTCGATTCCGGTCAAGGGCATGTACCTTGGTTGTGGGCACATCCCCAATAGGGGGTGTGCAAGAGGCAGCTGATCGGATGTTTCTCTCTCATCAATGTATCCCTCTCTCTTCCTTTCTGTAAAGAATCAATAAAATAATATTTTTAAAAAGAAGCATGATGAAATATTATAAGGTTTTTAGTCTTGTTCTTGTTACAGTATCAGAACCAACTGCCTGGTTCTTGTCGTGGGTGTCTCTCTTATTTGCCCTGGGCAGTTGGCCCAGTGAATGAAGGGTAAGAGTCTTCAAATCTGTCATTCCGGTAAATTCTGCAAGAGAATGTTAATGTCTCAGGAGACATAATGTTAGGATTGTTGTTACAATTCATATCCTATGAAAACTGAAAATTACTTATTTGTATATTTAACTTAAAACTATGCTCACTGCACCCTCTTTCTCCATCCACATATCTTATTACTTCTCACAGGAAATTTTTACTTCAATCAAGTAAATCTACTTATTCTCTGTTCATTGCCACCTTTGAATCTTTGCTCTCCTAGAACAATATACGCCCTTTCTTAAAATAATTCATATTTCTAGTACTTTTCCATCCATGGACTAGGCAGGACCACTTCTCCCTTCACCTTCTCCTGCTCTTGAGCTATTACCCTCTAGCCTTCTTGAACTAGTTAGTTTTGCAGAAGCACACCAGATTCTTCAAAGTCTATGCCTTTTCCACTAGACAGAATGCTACTGCCCCATTTTGGCAGTACTTCCAACTCTCAAGATTCAATCATATGTCCTGTCCTTTATGAAATACTTTTTTTTACTCTCCAGTTAATGCTTCCTTCTGTTTGCTGTATTGATCTCTAATATGTAGTGTTTGTCTTGTTAATCTATAATTATGTCTTTTCTCCTTCCTCAATCCCTGTCACTCTACTCCTCAGATTGAATTTCTCCAGGGAAGGGTGTTCTTGAACAGGTCCACATTGTATAAACATCCAGCTCAATGCTTGGTACTGTACATACTCCTCAATGCCTATTAATTTTATGAATGTATACATGTATGAATGAATGAAAAAAATATTACTTATTTTTTAAAATGTTTATCCCAAAGTCTAATTTGCTTCAGGAAGCCTCCCATCAGCAGCCTGATGTTTTGGTTGTTCCTTTACTCCGACATTCTAGCATTATTTGATCCATTAATCCAGTTCTGACATTAGTTGATCTATTTAACTTTCAGGTTTTATCTGAGGCAGTGTGGTATAGTGGAAATAACATTGGTCTAGGACAGTGTTTTTCAACCTTTTTTGGGCAAAGGCACACTTGTTTCATGAAAAAAATCACGAGGCACACCACCATTAGAAAATGTTAAAAAAATTTAACTCTGTGCCTATATTGACTATATATAAAGTAATTCTCTTGAATAGGAATCAAATAAACACAAAGAAAGTATTTTATAATTACTTTATTATGAAATATTAAGTAAACAAAATAGTGAAAAATTATAAAATTCTTGTCTTGTCTGCACCTACGGCACACCAGGCAACATCTCTAGTGTGCCGCGGAACAGCGGTTGAAAAACGCTGGTCTAGGAGTCAGAAGGCCTGGGTTCTCATTCTAATTCTACTGTTGACTTTTGCAGTGTAACTCTGGGAAAGTGAATCAACTTTTAGTTGTTGTTGTTGGTGGTGGTGGTGGTGGTCAAATGGGGCGCAATATCTGCCTTATATACTTCACATGTTTGTTGTTAATTATCCCTTTAAGGATCAGACGAGGTAATCAATTTGAAAGAACTTCAAAAAGCATATATAGCCGAAACCGGTTTGGTTCAGTGGTAGAGCGTCGGTCTGCAGACTGAAAGGTCCCAGGTTCGATTCCGGTCAAGGGCATGTACCTGGGTTGCGGGCACATCCCCAGTAGGGGGTGTGCAAGAGGCAGCTGGTCGATGTTTCTCTCTCATCGACGTTTCTAACTCTCTATCTCTCTCCCTTCCTCTCTGTAAAAAATCAATAAAATATATATTTAAAAAAAGCATATATAAAGTATCTTACAGATATAAAGTATTTTAGCCATTTTACTAACAATTACTTCCAACTAAAACTCCTGGAGTAGGGGAAGCCATTCTGTTTCTTTTGGTTATTTCTCTAGTATTCATTATTTTGTACCCATCGTGTGATGTAGACTGACAGCAGCCTTTGCCTTTTTCATTCTGAGCTCTAAAATTAGTCTTCTGGATCTGGGTAATGGCCAATCTAGTGCCTGACCTGGAGGCTTCTGACTGTGTTATTGCTTTTCTGATCCCCAGGCTTGTTTCCATCAGTATCACCAATGGACCAGTATTCTGTGGCGTGGTTGGGGCAGTAGCAAGACATGAATATACAGGTAGAATAGGACACTGGACTGTTAGTTCCCTGAATTAGGGGGTAAAGATGGAGGAGGTGATCCAAAAATTCTGCATCCTTTTTTCTTTCTTTCTTTTTTCTGTCTCCTTGACACAGTTATTGGCCCGAAAGTGAGCCTTGTGGCCAAAATGATAACTGCTTATCCAGGTTTGGTGTCTTGTGATGAGGTAACATATCTAAGATCCATGCTACCTGCTTACAACTTCAAGAAACTCCCAGAGAAAATGATGAAAAACATCTCCAACCCTGGGAGGACATATGAATATCTTGGCCATAGAAGATGTATGTGAGTGTCATTATTTAATGGTCCATTCCCATCTCTTTTATGGAATCAGGGCATAGGAGTAATCAGTGTTTGATTGTATGACATTGGAAAGAAATATGCTTCTAGTACCAACCTGCTGAAATAAGAGACATAAGAGAAGGGCTTTGTTCCTGAAATCCTTAGCTTTTATATTGAGCTCTTCACTAGTTCCTCAGTGAACTTGTTATCCAACAGGAAGAAAATAGCACTATGTCATTAATCTAGGTGTTATTTTTTTCTTCCTGTACTTCATACTTCCCTGAACCTAGAACAATCAATAATACTTCTTTCTCCCTTCTGCCAGATAAAACAAAACAAAACAACAACAACAAAAAACCTCTTTTTTACATAACTCTGTATTTCTTGAGTTATCTGAAAATATTTATGTGTGAGGACGATTTTTCCTCTATTAATTGGAGGTATATTATCTATCCCAATCTATTTTTAATAGACACATTTCCCTTTGTCTTTTGTCCTAGCATGTTTGGGAAGAGACATTTGATCAAAATGAGAAATAAAAATCACCCTTTGTTAGGTGAGTTTTCTTTTCTATCTTAAATTGTATATTTTTCAGTTATAGATGGTGATTATGATTTAAAATTTTTCAAGAGTAAATGCTTCTAAGATGTATCAGAAATAGAAAGCAGCCTTCTTAGTGCATTTATGTTCATTTTGAAGAGGACTTGCCATTTCTTTTCCATATTGAATGTTTAAATTCCAGGGTGAGTCCTATCACTTTGCCTGAGAAGTACCAACATTTAGTAAGAATCTGTGTAAGTCAGAGTTCAGCTTGAGATCTGACCAGCTTGTTGTGGCTCACTTTAGAAGGAAATTCTTCATCTTTAGACAGTGAAGATAGCTACTTACACTGTAAATTCTCTATCTCTATATGTCTTTTATCTGTATATATATTAGATAGTTCATTATCTTTACATAGCAGTGATGGACCTTTATTAAAAATTGTTATTATAGAAATTTTTACAAAAAGCTACGACATATCCATGTGGTACCTAATTGTCCAGAATGTCATTACTTAGACTCTGGAGCAAACCACCACACCTAGCACACATCTGTAGAGGCCAAAGTTCATTTTCTGGGAAGATATGTGAAGCTTCACTAAAGAATGGGATTCTGCCAAGAATTCTGGGGAAGAAATGGCATTCTGAGACTTAAGTTTGCAAAATAATTCAAATAAATTGAGTCTACTAAAAAGCACAGGAGTGTTAGGTGTTCCCTGTCTATCTACAGACCGAGAGAAAGAACTAGAAGCCTTCCAAATGGCACAGAAGGGATGTTTGCACCAGAAGAAGGGACAAGCAGTTCTGTATGAAGGTGGAAAGGGCTATGGAAAAAGTCAGCTGTTGGCTGAAATATACTTTCTGGCTCAGAAGGAAGAATACAGGTAAAGACATCTGCTTTCTGACCTGACGTGTGCTTCTCTTGGGGCTCCTTTCCTTTGTTGGTGAGACTCTTGTGTCATTAGATTTCGCATCCTTGGGCTGGTAGAGTGAGTAACGTCTCCATGGGTCAATGGCCTTCCTGTGACCATAGTAACATTCCCCAGGGTGTTGTCCTTGAAGCTGAAGGAAGCAGATTCCAAGCAACGCTTCTATGCCATCCAGACCCTCATGGCCATCTTCTTTGAGATTGATACATGCCCGGCCTTTTACCTGCAAGAGTGCCTACATGAACAGCTTTGTGGGAAAGTGGAGGAACCACTTCACTGCCTTTTTAATGACCTTTTCTTTGTAAAGGTAAGGAATGCAGTGGCTTTCTGAATTGGATTACTGATGTTATATATATACTAGAGGCCCAGTACATGAATTCATGCACCAGTGGGGTCCCTCGGTCTTGCCTGCTCTCTTGCATCCCACAAGGGTTCCCAGATTGCGAGAAGGCATAGGCCAGGCTGAGGGACCATATCAGTGCATGCTTGGGGCTGGGGAGGGGTGCAGGAGGTTGGCCAGCCAGGGAGGGACTGCAGGAGGGTTCCAGGGTGTGTCTGGCCCATCTGGCTCAGTCCTGATTGGCCAGACCCCAGCAGCAAGCTAACCTTCTGGTTGGAGCATCTGCCCTCTGGTGGTCAATGCACGTCATAGCAACTGGTCAGTCAGTTGACTGTCTGCCCCCTGGTGGTCACTGCACATCATAGCAAGCAGTTGAGAAACCTTAGCATATCATTAGCATATTACACTTTGATTGGTTGAATGGCCACCTAGACAACCAGACACTTAGCATATTAGGCTTTTATTATATTGGATATGGGCTAAGAACACATAGTTAGCAATGGTAGAGGCGAGGTTTGAAACCCTTTTGACAGCAAAACCCAGGCTTTCTTTTTTGAGGAGAGTGAATTCTAAGATTGACTCTGACACTTGCTAGTTGTATGTCCTGGCACAAATCATTTAGCCTCGCTGAGCTTCAGTTTTTTCACCTGTGAAAATGAGTTCAGTACTTATAGGGTTTTTGCATGGATTTTAAAGGAGATGTTACATAAGAGGTTGCATTGTAAATGTGAAAGGGCTAAATCCATCAAGATGATCCTGACTGGTTGAGCATTTCCAGCAATTGCCTCCATGTCTTCTCTAGTGAGTTTGCAAGTGTTGCTCTTTAAGCCTGTCTTTCCTTTCCCTGGCCATGAAGGATGTCACCTGAACCAGCATCTAAATCTCAAAGGCTTCCAGTGGTCCAGAGTGCACAAGGTACCCAATAGAGAGTAGGCTAAGAATACTCTGGTCCACAATTCCATTTTTCATCCTCCATCATTTTTTCTAATCTACCCAGCCTGCAAGGCGTTATATTTAATGGAAAATAGAGAAAACTAAAATCTGTTCAATCCTTCAGCATAGCCCTGTCTTAAGACAGGCCTTGCCTAGGGCTCTGGTTATGGCCCTGCCAAAGTGGTTAAGGAGTAGCCCCACTTTGGTCCTCAGGTCCATGGTGACTAATGTGCCTTGGCCTTGCACAGGAAACAATGTTAGGTGATGTCTGTTGCAGTTGTTCCTGACTAGTCTCATGCACACATTCAACCTGGTATACTTGGAATAAGTGGAGTATTGGAGCTGTCCAAAGTGACATTGCTAGTCCAACCTGTCATTTATTCCTTAGTCATGACCCTGTAAGAGTTTGCCAGAGTTTAGTAAGGAAAGGATCTCTCTCTTTCTCTCTCTAACTACCAATGTACCCTCTGATGTTTGTAACACTATGCCCAATACTGTACAAGTAAACCCATTCTCACTCAAAATAGAATAAATTTCTATTCCCTTTTGAGAATCTGTATATTTTTATTAGATTGCCATTTTGAATGCTAATAGATGAGTAATTTTTCTGCTCAGTTTCCCTTATCCTTAGAAGTTATACACATGGATGACCTGGCCAGACAAAAGAAGATTCAAGAGTGTTTTTTTCAAGTGCTACAGGAGGTGGGTACTTTTGCTACATACCATTAACTCCTAATATGTGGAGATGGCTTATGCTCATTTTAATCTAGCGACCTCACACCTTGATTTAGGCATTTCTTGGCCTGCCTATTTGTTGATATCTTCATTGTATCTATTTTTAACCCTGAATTCATCATCTAGCACAGAATACAACAAAGGTCTTTGCTTTTTTCTGATCCTGTTTCTTTTTTTGATTCTTCTTTTTTATCCCGTTTCTTAATGAAATTTTAACAGCTTGGTTTAAAACAGTGGGTTGTAAATGCAGGTGGATAGCTATTAAAAATACAGATACCTAGACGACACCCCCCCCCCCCCCATTCATAATTACAGAATCTATAAGAGCAGAATGGTGATATAGCCATTCTGGAAAGCAATCTAGAAGTAACAAGTCAAATTTTAAGAACATGCATTCTCTAGACCCAGAAATTCCACTCCTGGATTTATATCCCAATGAGTCTGTTTATTGCATTGTTGGTTTGGAGAGGCTAAGGAGACATTGGGGCCTGGAAATTGGTAGTTTTAGCAAGCATTCCCAGGAAATTCTGATTTGCAGCCTGGTTTGGAAACGACTGGTTTAAAGAATTATGAATTCCCTTTGCACAAGGAAATATTTGAAAGCTTTAAGTTTAATTTGGAGAATATTTTATGCTTATTTTTTTGTTGGAGTATTTTTTTGTCCAAAGAAACTCAGTACATTTCTTTAGAATTTAGATATACAGGCTATATTTTGTATTAATAAAGTAAAATACTACCTAGACTTAGGTTGTATTTTACTTTGAAAACCCCAGGTTGTATTGACATTTTATTTAAATTATTGATGAGAAATTCATGATAGATTTGCAAGTCAGGTGACTTAATTTCTAATCAGATGTTGTCATTGTCTTTTTGCTATTATTTCCAGGCAGTGAGGGAAACACCACTGATTTTTCTCATTGATGAGGCCCAGCATATGGATGCAGCTTCCTGGGAGTTTTTGGGAACATTACTCTCCAGTGTGCCCATCATCATGGTGATGACATTGATGCCTACCTCCACCCTCTGTGGTGGGGCCCAGCATCTCCTGCAGAGCCCTCAGGCTATGCTGAAGCCCATTTCGAAGTTAGCAGCAAACTCACTATTGAAAATGGCATGTTTTGAACTAGGGGTGGTGAGCATCCCCCAAGAGCTGCAGATGTGAGTGGCTAGGACTATCTGGGCACTTCATTAAGGGAGGGATGGCATTAGTAACCATGGTGACCCAAGACTAGATATGAGGGTAGACAGTCCTAGTAAGCCAGTAAGAGGCTACTTCCCTGGGCTATCCACCAGGTTTTCACAGGACAGATAGGACTCGGATGGCTTGCTAAATGTGTCAATTATACGTGGTCAGGCCAGTTTCTGCCAGGCCATTTAGCAAAAGAACATTAGTTCATTTTAATATCAATAGGAACAAAATAGTAAAAAAAAAAAAGAAATTACTGCCAATATAACTTTCAAAGCCAATCAGAATTTTGTTTACATTTCTGGGTTGCTGCTTCCTTCTGTTATTGTATATTGAGAGCTGATTTCAACAAAAGAAGAAGTATACCTATTATGAAATACCCTTATACGTGGCTCTCTTCAAGTGGGCATTTTTAGTTAGCAATCCTGTACTTACCTTTCTACAGCTACCTTCTTCGCAGGTGCTTGGGAAATCCCCTGTACTGTAAGGTTCTATGTCAGGACCTTCTCTATAAGGACATATTACTCTTTCATGACCTACAAAAGGGAGAGGAGGAGAACAGCAAGTGGGAGACCCTCTCAGGTAAGCTGAGTGCCCCAGGGTTCTAACCTTATCCAGCCGCATCTCCAGCCCTTATAAGGTGCATGCCTATTCTCTGCTGTCATTATAGGTAAGATTAGGCCTCCCTAGCTAAGTGAGTTATACAAATAATATGAAACTATGGTGAAAATACTAAATACCTGCCTCAGATAACTTGAGTCAATCTAGCAGCACAGGAGGTGAGAATAGGAAAAATGGAGCCTATAAGCATGACAGTCCACTAGAGAGGATTTCTAAACATGAGAGTTACATAGAGAATTGCACATTACATAGAGAAGTATGACTTGAGGAGTTGCATGGGAAAATGGGAGAAGGAAGGAAGGCAGGAGAGGAGGAAAGGAAGAATGTGTAGATCTACAAAGACATCTTAGAATTGTGATAATGGAAGAAGGGCTATTGGCAGGGAAACAGGAAGAGTGAGAATGTCAGATACCACATGGTGCAGAAAATGTTAGTTTCTAAGAGAAAAGTAGAGAGCAGGCAGGATGGGTGGGGTAAACCACTTAAAACGTGATATGCCCATTCATCTTCATCCTTTCAGTTTCTTGACTAAATTCTTGCATTGTTGTGCCTTTAAAACTTCAGTCACTGAGCATGGTGCTTTCCTCAGTCATAGTGTTCTTTCCCTACAGCCAATGTCATGAAATCCACACTTTATAGTATTTCTCCTGTCAGCTCTAAAGAAGACCAGAAATTGTATGTCTGCACAGTCAAGGATGAGGTGAACTTGGATACAGTGCTTCTCCCACCATTGTTAAAAGGCATGTTCCTCAAAAGACTCAAGTGATGGTAACAGGTGTCATTGCAAGTAGTAATTTTGTGGATGACTAGATATAGGTCTCTTATTATCATGCTAGTTTCATTTATTGATTGATTGATTATGGTATCACATAATTGTCCTCATCCCCCCATTCCCATGCTAATTTCATTTTAAAAAAATATTTTTATTGATTTCATAGAGGAAAGGAGAGGGGGAGAGAGATAGAAACATCAATGATGAGAGAGAATCACTGATTGGCTGCCTCCTGCATACCTCCCACTGGGGATCGAGCCCAGGACCTCCTGGTTCATAGGTTGAATCTTAACCACTGAGTCACACCAGCCAGGCACTAGTTTTATTTTCTTTAAAAATAAAAAAAGAAAGAAAGAAACCTGCCTTCCAGAAAGATGTTCTGACACTACCTGAAGAACTCCTTAAATAATTCTAATGCTACTGGAGTAATAGTGTACTTAAGTGACCCCATTGTTTTCTTTGCAGCTGACAACCTGAGAATAAGTTCTATTATTATTATTATTATTATTATTATTATTATATTTTATTGATTTTTTACAGAAGGAGAGAAAGGAATAGAGAGTTGGAAACATCGATGAGAGGGAAACATCGGTCAGCTGCCTCCTGCACACCACTTACTGAGGATGTGCCCACAACCAAGGTACATGCCCTTGACCAGAATTGAACCTGGGACCTTTCAGTCTGCAGGCCGACGTTCTATCCACTGAGCCAAACCGGTTTCAGCGAGAACATTATTTTAGTTGTTTAATAAAAGCATGTCCTGAGTTTCTCTTTGTGCATATTCCTGTGCTGAAGGAAACAATGAGCAAGGGAGAAAATGCTGCTGAAATTTAAGAAACTCTGGTGCTAGTAAAGAGACAGTGTTACACACATAGGAGTTTAATAAAAAGAGTGCAAAGTAAGTTTATAATGACTTATAAGATAAAGTATTGGTTAGGCATAATTAGACAGGGATGTTTTTCTTTTTAGAGATGAGTTTTTCTTTTAATATTCAAGTATTTAGTGGGCAGTATACTATATGAAGCCCTCTGGAGGGATATGATAATGAATAAACATACCTTCAAGTCAAGGATGGTCTTGCTAAGAATATGAGACATACATATGAAATAACATGGTAGTTAAGAGCCAGGACTCTGGAGTAAAAAAATCTGAGTACTGTTGGCTCCTCCACTGACTGGCTGTGGAACCTTAGATAAATTAATTGACTTATGTAAGTCTTAGTCTTCTCATCATTTAAATGACGGTAATGATAGCTCCTACCTACTTCATGGGGTTAGTTAAGGATCAAATGAAATAAATTATGGTACATTATAAATATTCAATAAATGTCCACTTTTATAAGCTATTCTGGAGGTTTTTAAGTCCATGTAGACAGTTTATACTCCTATTGCTATGATAGGCCACACTTGGCAATGGCTTTACTAAGATAGAAGGACCGAGCCAGGAAGTTCAGCATGCTAACAGAACAGCACCAAGTGGTTATCTTCAGTGGGAGTCCTCACAGCAGTTTTCACTGCTACCCTCTGGAGCCCCAAGGAATAGCTTAGGTGTGATGGAATGAGATCACGATGGATGGGTGCATATAAGCCCCATGCCCCAGCTAAGAACTGATCTCTCTTTTAACAGCTCTGTATGCATAACTTTCAGGCCCTGCAAGGGACATGATCTGTTAAAATATTTACTGCCCCCAAGGAAGCCCAAAGCTGTGGTTTAACTCTGGTGTTTATAGCTTCTTCAGTTTTCTTAATCCAAATTCAGCTTCCAATCAGGGGTCATTAATGATAGATCCTCCCTTCCCCCAACTGGTAGACTGAGTATGATTACCTAGAAATACCTGAGTACCTAACCAGTACCTTATATGGACTATACATTGAACCACCAATCAACACCTGCCAAATATCCTAAGCCCTTGTTCCTATATGACCATACATTAAGCCACCAGTCAGTGCATGCCAAGTACACTAAGCCTTCATTCCTCCCCTCAAAAAGTGTGTTCACCTCCTGATTGATTTTCTCATTCTGGTGCCAAAACCTGGAATTACAGGCTTTATTGGGGGAAAGAACCTGCTGGGCTGTCTCCCAAGGGGAGAACATTGACACGTGCAGAGGTGAACATGCCTTTTGAAGGGAGGAATGGGAAGGAATGGGGGCTTAGTGTACTCGGCATGCACTGATTGGTGGCTTAATGTATGGTCCATATGGGAACAAGGGCTTAGGGTATTTGGCAGGTGTTAGTTGGTGGCTCAATGTAAAGTCCATATAAGGTGCCTGGTTAGGTACTCAGGTATTTCCAGGCCACAAGTTACATCATACTCTGCCCACCAGTTGGGGGAAGGGAGGATCTATCAATTTTTAGTGTAAGCAGCATTTCCTGGTAATTTGGATGCCATTTTGTCAGGATCCTGGGAAAGTGCTAGGAAGTTAGCCCAAGGTCAGCACTGTCCACAGAGAAGGGAAAAAGATTTGTTAGCTCATAAGATAAAATTAATAGTTTAGTCTGAAAAGCCTTGGTCTAAATTAGGGGTAGGGAACTTTTTTCTGCCATGGCCATTTGTATATTTATAACATTATTTGTAGGCCATACAAAATGTCCAACTTAAAAACTAGCCTACTACCCAATTATTTTGCAGGCCTTATACAATCCTTGGCCTAACATTCCCCTGATCTAAATGAAAGGCTAAAGCTATATTGTGAAAGGCTACATAAATTATAAAAAGTATTTAAAAAGAAGGCCTAGCTGATTTGGCTCAGTGGATAGAGAATTGGCCTACAGACTGAAGGGTCCAAGGTTTGATTCTGGTCAAGGGCACATACCGAGTTTGCAGACTCGATTCCTAGTAGGGGATGTGCAGGAGGCAGCTGATCAATGATTCTTTCATGTTTCTATCTCTCTCCCTTTCTCTCTGAAATCAATAAAAAATATATATTTTTTAAAGTATTTAAAAAGGAGATTGACATGATTATATTTTACTTTAAGTGTATAACTCTGCCAATACCTAATATGTTTTTGGGAATAAGAATGAGGGGAAGTTGCAGATGTTCAAAAGAGGATAGTATAGGGGTCCAGGTAAAAATTACTTTTTATACTAAAATTGTTTAGGAGGAAACATATGCAGGAACATTTAGAAAAAGGATAAGTGGGCAACCAGTTGGTTGTGAGGGAAAGAAAAAAGTTTAGAATTATTCCAAGATTTTTGTCTTGGTGACTTACTGGTTCAAAACAACTGCTTTAATATATGGATCATAATGTGGAGAGATTTACTCGAATGCTGAGAGTTAATTAGCATCTTTATAATTATTAAAGTTCTGGGACCAGGAAACCTGGCCTCCATGTTTAGTCCAATGTAAGGAGAAAAAGTCTGAGTACTTATTAAATATGAAAACGGGAAGAATTGTTAGTTTAGCTGAATGATTCAGGGCACACCTTTAGGTTTACCAACAAAGAGTTTTGGTGACCATGGTTGAAGAGTTTAAGTGAAGTGGTGAAAATCTATTGTTGTTGGTTGAACAGTGAATGAAGAATGAGAACAAATGAGGACATGGACATAAAACTCCCTGATGAGGTTTGGCTGAATGAAGAAAGGGTAGATAAAAAACGAGTCTTTATATATTTTTTTAAAATAACAGATGATCAACATAATGTGTTACATGTTGTAGAAAGCTTGTTCATTGCTGATTTTTTTCTCTCTAGAAATAGCTGTAAACCAACTGGATCAATTGAGCCCAGAAGAACAGTTGCTGGTTAAGTGTGCTGCAGTCATTGGCCACTCCTTCCGCATGGATCTGCTGCAGCACCTGCTGCCCGGCTGGGATGAACATAAGCTCCTGCAGGCGCTGAGGGCTCTTGTGGATATACACGTGCTCCGCCGGTGCAGCGAGAGCCAGGAGCTTCCCGCTGAGCCAACATCAGTGGCCTTTTCTGTTGAGATTATTGAAAAAAAACGAAGAGGAAAAGAAAAAGTCAGGTGAGGAAAAGCTGGTCCCTTGTTCTCAAGCCTGAACAGAGAGCCTGCGGTGAGCATCAGGAAGGAGTAGTTGGAGTGGGGATGGAATCTGTGTTGAGAAAGAGCATCAATATCATATATCAAGGGCCTAAGGCTCTTAAAGCTTATAACTAAGAAATGGGAAAATAATTATTTTAATCATGAAGGAACCATGGTTATAGTGAATGAATAGTTTGTTGTTGTTTTTCAGAATTGTCTTAATTTCAAGAATTCTAACTCCTTGTTAGCACCATGTGTCAATTTTTGGTTTAGAAAATATTGCCATAATCCTTTATTGGCTTCTAGGTAGAAATAATAAGAAAGAAGGATAAACTATTTCTAATTTTAGAAAGTCACAAAGAAGAGAAATATATGTGGTACTGAAACAGGTATTCTCAAATTCTCCATATGAAAGAATAAACTTGTGACATAGAATACTCAAATTACATATAATCCACAAATAATTTTCTTCTTATTTTGAAATATGTTTGGGCCTTACATTTGAACAGAGCATTTCGAATGATTTGATGTTTATAGTAATTTGTAATAAAAAAGCTCATTTTAGGAGGAACAACTGAGAAATCTATCCAAGTGTACTTCTTACCCCTAATAATTTCTTCGCCATGGTACTTTGTACTAGATATCATTCTCAGATTGGTGTAAAATTCTTTTTTTAATTTATATTTTATTGATTTTTTTACATCAATCAGCTGCCTCCTGCACACTCCCTACCAGGGATGTGCCCACAACCAAGGTACATGCCTTTGACCAGAATCGAACCTGGGACGGCAGGCCAATGCTCTATCCACTGAGCCAAACCAGTTTCGGCAGGTGTTAAATTCTTTATACAAAGTAGACAAATGGGAGTTGTAAATGAAATTTCTTTAAAACTAGCAGCATATGCTTAGGAGTTTCCTTCACTGTAGCATGCAAGGATTTTAAGGGAGGCTCTCACTTAGATTTTTCTGTATTTCAGATGCTGGCTCTCCTCTCAAGCAAAAAGAGGAACTATTCCTACCTCAACCTGAGGTGCTAGAATTTGGAGTGCCTCTATTATGGGAAGCTGCTTGGGAGCTGTGGCCCACGGCACAACAGAGAGCCCTGCATCTTGAATGTGCCTGCTTTCTCCAAGACTTGGCCTGCCGCTGTGGGAGTTGCCAGGGCGGGGACTTTGTCCCCGTCCACCGTTTTGCCATCTGTTCTACCAAGAGCTCCAGAGGGACATCCCCATTCTGCAGTTCCAAGGATACTGGCTCGGTGTTAACACAAGTGATCACAGACAGATTACAGCTTCCTTCTCCGCAAGGTAAACACAGAGGTCAGAAAGAGGATATATGGACGGCACCTCTCTTTATTCATAAGCTCAGATCTCTTCATCCAAAAGGTAAAATCACATTAGCAATCTGATTGTAATTGCCAATTAGCATTGGCAATCTGGGGTAATCTTTGGTAAATTCCTCAACCTCAGATAATTGAGAAAAATAGCAATATCATTTTACAGGGTTGTTGTACCAGGCACATGATCAGTACACATACATCTTAATTATTGTTTTTTATTGTTATAATTAATTATTCCACTCAGCACATATGTATGGAGTCAGTGTGTATCAGATGCAGTTAAGAATACAAAATGAATGAGCCTTGGTCCCTAAAATGATCTGTTTTGGGGGTGATACAGTCATATAGAGAATTCCAACATGGAAAAGGAGATGAAAATGGCCTACATAGGGGGTGGGTACCTAGAGAGGGGGCCGTTAGCCGACCCAAGGAATGAGTAGAAGAAGACTCTTCCTTGAGATACTGCCAGAAGTTAGACTTGGAGCATAGCCACTTAAGTAGTTTCCCAAAGCCTGTAACCCTTCTACCACATCTCAGGTAAGTGTTCATGTTTTTTTGTTTTAACATTTTCAGTGCATTTATCTTACAGGACATCCTATTTCATTGCCAGCAGCAATTAGAAAGTTTTTTCTTCATCCGTGTGAAATCTCCCTTCTGGCAACTTCACGCGTTTGTCAGAGTTGTGTCTTCTTCTATAGTTGAAAACAGCCATCAAGATCCAACCAATCTTCTCTCTTTCTACTTTGATGGAAGAAAAGTTGGTATTGGCAGGGGAGAGGGATATGAAAGAGATGGTGACGTATTGGAGGTAAAGGACTAAAATGAAGGCTTGGATCTATGATCCTAATACCTCTTCTAGATGTAACATCTGGTGACTCTGTGAAGGTAGGCCAGTAACCTGGAGAAATTGGTCATTGATTGATGCAGTCTATGAGCATTTGTACTTTTGCACTTTCTGAGGGGCAGAGGACAATAACAGTGAGTATCCTAGTCTGATATTGTGATGAGATTATGCTATCATCACATTTCCTATGTGGTCTTGGTTTTGAAGAGGTCAGTTTCAGCTTTGGATTAGACAGCCTGATCAATCTATATGAGAAAGGCTCCAGACCTTCCCAGCACAGTCAAACCCAGAAGAGGCCTCTGTGCACGGCACGCAGGTCCTGCACAGATCGAGAGGGTGCTGCTCACACAGGCTGTGAGGTGAAGGTGCATTGCATAGTGCTGCCGAACTCCAGTTTCTTAGTTACCTTATCCTTACCTGACATTATTTGACTTCAGAAAACTGGTACTTTTATTTAACACAAGTCCTCTCTACAGCGGTTCTCTTAGACACCTTCCTTTTCAATCCCACCACTCATGCTTCCAAGCCCTAACCCTAATATGTAACACTAGAGGCCTGGTGCATGAATTAGTACACCAGTGGGGTCCCTCGGCCTGGCCTCCAGGATCAGGCCAAAACTAGCTCTCTAACATCCCCTGAGATGTCCCAGATTGTGAGAGGGCATAAACCATGCTGAGGGACCCCACTGGTGCACAGTTGGGGCCAGGGAGGGATACGGGAGGTTGGCCAGACAGGAGGGACTGTGGGAGGGCACCAGGGCATGTCCAGCCTGTCTTGCTCAGTCCCGATCAGCTGGATCCCAGCAGCAAGCTAACCTACCAGTCAGAGCGTCTGCTCCCTGGTGGTCAGCACACATCATAGCGACTGGTTGACCAGTCGACTCTCTGCCCCTGGTGGTCAGTGCACATCATAGCAAGCAGTTGAGAGCCTTAGCATATCATTAGCATATTATGCTTTGATTAGTTGAACGGCCAACCAGTGGACTGGACACTTAGCATATTAGGCTTTTATTATATAGGATGTCAACATCATTACCAGTGTATTCCCAGTCTTTGCTTTTTTACCTTGGAGAAGGCAGATGTAAAGGATAGTCAAATCTGGAGGATAGAAGCTGTTGAAGGCCAACTAAGTAAGGTTGAAAACTTGTTGGCCACTAAGACTCTAGTGGACTGTGGCATCATGTGCTCTTGTGATTTTCTCATTAGGTCTTATGTTTTATGGTTCACTCTGCTGTGTCCATAAGCCCAATCATGACATTTTCAGGGATTCCTACTATTAGAAGTATCCATTAGCCAAAACCGGTTTGGCTCAGTGGTAGAGCGTTGGTCTGCGGACTGAAAGGTCCCGGGTTCGATTCCGGTCAAGGGCATGTACCTGGGTTGCGGGCACATCCCCAGTAGGGGGTGTGCAAGAAGCAGCTGATCGATGATTCTCTCTCATCGATGTTTCTAACTCTCTATTCCTCTCTCTTCCTCTCTATAAAAAAACCAATAAAATATATTTTTTTAAAAAAGAAGTATCCATCAAACCATTTTGTATTTCTTTATTTACCAATAGTGAGTACCTCCTGGGAATTAAGAACTGGTTTGGAAGGTTTAAGAACTAAAGGAATTACAAATCATTGCCTTTGAGAAATTTGCAATCAATTATCCTAATTTTGTGTGCAGGCAAATATTAAACCTAAACTTATTATTATAATGGGGAGGGTGTGGAAATTATGTCTAGAACTAAGCTGCAGAGGAAATATAGGAATTTAAAATGTCCTCAGTTAATTCAAACATAGATAACTAAAGATAATCCTCCTTTTTCTCCCTATAGATAGTGTTCAGTTCCAGACAAAACTGTCCATAAGTCGGAAGGCCTTCACAAGTGCACCTTGCAGGTAGATGGAGATGCTGAGAATGGGCTGGAGGGGGCAGAAAGTGAGATGCAGCTGACCACTACACTGGGCTCACCTCACCTGCAGACCAGGAAGGCATCTAACCACCTCAAATCTCTATTCCACTTCATAGAGATCTCAAAAGGCAATTTTGATTCTTTGTAGAGAATTTATTTCTTAGTGGTTAAAACTTCCAATAGCTTCCAAATGCATTGTACACATAGCAGAGGTTTTTTCATTCAGCTGTAAATTTGCCTTTTCAATTATTTTTGACCCCAGCTGATATTAAAATGATCTTATATTTCCTAACCATGTACCTCTGGTTTTCAAATGCCTGTCCCACTGATAGTAAATGTCCCTAACTTGAGTTCACCAGCCACACTGTAGTCTTCTCTATCTTATCCAACTTGATATCCTACTTTTCAAGCATACATCTATTCATATTTTATATGAATCACTTCCACACACGCCTGCGTGTCTGGTGCACACAATTCTCCTTTTTTAAAATACTAAGTGGCCTCCATCTCCTTCCACTTATCAGAATGTTCACAAGCCTTCAAAGCCCTCCTCAATGCCCACTTTTTTCAATCATTCCGTCTCAGAAACACCTGATCTTTTTTAAACTCATGGTACCTGTGGAAAGTGCACTGGACTAGTAGTCAGAGAGGTGAGCTCTAGTTTGGGTTTACCCAGTAGTTTTGAGTCCCTATATAAGTCACTTAAGCTCTCTCAATCTCAGTTTCTTCATCTGCAAAACGGTGGTAACTTTTGCCTGCTGGAATGACAGGGTTATCCTACCTTATAAAAGAGTAATATGCAAATTAGCCACCCCTCTACTCAAGCCATACCCACCAGCCATGCTCACCAGCCAATCAGAGCAAGCATGTAAATTAGCCCCAGCCAAGATGGCTACAGCCACAGAGAGCAGTTGAGAGAGGCTTGGGTTTCTCCCGCAATGGAAGCCAAGCTTTCCACACACCCTGGCTGGCCTAGGCCTCCACTCAAGGCTATAAAGTTTCAATTGTAGAAGGTAAATAAATTCCAGATACCAGGGCCTCCACTTGGGTCGCCAGGGGGCATGGCCGGCCTGCAAACTACTATAGGCCCCTCACCCAGGCCGCCCCACACCCCAAAGGAACCCCAACCCTGATCCGGGACACCCTTCAGGGCAAACCAGCTGGCCCTCAACCATGAACCAGGCCTCTATCCTATCTAATAAAAGAGTAATATGGAGATTGACCATCACTCCAACATACAAGCTGGCTGCCCCCATTTGGTCAAAGATCCTGCCCCTATGTGGATACAAAATGGCCACCACAAGATGGCCAGCAGGGAAGAGGGCAGTTGGGAGGCACCAGGCCTGTAAGGGAGGGTAGTTGAGAGGGACCAGGTCTGCAAGGGAGGGCAGTTGGAGGTGATCAACCCTGCAGGGGAGGGCAGTTAGGGGTGGCCAGGTGGGCAGAGGAGGGAAGTTGGGGGCAAACAGGCTGGCAGGGGAGCAGTTAGACATCAAACAGGCTGGCATGGGAGTAGTTAGGGGGTGATCAGGCTGGCAGGCAGAAGCGGTTAGGGGCAATCAGGAAGGCAGGCAGGCAAGAAGTTGGGATCCAGCAGTCCTGGATTGTGAAAGGGATGTCCGACTGCCCATTTAGACCCAATCCCACCGGTCTAAACAGGCAGTTTAACATCCTTTGAGATGTCCCACACTGGAGAGGGTGCAGGCTGGGCTGAGGGACACCCCCCTACCCTGTGCACAAATTTCATTCACTGGGCCTCTAGTTGCAAGATAAGATGATGGTGATATATAAGATAAATTCAGATGTGCTGTGACAAAGTTCGGATACCTAAGAGATAAATGTACCATTACTATTGCTTTCTATCAGTTGTGTTTATATTTAACACATTGTTAATTTACTCTTCAGGTGTGGTCGTTTCTCCATTTAGTTTGTGAGGTATTAGATTGGCTTTAGGTTTTTAAAAATCTGTAATAGGACTTTGCCATTATATCTTCAATAGATTAGGCTCCTGACTTTTAAAAACTTACAGAGTGATGGAGGAAAAGGATAGACAGAATTAATGAGTTATAAGGAAAGCTTCCTGGGAAACGTGGCTCAGAGTCCTGGTAATACCTAACAGCAGTGGCTGCACCTGGCCACTCTCATTTCTACATCTTCTCTCCACAAAGGTCAGAGGAAGAGTTCCTGGATGGAGTGAGCAGGAAGCTGGCTTAGGCCATCCCTGAGAAGACCTGTCGCTGTGAGGAAATCCTGAAGTTCGTGCTCTCGCCCCTCGCCCAGCACTGCCTGGTCATCGGAGCAAACACCTGTGCGTTTTATTACCTGCTGGAGGCTGCCGCCGCCTCCTTGGACCTGTCAGATAACCACATGGTGGGCAAGCTCTGCTTTCTGAGATGAGCCCTTTTACTTGGGGGATTCGATTGGATTTCTTACTATTAAGTTACCTGGAGAGAAAGTGGGAGAGAGAAAAGACCTGGAAAGGGTTTAGGACAGTGGTCGGCAAACCACAGCTCGAGAGCCACATGTGGCTCTTTGGCCCCTTGAGTGTGGCTCTTCCACAAAATACCATGTGTGGGCACATGTACAGTGCAATTGAAACTTTGTGGCCCATGCACAGAAGTCGGTTTTCAGCCTGGGCGAGTCTATTTTGAAGAAGTGGCATTAGAACACTCAAAGGGCCAAAGAGCCGTGGTTTGCCAACTACTGGTTTAGGAGAAAACATGAGTGGGAATGTGGGACTGAGAGAACACCAAGCTGCCGGCCCTGCCCCTGCCCGGCTGTGCGCAGTTCAGCTCCAAATTCTAACTCAAAATCCAACCTGATTGAAGTGCATATCTTGACCCTCGTCACATCCTTCCTCCAGTCTTTACTCCAGCATCATCTAAATCCTAATCCAGTTCCTCCATCCCTTGTCGGGTTTGGAGGCCTTCTTTTATTTGAGGAAGGCAAGCAGTCTTCTGGGCCAGCCCTCTGCATTTTCGTTTTTGAAAAAGCACAAGGTGAAGATCTGTCAGTTTGAGGAGGCCACTTTCTGCCATCTTCGGTCAGAGGTGAGAGCAGAGGTGACCTTGAAGTGTGGGTTATTTCTCCTTGATGGTTACCTTATTATTTCTTTTAAAATCCCTTTGATTTTTTGGGGGGTGTGTTTGTGTATGTGCAGTTATAAATGTGATAATATGATAAAAGGTCTACAAATTCAAAACCTGAAAATATATAATATGTAAAAAATGAAACAACCTTCATATGCCACCCCCAGCATAGTTAATAATCTGGCTATATGCACAGTCATATCATTATTATTTTGTTATTTTAAAAATAGAATCATATTCCTCATTCTCTTCTGTAGCTGACTTTTATTCTTAATAGTGAAGATTGAACATATTTGTGTGTTGGGATACATCTAATCACAGTTGTAGCTGCCAAGTTTTTCACTGTATGCGTATATCAAAGTTTACTTACCCATTCCATTCTTCAGGTGCACTATGGTGAATATTCTTGGAAATATCTCTTCTTTTGTGAGAATGTGTCTGTAAAAGACATTTTCAGAGGTGGAAATATGTAGTGAGGGAGAAGATATGATTTTACATTTAGTAAATATATTGCCAAATTGTTCACCAAAAATATATCAATTAGAGTTTTTTTATACTTCTTTACAGCCTTACCAACATCAGATACTATTAGTCTTTTAAAAACTTGCTAATACATTGGTACATTATTTTTACGAGTTTATTAGTCATTGATTTTTCTGTGAATTGCCTAGTAATGGGGTGCAATAAAACTGTGATGAATAACTGAAAGTTGCTAAGAAAGTAGATCTCAAAAGTTCTCATCACAATAAAAAGAAGATGTGTGGTGATGGGCATTAATTTATTTTGACAATTATTTTGTAGTATATCCATATAATGAATCATGTACAACTGAAACTAATACAATGTTATATGCTGTTTAGATCTCCAGCTACTGCCCAACACCATTGAAACATTAACCATCAGCCCTTCTCCGTGGACCAGTTCTGGCAAGTGTAATATGGCACATCTCCCTACAGCTCTGCCTTCTGCATCTACGACATTCTGGTTCCTCTGTTCAAACCAACTTTCTGTGCCTACTTGTTCCTCCGGCCTGAGTGAGTGTGCTGAGTTGGGGCTGTTGTAAGAGCTGATAGAGGGGGGTGGAGGGAGGGAAAGTGCTAATCCCGGAGTTAATGGATCCTTCTTTCCTTTCAGTACTTTAAGGAGTTTTTCTCTCGATGTGTGACCTGCCCTGTCTATCACCGGTGGGTCTCTGAGCTGAAAGCCTCTGTAATGAGATATGGAAAGAGAGAAGTCATGTCCTTGACTAACTTCATCAGGCCTTTGGACACCTGCTTGATCAGGATTTGGATAGAGGGAGAATTCCTGGAGGAAAACAAATCCTTTGATGGAAATTTAGCAATGCAGAGTAAGCATTCCTTCCTTGAACCCTTGTCTGAGAGACACAAAGAACAGTCTCCTATTTCTACTCACAAGCAGCCAAAGGCTTCACCTCCAAAATAAGAAGGGACCCAGCCTGGACCCATTGCTACGTAGTGTAAGAGCCTCTCTCAGGCTTTTGCTTCAGCATCTGGAATCCTAAGTATAGGAAGTTCCTCCTCGGTCCCAGCTTACACAAGATTGTTCCCTTGAAGGTCACTAAGGGAGAATGTAGGCCTTAGAAATCACAGTGCAATGTCTGTGAAGGTAAACGGTAAGATATAGACAAGAAAAAGAGGGAAAGGAATATATTATAGTATCTTGCCTCAGGGCCCAGCAAATTGTCTCCTTTTACAGGGTCATGAGTTAAGTCTGTATTTGCTGAGAATATTCTTCATGTTTGTGATCTTCTTTATGTTTCTGGTTCCAGGGTTTGACAGAGTGACTGATACTAAGGAGAACAGGGATAAAGAAGAAATTCAAGAATATAATATTAAAACAACAAAAAATCATCTGAAGGGATCATGATTCTCTTATTGTATATAACACAAAGAAATGCCTCAAGTTCTCCTTTTTAAGATACTGTATATTTTAAAATATACTGTATATTTTAATAAAAGCCTGTGTTTCTGGCCCTCACTGGTTTGTCTCAGTGGATAGAGCATCAGCCTACGATTGAAGGATCCTGGGTTCAATTCTGGTCAAGGCATGTGCCTGGGTTGCCCACTCAATCCCTAGTGGGGAGTATGTAGGAGGCAGCCAATCAATGATTCTCTCTCATCATTGATGTTTCTATTTCTCTTCCTCTCCCATCCTCTCGGAAATCAATAAAAATATATGTCTATACTAATAAAAGGGTAATATGCTAATTAGACTAGGTCAACTGACCATCTTCCAGACATCTGACTTCCTTCTGGACAAAGCCATGGTGGTGGGGGCCTAGGCAGAGGCAGTTAGGGGTGATCAGGCCATCAGGGGAGGGCAGTTAGGGGCAATCAGGCAGGCAGAGGCAGTTAGGGGGATCAAGCCTGCAGGAGAGGGGAGTTGGGAGCAACCAGGCTGGCAGGGGAGGGTAGTTGGGGGCAAGATCAGATCAGCAGGGGAGGGCCATTGGGGGCAAGATGAGGCCTCCAGGAGAGGGCAGTTAGGGGCAATCAGGCAGGCAGGCAGAGGCAGTTAGGAGCAATCAGGCAGGAAGGCAGGTGAGCAGTTAGGAGCCAGTGGTCCCAGATTTGTGAGAGCGATGTCCCTCAAGGGGTTCCTAATTGGAGAGGGTGCAGGCAGGGATGAGGGACAAAATTTGTGCACTGGGCTACTAGTATCTACACTAATAAAAGAGAAAGATGCAAATTGACCATATCTTTGAGGTGTCCACCAGCCAATCAGGAGTGAGTATGCAAATTAACCCAACAAAGATGGTGGGTTAATTTGTATACACAGGTACTGAGCATCTAGGGGCAGGGTGTTCCACACCATCCCAGCAGCTCTGCGCCTCTGGGCAGCATGGGAAGGCAAAAGGCAACTCTGAGCCAGAGCGAAGGTGGTGCTGGCAGCCAGGAGAAGGAAGGCCCATTCTTGCATGAATCTTTGTGCATCAGGCCTTTAGTGTTTATAAAAAAGCCTGTGTATCTGAAGCATGAAATTTAGATCTTAACTCTGGACTGTCATTTGCACAACTGTAGAGAAATTGAAACTGGGATAGATCAGAGGTCTGGGAGACTTTCTGATTCCATCACCGATAAGGTTGGATCCATTAGCAGTCAGGAAACAGCCCTAACGAAGAGGTCATTACAAAGGAAGGCTGGCAGTGTGGGTGCTTTGGTGCTGACCACTTTAGGCACAGGTGTGGAAATGGCTGCTAAGAAACCAAGGAATGTCCTGGCTAGTTTGGCTCAGTGGATAGAGTGTCAGCCTATGGACTGAAGGGTCCCGGGTTTGATTCTGGCCAAGGGCACTTGACTGAGTGTGGGCTCGGTCCCCATTGGAGGGAATGTGGAAGGCAGCAGACCAATGATTATCTTTTATCACTGATGTTTCTATCTCTCTCTCCCTCTCCCTTCCTCTCTGAAATAAATAAAAAGAAAAGAAAAAAGAAACCAAAGAATCACAGTGGGAATTTGTTTCTCCTTTGTGGTGTACGATTTGGGCATTTCCTTCTCATGTTTCTCATACTGAAATTGCCAGAGGGTATATGACTCCAGCTCTTCTCTTCATTCTCCCCTTTTGGAGCTGCTGTCTTTGGCCTTTATCTGTTTGATGGTCTTTCTTCCACAGAGTATGACCTTCCCACTGATTTTTATGCTTATAACTCAATCATCTAGTGTTCATAAAGTCAGTTAACTAATGATATGATAGCTATCATTTATCCTTCACTCTGTGCTTGAAGTACATTCTTTAAATCCTCATATCAATTCTGTGAAGCAAGTATTTTTATTACTCCCATTTTATAGATGAAGCTAAAGCTTAGAAAGGTTTTGCTCTAAGAAACAGCCACAAAATGGTGGAGCTGGGATTCTAACTCCAATTTAATTCCAGAGTTTACACTCATAACCATTAGGCTCCACTGGCTTTCCTGGGACCTAGCCTATAGTCAGCTACCCTGCACTTAGGCTTCAGTATTCTGTTTAAATGACCACAGTCAGAACTTTAAGGATGTTTGGGAAAGGGAGGCCTGGACTTTTAAATTGTCCTGTCTAGTCTACACATACCCTTCTAACCTCCTCTTGTTAACCTCCTCCTTCCCCCTCCATGCCCCTCTTGTTTCCCTTCCATTTTTCCACCTCTTACCCCCTGCTTCCTTTCTCCTCTTCTACTCCTTTAAATTTCCAAGAGGCAGTATAGAGTAGTGGTCAGGAGCAAAGACTCTGAGCCAGGCAGCATAAGTCAAATTTTAACTGCTACATATTAGCTGTGTTACTTTCATCATATAATTTATTTCCTTTATGCTTCACTTTTCTGTAAGTAAGGATTAAAAAGATTGTCATTGTGAAGATTAAATACATATAAAGTGCTAGAACAGTGCCTGGCACATAGTAGGCACTCAAGAGATGTTAGCTGTTATTATCAATTTAATTTTTATATTTATATTTAAAAATAGATAATACATTTATGTGGTATAAAATTTAAAGAACAAAAGTATATACGGGAGAAAGGTTCCCATTCTTGTCCTCCAGCCACAAGCTTCCCTCCCCAGAGCTGATGTGTGTTACCCTTCCAGTGTGTCCTTGTAAAATGTATTCTATGCACATGCAAGCTACGGTATATATTTGCTGAACCCTTCTTTCCCACAATATACTAATAAGACATTGCTCTTTCTTTTTTTGCATTTATTTCCCTTTTGGAAAATTTTAAAAGAATTTTATTGAAAATGGGAACATCTGTATAGTGTAAACAATAAAAATAAAGTTTAAAAAGTTCCAAACCCCATTCATCGTCCTTTATCTCAGATTCCATCATAGCCTATTCTTGATCAGTAACTCAAAACAACAGAAAACAATGAAGAACAAAGAACAAAGGAAATCTGTAATTTTTATTCTAAAAAAGTAACAAATTTTAGCCCTGGCCAGTGTGGCTTAGTTGGTTGGAGAGTCATCCTGTACCCAAAAGGTGACAGGTTCAATTCCAGGTCAAGGCACATACCTAGATTATGGGTTCTGTCCCTGGTCAGGTGCATGCAGGAGGCAACCAATCTCTCTCTCTCTCTCTCTCTCTCTCTCTCTCTCTCTCTCTCTCTCTCTCTCTCTCTCTCTCTCCACCCTCTCTTTTTTTCTCTCTAAACTCAATAAATTGACTTACATTAATTCATTAAAAAGTAAATTTTATACAACTCTTTACCACCTTTTATATTCTGAAATTTATTCTCCACATACACAAAATAATTTGTTTGATATTGTAATAATATTGATTAGAAACCAACAAAGGTTTAACTCTACCTGCTCCAAATAGCAATATAATCTTACATTAAGATATTGAACCACTTTAATGAAAGTATTAGTTTAAAAGATTATAATTACTAACATGAACTTTCTTGATGAGGTTTTTAAAAATATATTTATTGATTTTTTTACAGAGAGAAAGGGATAGGGATAGAGAGTTAGAAACATCAATGAGAGAGAAACATTGATTAGCTGCCTCCTGCACACCTCCTACTGGGATGTGCCCGCAACCAAGGTACATGCCCTTGACTGGAATCGGACCTGGGACCTTTCAGTCCACAGGCCGACGCTCTATCTACTGAGCCAAACCGGTTAGGGATCTTGATGAGTTTTTGTTGAATTTTATCAAGCCTTTTTATCATCTATACAGATGTAGTTATGTTTCTTTTCCTTATTCATTTAATGTGTTAAATCATGGTAATGTTTTCTAACTATTTTTAAAGAGGAGAAAAACGAATTTTATTGAGATAAAATTTACCCTTTCAAGGTGTGCAATTTAGTACATCACAACACTGTGCAACCATTGCCACTAAGTCCAGAACATTGGTAGCACCCCAAGTAAGAAACTCAGTACCCATTAGTAGTCACTCTTCAGGCCCCCTTACCCAGACTCCTAGGTTTGGATTATTCTAGAAATAAAACTGATTTTTATATATTGATTTTGTAGCCTAAAACTTTTCTGAACTCATTTACTAACTCTAAGTTTTTTTGTGGATTCCTTAGAATTTTCTACGTACAAGATTATGTTATGTAAATAGAGATAATTTTACTTCTTCCTTTCCAATCTGGATGTCTTTTATTTCCTTTTCTTGCCTGATTGCACTTGCTAGACCTCTAATACAATGTTGAATACAAGTGGAAAGAATTAACATTCTTATTGTTCTCAGTCTTAGGGGGAAAGCTTTAAGCATGGTGTTAGCTGTGAGTTTTTGTAGATGCCTTTTTATCAAGTTAAGAAAATTTCCTGCTAGTTTGTTGAATGTTTTGTGTGTGTGTGTGTGTGTGTGTGTGTGTGTGTGGTTTTTTTTTTTGTTTTGTTTTGTTTTGTTTTTTTTATCATAACAGAGTGTTGAATTCTGTCAAATGCTTTTTCTTCATCTATTGAAATGACCATGTGGTTTTTAGTAATCTTTTCTATTTGTTTCTCTGTCTTCTTTTATTGTGGTATTTTATTTTTATTTTATTTTTATTTTATTTCTTTTAGTATTTGGGGGTCTACATTCATGAGGGATGTTTTCTTATGATCTTTGTCTAGTTTGTGCATCAAGGTAAAACTGGCTTCATAGAATGAGTTGGGAAGTATTCCTTTATTTTCTATTTTTTGGAAGAGTTTGTAAAGGACTGGTTTTAAAATTCTTTCAGTATTTGGTAAAATTCACCAGTGAAGCCATCTGAGCCTGGGTTTCTCCTTGCAGGAATTTTTTTAATGAATTAAACCTCAACTTGTTACTAGTCTATTCAGACTTTCTATTTCCTCTTGAGTGAGTTTTAGTAATTTGTGTCTTTCTAGGAATTTGTCTATTTCATCTAGGACAGTGGTCAGCAAACTCATTAGTCAATAGAGCCAAATACCAAAAGTACAACGATGGAAATTTCTTTTGAGAGCCGAAAACCGACTTCTGCGCATGGGCCACAGTTTCAATCGCACTGTACGTGCATGCCCACACGTGGTATTTTGTGGAAGAGCCACACTCAAGGGGCCAAAGAGCCGCATGTGGCACTCGAGCCGCAGTTTGCCAACCACTGATCTAGTTATCTAATTTGTTTGTATACAGTTGTTCATACTATTCTTTATAATCCTTTTGTATCTCATAAGGTCAGTAGTTCTTCCTCCACTTTCATTCCTAATTTTGTAATTTGAGTCTTTTTTTTTTTCTTGGCCAGTTGAGCTAAATTTGTTAATTTTGTTGATCTTTTCAATGGGTCTTAAAAACAGAGAGACATAGGTGTGAGAGAGAAACTTTGCTCAGTTACCTCCCAAACAGGAATGGAACATACAACCTAGGTATATGCCCTGATTGGGAATCAAACCCACAACCTTTTAGTGTATAGGGTGACACTCCAACCAACTGAGCTACATGTCCAAGGCATTTAGAAATGTTTTAATGTTTTACATATTTATTAGTTTCCAAAGTCATTTATAACTTCATTCCATTGTGGTCAGAAGACATACTTTGTATGATTTCAATCTTTTAAATTTATTGAGACTTATTTATGGTCAAACATATTATCTCTCCTGGAGAATACTGCATAGATATGCTGTTGTTAGAGTGTTTTACAGATGTCTGCTAGGTCTAGTTAATTTATGATGTTCACATCTGCTATTACCTTGTTGCTATTCCACTTAACTTGTTTTATCCATTATTGAAAACTAGAGGCCTGGTGCATGAAAGTTCATGCACTGGAGTGGGGGGGAGCTCGCATCCCTCAGCCTAGCCCACTCCCTTTCACAGTCTGGGAGCCCTCAGGGGCAGGAGGCAACCCAGAGATCAGGGAAAGGCGACGCTTCCATAACACCTCTGCTGCTGCCACTGCTGGCAACTCAAGCTTCGGCTGGCTCTGGTTACCTCAGCCTCAGGCAGCTACCATCCAACGCTTACCTGTGTCTTGGGCATTGGGTGGGAAGCCGTTATTTGAGGCTTGCCTGTACCTGGAGGGCTGAGGGGACTGGGGGAGTCTGGAGGCAGGTGTGTGAAGTGGCCGGACCCACCTGGGGGTGGGCATGGCCATACCTCATGCCTGTTCCCCTGGTGGGGCAAAGAACTGGATGCTGCCATATTTGAGGGTGTGGTATTCAATTAGCATACTCCCTCCTTATTGGCTGTGGGCACTGCCATCTTTGTGAGGGTGTGACAGTCAATTAACATATTTCCTCTTTATTAGATAGGATGGGATTTTGAAGACTACAGCTATTACTGTTTGTCTATTTTTCCCTTCAGTTCTGTCAGTTTTTGCTTCAAGTATTTTGAAATTTTGTTAGAAACATATATTTATATTATTACCAGATGCACAAAATTTGTGCACGGGGTGGGGTCCCTTGCCCCAGCCTGCACCCTCTCACAATCAGGGGATGTCCACTGCCAGTTTAGGCCTAATCACAAACCAGGACCACTGGCTCCTAACTGCTGGCCTGCCTTCCTGCCTGATCACCCCTAACCACTCACCTGCCTGCCTGATCTCCCCTAACTGCTTGCCTGCCTATCTGATTATCCCTAACCACTCGCATACCTGCCTAATTGCCCCTAACCCACATGTGTCAAACACAAGGCCCACGGGCCAAATCCGTCCCGCCAGGCCTTGCAATGTGGTCCGCACCGCACTGTCATCACTGCATTCCGCTGCGTTTCCATCACAATGACAGTTTATGACTGTTCAGTAAACCATTCGGCCCGCGATTTAGGCTGGATTTTAGATTTTGGCCCCTTCTCTGATTGAGTTCGACACCCCTACCCTAACCATTCCCTTCCTTGACTGATCACCCCTAACTGCTCACCTGCCTGCCAGATCGCCCCTACCTCTGCCTTGGCCCCACTGCTGCAGCTTCGTCCTGAAGAACTTCCAGAATGGCGTCCAGAAGATCATTTGGCTGTCCAGTCTAATTATCATATTACACTTTTATTGTTATAGATATCTTCTTGATGGATTGACTCCAACATAATTAGAAACTATACTTCTTTGGTCACTGGTAAAAATTTTTTAAATCGATTTGATCTGATATTAATATAGTCACTCCAACTCTCTAACTAGTTTGCATGATGTTTTTCCATCCTTTTACTTCTAACTAATATGTGTTTTTTAATCTAATATTTGTCTCCTGTAGTCAGCATATAGTTGGAACATGTAGTTTTTAATTCATCTGCCAATCTCTGTCTTTTAATTGGAATGTTTAGTCTGTTTACATTCAATGTAATTATTCATAAGATAGGATTTATGTCTGCCATCATATGTTTTCTATTTGTCTTATTTCACCACTGTCTTTTGTTATATTAAATAGGTACTTTTAATTTAACTTAATTTTTAATTTCTTTATCATGAGCAATGATAGAATTAATGTATTTCCCTTCTCTCCTTCCCTCTTCTCCCCCAGCCAGTTGATCCTCTTCTTTAGTATTTTCCCTTGTACTGCTAAATATGCTTTTGCTTCTGTTGGGTTATGAAAAGTTCAAAATACATTTAGGTCAGGGTAAGTTTTATCCAGAAGCGTTCTTTTTTAGACTTCTTTCTGCCCTTCCTCCTCATTCTCCCCCAACATGGCAAGTCCTCAGTCATCTTAGCCAGGGGACAATGAGGGCTTAGTTGATTGGTGGGCTGTTTCCTCCACAAGGGTCAGAAGTAAATTTAGGTTCTGTCACAGATCAGACTCTATCAGGGACACTCAGAACATCCTGCCAGAGCTCCCCAAAAATAGCACCACTGGGCTTACACAGCTGGAGCCCAGGGCAGGATGCTCTGTCCCTTCTCCCGAGGTGCCTAGACCAAGCTAGGGCCCCTCCAGATGGTGGCAACTCTTCATGCCTAGCTCTCCATGATTATAAGAACAGTGGATTCCTGAGCACCTCCTCCTCTCCACTTAAGTCTCTCATCTCAATATGGGCAAATGTTTTTCAACTTGAACTGTTTCAAGAGAAATCCTAGCAGAAATCTTAAAGGCCTAGATTAGCTTTCATTTATATTTAACCATGACCACAGCCTTACCGTCCACACTTCCCTCCCTCCCCCATGCCTTTTCTCCACTGGGCTCTTTCCAAGCTCCCGAGTTCTGGCCAAAGGGTATAGTGTTGGATAGCCACCCAGAGAGAGAGGCAGCTCTGCTCAAGGTCCGCACAGATCCTTCTCTCCTGGCATTTGAAAATCCAGGAATAATACTGATACATATTTCCATTTCTGTCCTTATTCCTGCTTCTTTTCAGCCCCCTCTCTCACACCTCCATCTGTCCTGAGTCTCCTTTAATCATTATCCCCCTCCTCTCATACACTGTCACATCAGAAGATGTCAGTTGTTTGCAAGGTGTACAGCAGGAGCAGAAAAGGTGTCTAGCCTCAAAAAAATGAATCTTTACCCTCAGGTATTATGAGAAAGGCAGGAAATACTTTTGAAAAAGCCTTCTTTGTGCCCCTTGAATTCAACTGCACTGCCATGTCCAGAGCGGGGAACGAAGCCCCTGCCCCCTGGCAGGACAGACAGGAGATCACACAGCACCAAGGTGCGTCTTTTCAGTCCACAGGCCATCTAAGTAGTCAAACTCAGGCCCTTCCTTTTCCCTCAACCATCAAGAGCGCACAGGTCATCATGTAGAGTTTATTTAGCCCAGTGGTGTCATGGCAGAGGCGCCAGCGTGAGAGGCTCCCCCAAGAGACCCAGGTCACACCCATCATCGCCTGGCAGGTAAAAAATTGAGACGTTAGATTGGACCCTAAAGTAACGGGCTGGCTGGTGGACGCACAGAAAGAACCTGTGGCCTCTGTGAGCACACAGTGTGGTGAGCATCTCAGCTGGATGAAGTCTGGCCATGAGGGGGATCCTGCGCTGGCTCCTGGGTGGGCCTGCCCCCCCTGTCCCCAGGGAAGATGACTGTGGCATACATCACAGGGTTGGAGCAGCTCAGGACCTCAGGAGGCAAAGGGGGTGATGAGGATGGAGCTGGGGCTGGGGGTTTCCTTGACGGGGGCTCAAGGGAGAGGTTGCTATAGGTAGTGTTGTCAAAGGAAGGTGGTGAGTCCAGCCTGGTGTACGGTACGTCCGACGGCACGTCTAGAGCCAGTCCAGAGTCATCTGTGCGGACCGCTGGGGAGAGTGCCTGCGAAAAAGCAGGCAAACCGAGCAGAGCACGCCTCCCTCAGCCCCAGCTCCCTGGGCAAAGCCGAGGACGCGCTGCCTCTGTCTCTGGAATATGTCAGCAGGCAAGAGGACTCCTTGAAGATTTTCAAGTCCCAAGTTTCTCCCCAAGTCTGGGAAGGTGGGACCATGCATCAATGCTATTCCTTGGCAGGACAAAGGATTTTCAAAGGACCGTTAGGAAAATGGTTTGTTTGGACTCCCTCTGGGTCCCAGTCCTCCCTCCACCCCATCAACCTGGGACCTCTCTGAGCATGGCTGGCGGAGACCCTGGGGGAATTGGCTGGAAGCCGGAGAGGCCTCCTCTTACCATGCCTGGACCTCCGCTGCGCTGGGATTGGCCAGGGACGCCTCGCCTGTTCCCTGGTAACACAGAGGACAGCAGCACAGTCTGCCCCTTGTGCCGGCTCAGAGCCCAGCCCTCACCCCCACAGAAACCTCAGGCTCACCTTCCCCACTCCCACCACTGAACCTTTACCCCTCCGACCCACAGCCCCGCCCAGCCTGCCCTGACTGCCACCCACCTGCTGCTTCCACAGCTCCCGCCAAACCTGCCTGGACACCCCCCCCACCCCCAACTCCACAGCCCTTTCCCCACCTCTCCAGTCCCCTGTCCCAGCCCCACTCCCCCACCCGCTCCAGTGCCTGTCTTCCCCAGGCCTGCTCCCACTGAACACCTTCCTCCCCTCCACCCCTCATGGGAAATCCCGCGTCTGCCTCTGTAGGGGCAGACCTAGATTCCTGGCCTTGTCTACAAGACCGGCTGACAGGCCCCGGGGGGCCACGCAGGGATAGATGAATGGACCACCACCTACCTTTCCTTTTGGCCATCACAGCAAATAGCACTCCCGCCACCACCAGCAAGCTCAGCAGGAGCACGGAGCCCCAGATCAAGGGGATGCTATGGGACACGAAGGCACCGGTGAGCTTGGCCCTGACCTGGCTGGGAGCTGCTGGCCAGGACTCCTGAGCAGTGGCTCAGGGGCAGTCCCTGGTGGGCCATGGTTGGGAGAAGGAGGTTTTTGGAATGGAGTGAGGAGGGCAGGCTCGGGCAGGGCAGACTAGAGACATTATGGAGGGACAATGGCTGTGGAACCTGAGGGATGAAGGGACTGTTGTTGAACCGAATGAAGAGGTCTGTCTGTCTGTCTGTCTGTTTAGCTACCTGATCAGAAGTTCCCCAGGAAAGGAAGGAAGCATGGGGTTCCCTTTGATTTACTCTGGGGCTCTGAATGAGCCGTTAGCCCACCTCCACCCTGGTCCCAGCCACCCAGGGTCCCGTCTGTACCTTGTCTCATGCTGGCTGGGCAGAGGGCTGGCACTGCTGAAGGGGTATGAGGGCTCGTCAGTCTCACTGCCAACCTTGTCGAACTCCTCTTCCTCTGTCAGGCCAGGAGATGAGTCAGGAGGAATATTTAGTGAGCACACCTCCCCCTGTGGGCAGGGCTCATGGTCCTGTGGGGGTGAGCGGTGAGAGCTGGTGGCGGACAGGGGGCAGGGGGCACTGAGGAGAATGGAATACAAAGAAGGGCTGGGGTGTTCCTTAGGGGCATGCACTCTGGGTGTCAGGGGGTGGCATTCCTATGCTTCACCTGACTGCGGATATGCCACTTCCCCTCTGCTCACGCCCATCACTTCCCCGGCATGGCTCTCCACGGGCTCCGCCCAGCCTGTGAGGCCGCTCCACACCCTGCCACCTCGTGGCCCCTGCAGGCCACTGAGCCACCTCCGGGCTCTGCCCTCAGGGTCTGAGGAACTCCAGGGTCAGCCCTAAGGTGAAACATGCCACTGGACCTTGCTGGGGGACCTGGTCGGTCCCCGAGACTCAGTTTGGTGACAGCGTGCTCCACTAAGGGAGGCAGCACTGGCTCCTCTGAGCCTGGTGATCTGCCTCGGGAGCCTGGCCAGTCCTTCTAGAGCCTCTGGGATGGAGCCTCACTCGTTCTAGAAGATTCACCGCGTCTACTCCCTGCCCCAGGCCAAACCAGGAAACGGAGATGCTGAGCCCACTCTGGCCGCACGTGCCTTCTAAGCCCCTGGATGGGCCTTGCCTGAGCTGCCCCACATCCTCCCTGGATACCAGGCTCCCCCTGCCTGCCTGCCCACCATCCTCTGCTGCTGTCACTGTGCTGTCGGGCCACACCTGCCACTGCAGTCCCGCCTCCCTGTCACTCTTCCACTGCCTCCCGTCTTGTCCCAACAGAGGAGTTATAACCCTTACTTCCCAGACCTCAGCGTGTCGGGAAGGAGGGGACAAAGGAGACGAGGATGGACAGGAGTGTATTTATAACAGGAAACGGTGATTATGGACTCCAGCGAGGAGGGATCCTCCGGGCAACTTCATCACCTTCTTAATTCATAGATGGGGAAAGCAGAGAAGGAAGGTACCTTTCTTCATGTTGTCATTTGGGGATCAGCACAAAATACTGAGAAAAGGACGCACTGGCGGGGAACACCTATCCGCAGCCATGAGCGATGGCCAGCAGCAGTCTCTGCCTCAGCAGCTGCTGGCTGGCCATTTCCCCTCCCAACGGCCTTTTCACAACAGCCTCTCTTACTGGGGGGAAATTTAACACTTTAAATTGTTCTTTAAATCAATGCTTCGATGTTAGATAGCTGCAGGCTTTGTGAATTAAATCTATAAAAATAAAGTGCTTTCCCTGCTGACATTAGGGTTGAGAAGATCAGCTTAAATTCTGAGGCCACTTTAGGACTGGATGGGTAGGGGCAGTTGAGGCATTGCCTGTGCCCCGCCTGTGGGTGAGCAGGTGCTGGGTGCTCTATGAGGACAGACTTAGAGAATTAAGTGAGCTATTTCAGGCCATCTAACCCATTCTTACAGAAATTAAAAAAAAAAAAAAAACCTGGATGATATAAAAGAGTAATTCAAGTTGATACGCCTGAATTAAAACTCTGCTTAAAATATTTCTGTGAAAAAACAAACAAAACAAAAACAAAACCTCATCCTCCTTGGAATGCCAGCCCAGGAGGCCCGGCTTTGGGTGCGGGAGAGGCCATGCCTTCCTGGGGGACCCGCCTGTGCAGGAGGGGGAGGGGCTGCCCTGCCCATTTTATCTCAGATGCTCACTCAGTTTGGTTTCCGCTCCCTGCGGAGCTGTCAGAAGGATGTCTCCTCCCAAGTCCTCTCCCCCAGCAGTCCCCTCACCCTCAGGGACCCAGGGGCCGCAGGTGGGAGTGGGGAGGGCAGGTCTGAGGTGCGGTGATGTTGGCGATGTGGGGTAGGTGACTCACCTGCCGGGAGGACCTCCAGGGACACCCTGTGCACTGTCTGGGGCCCAGCGTCGGCCTCCACCACGCAGCCGTACTCCCCGGCATCCTCCTCCCTCAGGGAGGTCATGTCCACCTGCAGCAGGCCACTCCCCAGGTCCGTGAGGAAGATGTGGCTGTGTCCCGGGTCTCTGCGGTCCACCGCCGAGGACACCAAGGGCTGGCACCTCTCCATCAGGAAGCGGCACCACACCTTCCGGGCCCGGCCGTCCTGGGGTCGGTAGAGACAGTGCACCTGGACGGAGCCGCCCACCCACGCCCGCAACACCTCGGGGAGATGGTCCGCGGAGCCCTGGCCTGGGGAGGGAAAGGAGGAAGGGATGTTAGGGAGGCGATGGGGGAACCTCCCAGCCCACCGACTGTCCGAGGGGCACAGGGACCCCTCAGGGCCTTACACACGGATTGTTGCCACAATCACGTCAATTGTTTCTAGGCATTGAGCAGGGTGGAGGGGGCCCAGAACTCGGCAGCTTCTGCACCTCACCTGCTAGTCCCAGGAGCAGCAGCAGAAGCAGGTTGGGAGCCATCGCTGGGCTGGGAGATGTGGGCCGGGGCCTTGCTGGGCACTGACACAGCACTCCCCTGGGGCAGGAAGCATCTGCCTCGGTCACGTGGGGCTCTCGGTGACCAGGGGGTGGGAGACAGACTCTGGAGGGGCCTCCATGGGTGGGGATAAGGAGTGCCTCCTCACCCTGGTTGGCTCAGTGCTCAGGGACGAACCCAGAAGGCCGGGCTGGGCAGGGCAGGCTGGGCCCAGCTAAGGAATAAGGAGGAAGATGAAGGCAGCTGGAGGGCGTTAGGGAAGGAGGAAAGATAACTTTGGGGTCCTCCAAATACAGAATCTGAGGATGCAGAGCTGGGAGGGACGGAGGGAGTGTCCTTCCCAGGGTCTCAGACCTTCTGGTCTTAATTTCTGTGTGAGTGTCCCCACTCCAGCTCTCAGGCGATTGTCCTTCTCCTGAGGTCCCACCACACGGCAGGAAGTCCCACCTGATGTGGGCGGGGCCTGTCTTGTTTTTCCGATGAGAGACCTTTTCACTGTGGCCCCACTGCTTCAATTCTGGGAAGAGCATTATTTCTTTGATAATTACTTCTCCGTTTTCTCTCCCCGCACCCCCCCTTTTTTTTTTCCTTCTGGAACTCCTTAATTGGTTGGATATGGAACCCAATGCATTCATCTCATTTTTATACCCTTTCTCTCTTATCTTCCTTCTCTTTTGGTCCATTTCATTCTGATTTCTGAAAGATAGCATTATTTTTTTTCTTCCATCTCTTCTATCACTGTCTTTTAAAGTTTTATTTTTTAGTGTTCTTCATTCACCAGATTTCCTGTTCTCCAAGCAGGTCTTCAGTAAGTCACACTTTGTCTCAGGAATACACTCCCCTCTCTGCTGGGGAGCCAGCTCTTTGTAAAGATGCTCCCATTCCTGCCTGGCCTGGGCCTCCTGAGCGAGGGCCCGGCCAGGGTGTCCTGGTGAGTGGGCAGCAGACACACCGAGAGACAGTCTCAGCTCCAACGAGGTTTGCTTCCGTCCTCTCATCCCTCCCTGGGGAGGTGGGGTGGTTCGTTTTGTTTAAATTTTATTTTTCACTTGCAGTTTACATTCCATATCATTTTGTCGCCAGGTAGGTATTTGTTTGGCTTTCAGTAGAAGAGGACCCTGAGCCTCAGGAGTTAGGAACTTGCTTAAAGTTTCCTACTGAAGTTTGAAACCAAAGTACCTGACCGTCTTAAACACAGTGTGCCCCTAGAGAGCCCAATGGTGAGGAGAGGTTCGCCTGTGCCAGGCCCCAGGCCCGCCCTCTGGGCAGCCTCCCTGCCATCTCATTGGTGCTGGGGTGGGGTGGGGTGGCCAGGAGGTGGAACCAGGCTCAGTTTGGGCTCCACTGGGTCTGTTCTGTCCTGCCCTGCCTGGGGACGTGAAGAGGAAGTTACCTGTAGAGTCAGAGGCCAGGGAAACAGATGGGACCAGTGGAGCCGCCTTGTGGGGAGCGGGCGGGGCTGGACTCTGAGTCTGCATCAGGGATTCAGAACTCCAAGCGCCCAGCCCAGGTTAGCGGCAAAGCAGCCACTTGGCTGAGGGCACAGCTCCGGCCCCGGATGTGAAGGATGCCCTTCCTCCCCAGCAGCCCTCCCGGGCGGTCTCTGCCAGGGCTCCCCGTTGCTCGTGGCCTGGGTGGGTGTGCGTACTGAAGGGAGGGGAGACTCACTTCCTCACCTCCCACAGGGCTGCCTCTGCCCACCTTTGTTTACTTCACCCATTTAAGTTGGACATTCAATGTGCACCCCTCAATGGCTTTTAGGACATTCACAACTTTAGGACGTTGTCATCACCCCAGAAAGAAGACCCACATCCCTTAGCACAGTCACGCCCCACCCCCAACAACTGCTAATCTACTTCCTGTCTGTGGGTTTGCCTTTTCTGGACATTTCGCAGCAATGGATCATACCCTTTGGTAACTGGCTGCATGCCCTGGTCGTCATGTCTTGAAGGTTCCTCTGTGTTGTAGCGTGTCAGTGCTTCATTCCTATTGTCAGATAATATTTCACTGTATGGACATGTTTTACTAGTTGGTGGACATTGGGTTATTTCTCCCCTTGGCCACTGGGAATAGTGCTGTTGTGAGCTCTGTGTACAGGTGTGTGTGTGAACGTGTGTTTTCTTCTTGTGCATCTCTGTGACCTGTGGTGATGCTCCTGTAACTGTTGGAGAGAGTGTCCCAACCACCAGCCCGGCCCTCCCAGGATCCCTGATTGCTGACCGACTTGTCTCCTCTGCCTCCTCCCCCCTCCATTAGAACTGGGCTCCTCATGGGCCGACATCATTGCCTGTTCTGTTTCTCTGTGTCTCCAATGCCTGGCACAGGAAAGACCTGTGGAGTAAATAAATGCCTGAGCTGGAGGAAAGGGCACCTTGAACGCCAAGTGCAATTGGATTTCTAGGCTCTACCGGGACCTCTGGGTAACCCTCGCCCTTGTGAGCCTCAGTTTCCCTTCTGTGCAATGAGGGACTTTGTTCAGGAGTTTCCGGTTCTGGGGCACTGCCCTCTGGAGGAGATGAGAGCACAGCTCCAGGGAGAAGGGACGAGTCAGCTGGGAGCTGGATGGACTCGGGTGGGGGCAGCACGGGAGGCGGGGCCTGGGCAGGGAACTTATGGATGGGAGGCAAGAGGAGAGGAAGACGAGGCCAGAGAAATTCCAGAGGAGGCAGGACTAGGCAGTTAGCTCTAGGAAAGGGAGAAGAAGAACAGAAAGATTGCCCAATGAGCCAGCCATTTCTCCTTGTTGAGATTTATTCTCCTAACCCTGAAGCAAAAGAGAACTTCAGGATGCCCCAACCAGCCAGTTAAACGTGAAGTCTCAGCTTTATTTGTGAGAATGTTTGCTGTCCATGACACACACACACACACACACACACACACACACACACACACAGAGACTCAGCCTTGGGGCCCGGGGAGGCAAAGTGCAGGCAAAATGGTATTTTGCCAAAGCAGAACCAGGAGTCTTGGTAGTCGAGGGGTGAGTGCACAGGCTGGCTGTTCCCTGCAGACCTCCGCAGGCGTCTCGTCCACTTGGGGTCCTCTCCTCTCAGGTGTCCCTCAGCCCTGCAACACACGAAGGGAGTCCTCACACACCCCTCTCAGCCACCTTGCCCTCTCCCCACCTCGCCCTCTCTGCCTGCTGCCCAGCCGCACTGCTCTCCAAACTCACCTGTCAGAGTCTGGAGCTGGTCACCTGGGTCTTGGCCACAGTCAGGCCCACTGGCCGGGGGTGTCCCCTGTTTCCTCCCATGCCAGGCCGCAGCCCAGAGGGCGCTGGCGGCTAGCAGCTTGCTGAGAAAGATGCAGGCCAGGAGGAACAGGATGGAGGTGGGTGGGAAGGGGATCTCCTCTTCCTGGAGGCTCCTTGGAGAACAAGGAGGGCACATGGGAGGCCTTGGGTGGCCTCAGAGAAGGATGGGGAGACACCAGGAGCTTCCCGGGGCTGAGAGCCCCCACCCCCACCACCCACCGCTGGGATGGAGCTCCGTGGGGCTCAGGAAGCCTGCATTCAGGAGACCTGAGTTCTAGGCCGGGTCTGCCTGCCAAGTGCATTGCAACACATCACCTCCCCTGCTGCACAGTGTCTGCCCTGCGTAATGGGTGGTATGAGATGTGTGAGCACATGAAGGGGCACATGTGTGCTCCATGGTTATATTAGCATGTTTAATACCAGTACACAGACAGGAACCAATCAGAACTGATTCTGGTCCCATCAAAGGACCCCAGTTTTGTACTGAAGCACTAAAGCGTCACTGCTGATGGATTGTGGGGATGTCCTGGGGCTGCCAGGGAGGTGCCGGGGCCTGACCTTTCAGGATTCTTGGGGCCACGGCTGTTTACAAACTCTTGTGAAAAATTTCAAAGTTTTAGCGCCTGGCAGTCATGTCAACCTGCCAGCCGTTTCGACAGAATCGTCCCCTGCCCTTCATGCTCTGACTGCCTTGGACTCCAATCCTAGGACCTGCAGGCCCCATCCCCTGGCCCTCTGCTGGGCGGGGCCAGCGGGGCCTTAGGGGAGACCTGTCACTGTACCTGGAGACGCTGTGCTCCACCTGGGCATCCTCAAAGCCCTGGGACTGCTCGGGGGTCCAGAGCCCACCGGGGTCCTGGCCATCGAGGGGGTCTGTGGAGAGAGAGCTGGTGACCTGGGGGAGGACCTCCTGGGTGGGTGAGGCCCATGTGGATGGAGCTGTTAAACCCTGAGCCTCCGCTCCCTCGCCTGGGAAGTGGGGCAGGTAGCAGCCCTCCTCAACGCCAGTGCTGCGGATTCGGTGCAGCATCCTTGGCAGAGCCCGCCTCCTCCCAGCACTCAGGGACTCTCAGGTCTTTGGGAAGATCACGTGGAATAGTGGATGTATTTGCAAGTCCTGCGTTAACAGCCAAGCCACCAGCCTTGGATTATTGTTATTATTATTATCATTGTTCTGCTACCTAAGGAGTCAGCTGGGCCTTAGACCAGGATAAGGCTGAAATTTCATGTCCTCAACCCCTACTCCTTCTCCCCTCTTAGAAAGGTGGTGAAAGTGGGGCTTGGGGTCTGGGGCAGGCAGTACCCCCAAGAGCCCCACCTTAGACAAGTAGGACCCTGGAACCTCATTTCCATGATAAGGGACGTGCTGGGGGAGGAGCTGGGAAGAAGAGCCTCAGAAAAGGAATGGTAACCCCATCTTTCCTTTAGGGCCGGCTCACGTTCTTGGTCTCCCTGCCCCGCCCCCCACTACCCTCCCCGCCCCCCTGCAGCAGAGGCTTCCTTGGAGGGTATCCTCCAGGCAAAGCTCAGGGCGGGGAGGACCTGGGCAAGCCTGGAGTGAGGGTGCCAGGCAGTTCAGCAGCTGGAGGCTGGGGCACGGCTGTCACTCTCCCCCTCTCCCCCCCCCCTCCAGCCCCCAGCACCTTTAACTGCATGGCCTGTGAGCTTCACAGGAGCCCTAGGTCCACAGGACGGACACCATCATCCACTTAAAGATGAGGAATTACAGGGTGTGCACGCTGCCCAGGAACAGAGTCCCTCTCTGCACCTGGTTGGAGCTTAATTTGTGCTGATAGATCCTCTGGGTGGTTGGGTGAGGGACTTCGGGAATCTCCTCCTGCTCTTTCCGGACCCCCTACCCATGCACTTCCCAACCCATGGGCATGGATAAAGCCGTTTGGGGCAGCAGGACCACAGATGGTGCCTTGTGCGAATTAGAGAGGGTCTCTTCCTTCGGTGTATGCAGGGGCGTGGCCTGGACGGAGGAGCGGGGTGGGACTGTGGTTCCTGTGCAGTGAGCAGCCCGCACAGCTACTGAGGTGGCCTCGGTGGGGCATTCCCAGGGCCCCTGGGCCCCAAAGGGGGGTCCTGTGCACAGACACCAAAGGCAGGAACCCCGGCCTGAGGACCTCTGCCCACTCACCGGCCAGCACCTCCACCAGGACCTCCCCGAGGGTGTCGGCCTCGCTCCCATGGAGGCTCTGGCACTGGTAGAGGCCGGCGTCGTGGGCCTGGAGGTTGCGCAGCGTGACGGTGAGCCTGCCGCCCAGGGCGTCGTCCGAGACGGCCGTGCTCCCGTTCCACATCTTCACGAAGGACAGCAGCCACGAGCTGTGGGTGCTGACCACCCGCTGGCACGGGCCCTCTGCACCCAGCTGGCGGCACCAGGCCTTGCGTCGCGCCCAGTGCTCCCGGGAGTTGTAGGGGCAGGACACCCGCAGGGACTGGCCGGCCAGGCCCCGGAACACCGTGGCGTTGAGGCCTCGGGACAGCTCTGGGGAGGAGACGTTCGTTCACTCTTCCACTCATTCGTCAAATATCTACTGAGCACCTACTATGTGCCCTGAACAAAAGAGACAGACACCCTGCCCTCACGGGCTCGGGTTCTTACAGAAGTTGGAGGAAGGTGGCGCAGCCCAGGCTGTGCGCATGGGAAATTGGGAGCCATGAAGCCTGCATCCCGGGTCTGCCTCTCTCACGGGGACAGAGGAGCCAGCCAGGCGGGTTGTGGCCCCGTGGGCAGGGAGCAGCCGCACAGCCACCCCCGTGGCCCTGGTGGGGGCTTTCCTGGCAGCCCGGAGGCTGGTTCTGCTGAAGTAACCGACCCTCTGGGCCTGCTTCCAAAAACACTCGGTCTCTACGTTCCCTCCCGGTCTCTGCACATCTTCTCCCCATCACGAGGCGAGGCTCCTCCCCACAGCGCTCCGTCTCCAGAGAGACGGCTGGTGACGCTCTGGGGCCTGGGGCTGCTTCCACCCCACGCCGGCCACGCGGGCACCGCTCCGCGCTCTGCTCCTCCTGACCTTCAGCTCCAGCTTCCCCATTTCTGCGGCTTCGTTCCCCTTTCAGGACAGACTCGTCTCAGAGTTATTTTGGGGGGAGACACGAGGCTGCTATTTTGGGGTCCTCCTTGGGGTGGGAGAGATGGGCTCAGAGCACCCATCCACTTTCAGGGCAGGGGCTGCTGGGGAGTCACCGAGAGCCCTCTGCCTCAGTTCCCCTCTCGGTCCTTCTCCCTTCACCCCATCTTCAACCATACCGGGCAGAAACTTGAGAGAGAGGATTGGGGAGTCGGTGGCCTGCCTTTGGGAGCCAGAGAAATCTAGGGAGCGGTGGCCCCTCCACACGGTGGCCCCTCCATTCACCCCCTGCTCTAGGCCTGCCGCCTACCCCCCCCCCCGCCCCGCCCCGGCCACGCCACGCCACCCCAGCTGATAAACTGCAGGAGCCAGGCTCCATCGGGACAGTCTCCCCACTTGGGTTTGCCTGTTGTTCTGGCGGGGAGGGGAGGGAGAGGCGCCTTTCCCCCAAGGAGGAAAGGCAGTTGTGGGCCAGAACCTAGCTCACAGACAGGAATATTGGTCCCCCTCACCTCCTACCAGGGTGAGGACGAAAGGTCCTTCTGAGCCTGGGAGCGGGCACCCAAAGGACACGAATCTCAGCCCCAGGTTCTTTCCTCCCTCCCCCGGCCACTCCTCTGGGGCTAGTCAGATGCTGAAATGAATCATACGTTTCGGGGCTTTTGCCAGTGCCCCCGAACTTCCCCAGCCACTAGCTAATGCTGGAGATGCCACCATCAGAACTCCTTCCCCTCCCACCGGCCAGGACCCACCAGCCTTCACACCTGCGCCTGCATAGACTGACTGCGGGCCCTATCCCAGGAGGGAGGGAGGGAGAGGAGGAGGGTGTGGGGTGGCGGGAAAAGAGGGTACTTGCACCTCCTTGGGCCCCAATGCTCCCCTGCCCTGCCCCACTTCCCCGCCGCCCCCCTACCCCCTCCCCTCCGCCAGGTACTCAAGGCAGGGGAAGGAAAGAAGCCTTCTGCGGGGCAGGGAGGGGATTACCTGTGATGGAGAGCAGGAAGAGCAGCCGGAGGGGCCCCATGGCAGCCTGCCCTGGCAGAGGCGGACGCAGAGTGCCTTGTGCAAGATCCCGTCTTTCCCTTGAACTGCAGAAAGGAGAGGGTCGGGCAGTCAGGCGCTGCCCACAGGAACTGGCTCCTGGGGGTTGAGCAATAGTCAGGACTGGGGTCTGGCTTTGTGATTCGGGGAGGGGTGGCGGGATAGAGGAGGAGAGGAGAGAAGAGGAGAAGCTGCTGTGCAGACCTCTGTCTATGCCAGCCCTCCGTCTATGCCAGCCAGGGTCACCGATGGCTGGGGCTGGGCAGGGTCAGAGGCTGCAGAGCCTCACCGGTGGTCGCTGTCCCGTCCTCAGCTGGGTTCAGGCCCTCCTCCAGGGTCACTGCCTGCATCCTCTGGGTTCAGCCTTGCCAGGGGTGGAGATGTGTCTCCTCTTGGAAGAAGCCAGGGCCCGCCCCAGCCCCTCTAGTCCTTCCCGCTGGCTGGCATCCCCGCAGTGTGGAGCGTGAAGAACGCAGGCTGGAGCCGGACTTGGTGGCTTTAGGTCACTCCTTACCTCCTGTGTGTGCAATCACAGCCTCTGCAGTCACAGCCCCTGTCTCAGTTCCTGTAAAATGAGAATAATAACCGCCTACAGGGTTACTGGGAGAGTCACATGGATTTCCACAGGCGAAGTGCTTTAGAACAGGGCCTGACACACAACAAACATGCAACACAATTAAACTAGTACTGTTACCCTAGTTAGCAGGACACACTTCAAGAACTCAACACAAGTAACTAGTACTGTTATCCTAGTTAGCAGAACACACAGCAAGCACTCAGCACAATTAGCTAGTACCATTATCCTAGTTAGCAGGACACACAGCAAGCACTCAGCACAATTAGCTAGTACCGTTACATAGTTGTCAGGGGAAGAGACAATGGGCTGTCTGTGGGAGGGAGAATTTTCTCTGCCACCTGGACTCTCCTGCCCAAGTTTGGCCTCCTTAGCACAGCCGGCGCCTCATGCTCACATGACCAGTACTTTGTGTGCACACACATACCTTGAACTCCCTACCATCCTATGGGGGCAAAACAGCAGGTGACATTTTCTGGATATCTGGGGGTGGGGGTGTGCTTTTTCCACGAGTTCAGATCCTCTGAAGGGTGATCCAGGCGAGACAGCTGTGTGAGTCAGGATGGGGTCGGGGTATCAAAGTACTCCCAGAGGCAGGAAGCTGAGTCATGCGGGCGGAGGTAGCAGGAGAGACTGGGAGCCCAGTATTGCCCTCCATCTTCAGGGTCTACTTGGGTTTCCTGCAAGCACTCTGATTTGTTCTCATTCATTGATTTGCCCATATTTACTGTGCAGATAGCATATGGACAGGGAATGTGCGTGGAAATGGGTAGTTAATGGTGAACATAAGGTAGTCCTTCACTTAGAGAGTCAACCACCCAGCCTTGACCTAAGGGTCTAGGGGATGAGGGCCTGAGGTCACATGAAGATTACTGTATAAGGCCTTTCAGCATTATTGGCATATAACTTAATACACAAAAATTCAGCCCATCAGGGTGTCCAGTTCAATGAATTCTGACAACCTCATACATCTTTGTATCAACCCCCATAATCAGAATGTAGGCATGTCTGTCAGCCAAAAAACATCCCGTCATCCCCCTTCAGCCAGTTCCTTCCTCTCCAATCCGGCCTAGCAGCTACTGATCTGACTTCTGTCCCTAGAGCATCCTGCCCCTGCTAGAACATCACACAAACGAAATGACAGTGCATGTCGCCTTTGAGTGTAGCCTTTTTCACTTGTGGTGAGGTATTCAATGAAATACCTCAGAGTGCACCAAAATCGCACTCTCAGGAGTTCATTCATTATGTTGTTGAATAACATCTCGGTGTGCCTGACCCTCAGGTGCTTTATCCATTCACCAGCTGATGAACATGTGAGTTGTTTTCAGTTTGGATCAACTGTGAATAAAGCCATTGAGCACATTTATGTACACACTAGAGGCCTAGTGCACAAAATTCGTGCACAGTTAGGGTCCCTGGGCCTGGCTGGTGATCAGGGTTGATAAGGGCCTTCTGACTGCTGGCTGGGACCTTCATTCCCCCAGCTGCCAGCTGGGGCCTTCCTTCCCCCAGCTTCCAGCTGCTGGCTGCCAACTGGGGCCTTCCTTCATTCCATGCCACCCCCTAGTGGTCAATGCACATCATAGTAAGCGGTCAAACTCCCAGTCAATTGAACTCCCGAGGGGAAAATTTGCACATTAGCCTTTTATAATATAGGACTAAAGGCTCAGTGCACAAAATTCATGCACTGGGAAAGGGAGGATCCCTCAGCCTGGCCTGCAACCTCTCCAATCTGAGACCCCTCGGGGGATAACTGGCAGTAGGACATTCCTCTCACAATCCAGAACTGCTGGCTCCTAACCACTCACCTGCCTTCTTAATTGCCTATAATTGGTTCTGCCTGCCAGCCTGATCATCCCTAACTACTCCCTTGCTAGCTTGATTGCCCCTAACCACCTCTGCCTCGGCCCTGCACCCAGGACCCAGGATTCCTTCCTTCAGCCAACCACAGGCATCCAGGATCCAGGCTTCCCTCCCTCTGGTTATCCATAGGTGCCCAGGCCAACTGCAACCACAGGGGATGGTGGGCAGATGGCTTCACCTGGGCTGCAGCTGCAAGTGCTGGCACCTGGGACCACGGGTGGGCAGCATTTCCATCTCCCTGGGCCACAGCCAGCAGCAGGTGCTGGTGCCTGGACCACAGGCAGGCAACTTCTCTGTCTTCCCTAGGATGCAGCATGGGCAACTTCTCCAGCTGGCTGCAGCCTGGGGTCACAGGGCAGGTGGCTTCTTCATCTCCTGGGCTGCAGCCAGCCTCAGGTACTGGGGTCTAGTTTCTCCATCTCCCCCAGGATATGAAGTGGGTGGACATGGGGTAGGTGGCTTCTGGGGCCTGGGATCACGGGGCAGGTGGCTTCTTGATCTTGCTGGCCACAGCCAGCCTCAAGCACTGGTGCCTGACTTCTCAGACTCCCACAGGCTTGGAGCAGCTGGGCGGGTGGGGCTGCCACCATCTTTTCAGGTTAATTTGCAAACTCACTCCTGACTGGCTGGTGGGCATAGCAGAGGTATGGCCAATTTGCATCTTTCTCTTTTATTAATGTAGGTATTTGATGTGGGTATTTGTTTTCATTTCCCTCAGATAAAATCCTGGCAGTGGGAGTGCTAGGTCATGTGGTGAGTGTGTGTTTAACTTTATGGAAGCATTGCACTATTTTTGCAAAGTGGTTGTACCATTTTTGCATCCTGGTCAAGACTTGACATTGTTGCTGAAACCGGTTTGGCTCAGTGGATAGAATGTCGGTCAAGGGCATGTTCATTGGTTGTGGGCACATCCCCAGAAGGGGGAGTGCAGGAGGCAGCTGGCCGATGTTTCTCTCCCATTTATGTTTCTAGCTCTCTATCCCTCTCCTTCCTCTCTGTAAAAAATTAATAAAATATATTTTAAAAAAAGACGACATTGTCAGGGTGCTTTTTAAGTCATTTTAATAGATTTATGGTGATATAATATCATGGTTTTAATCTGTATTTTCCTTATGCCTAATGATGTTGAACATCTTTCATTGTGTATATCTCCTTTGGCAAACTATTAATTCAAATCTTATGTCCGTTTTTAATTATCATTATTTTTAAGTTGTGAAAATTTTTTATATATTCTGTATATAAGTCATTTGTCAGATTTGTGGTTTGCCAGTATTTTTCCAGCCTCTAGCTTGATGGATCACTTCCAAAGGGTAGAAAATTTAATGTTAATAAAGTCTCATTTATTGATTTTTTTTGTTTGTTTAGAATTTGTGCTTTTTGTGTCCTACTAAGAAAATTTTTCCTACCTAAAAGTCACATTTTCTCCTGTTTTCTGTTAGAAGTTATAGTTTTAGGTTTTATATTTTGGTCAGTGAACCATTTCAAGTTAATTTGCATGTGGTACAAAAAAAGGATTTGTTGTGGTAGTTGTTTTTTAGTTCGTTTGTTTGTTTTGCCTATAGATATCCAATTTACCAGCATAATTTGTTGAGAAGGTTATCTTTTCTCCCTTGAATTTTCTTAGTATCTTTGTCACAAATGGACTGGTGTTCCATTGATCTATGTGTCTATCTTTTCACTAATATATCACCATCTGCATTACTCACTGTAGTTTTATGACAAATCTTTAAATCTTGTGTTGTGGGTAATCCAACTACATTGTTCTTTTTCAAAATGATTTTGAATGTTCTATACATTGCTTTGCCATGTAAATTTTAGAACCAGCTTGTCAATTTCTTCCTCCCCTCCTCACCCCCCCCCACACACACACACACATACACACTGAAAAGAGAGCCTGCTGGATTTTAGTTTGGGATTATTGGGTCTTCAGTGCAGTTTGGGAGGAGGGGGAGACTAGACATCTTGACACCACTGAGTCTTCCAATCCGTGCACACAGCTTAGCTCTTCATGTATTCATTTCTTCTCTGCTTTCTCTCACCAGTGTTCTATAGTTGTCAGCAGACAAATCTTGCACATATTTTGTTACATTTCTACCTAAGTATTTCATGACTTTGCTGTTATTTTAAGTGTTTCTAGATTCCTACACCTTATGCAAAAACAGAACTCAAAACTCCCATAAATCTTACCTAGGCTGGTGTGGCTCAGTTGATTGGAGTATTGTTCTGTACACCAAAAGGTATGATCAGGGGATATAACTAGGTTGTGGGTTTGATCCCCAGTCAGAGCACATATGAGAAGCTACTGATGGATCTTTCTGTTGCTTTGATCTCTCTCTCTCTCTCTCTCTCTCTCTCTCTCTCTCTCTCTCTCTCTCTCCTTCCCTCTTCCCCTCCCTCCCTCCTCTCTCTAAATCTATTTTTAAAATATATTCTCAGATGAGGATTTTTTTTTAAGTCCCATGTATCTTCATTTTACTTTCTCGCCCATTTATGCTCCCTTTTGACCCCTTTTTCTCACTTCCTTTCGACCTGAAGAAAGGGTTCTTTTTCTTACTTTAAACCTTACATCAAAGGGCAGGCACGAATAAATCCTTACTAATTCTTCTCAGCACATACATATCAAATGTCCTCATCTTTTAGCTTGCGCTGATGTGTGGTTCAAGTTCCTGTCCTGCCGGGGCTGACCGGCAGTCCCTGAGCGACAGATGAACAGATTGCTCTGACACACGTTTCTGTGAAAGAGAGCGCTAAGGGACTCTTCTACTTTAGAAGTAAAAAGCAGTCCTGTTCACCTGCCTTCTTAGGCTTTTATTGTCACAACAGCTTGACCTTAAATTAACCTTTAGATACAATTAGCAGGGCAGGTATCCTTGATAAAGTATATGCTTCTAGAAGGTCAGGTCTTTAAAGACTAACCATGGAGATCTAGCAAAACACCCCGGGGGATCGGGCTTGTTTGAAAAATTCAAGGTAGGGGCTGCCACCTTCAGCAGGGTCCCCTCAGAGGCCCCCGACCTTTCAGAGAATCCTCCTGACAGACATGCCAACCACGTCCCGTGCTTCTCCACACTGTTCCTCACATCTGAGCACGAGAATATTTGTGCACCACCCCATCCCAAGCAAGGGTCCTT